TAGGACGCCGTTTGCCTGTGGAAGGCGCGCCGTAGTATGGTGTCGGTGGAGCACCGGGAGTTGTCGGCGCTTGTGACTGTGGTGACGAAGAAGCACGGCTCGGCTCATAGCGATAGGCGCTCTGTGGAGATGCTTGGCGCGGAGGCTGTGCTGCATAGTAGGGTTGGTTGGGCGGTGGGCCAGAGGAGTAGGGAGTAGACGCGTTTGCTGTTGGAGCAGACGATGTTAGAGACGGTGGCTCGGGATAGGCATACTCTGGTCCAGTGCCTCGATGAGGAGCCTGTAGCGCTGAGCCAGGTTGTGGCGGGGGCAGGGTTGGAGTGTGAGGCTCAGGATGAAGCCTCTTCCTGCCGATCAGCGCCTCTCGGCTTGCCTCATCTGGAGAAGCACTAGATAGACCGTAGTCAGAATGAGCTGGGTACGGACCTGCAGTGGGACTAGGCAGATATTGCTGCTGTTGGCGCGAAGGCCCTTGCCCGTAGGGCTCTCCGTGGCTGGCAGGAGGAAGAGGTTGCCCGTAGGCACCGTACATGGGCGGGGGTTGGCCGACACCGCGCCAGACGGTGTGGGCAGGAACAAAAGCCTGAGTCTGGGCAGAGACTGGAGTGAAGATGCAGTCCTGGTTGAATCTCATGCAGTTTGAGCAGCGGCCGTCCTCGGTGGCCTCGAAGCCGGAGCAGCGGATCTAGATTGGGTAAGCAGGCTGTTTCGGGTCAATTGAGCGGACTCGCAACAACTTACCTTGCGACGACGGCAATAACGGCAGGCAATGGCAGTCCGCTGGCGGGGCGCTGGCGGCTGGTGGTGCTGCTGGACATACTGTGGTGGTGGAGGAGGCTGCTGGCGGTATGGGTCGGCTGGTGGAGGAGCGCGTGTCCACTCGTTTGGGCCGGGCAGGCGGTAGGGTTGCTGTTGCTGGTATTGAGGATGTTGAGCCATGTCAGGTCGCGGCTCTTGGGGTGGAGGAGGTGGGAGCGTCGTGTTCATCTAGATTGACGTCAAGTGTCAGCCATGTCACTCTGGTTACGTACATGACGTGCAGCGTCACAAAAGTCTGGTACGCGTGACCGGGTCGACTTACGTGTGGAGGCTGGGCATAAGAGCCATTTGCAGGCTGCTGCGAGGTGGGCGGCTGCCAGTGGGTTGGGAGCTGGCCTTGGCCACCCTGGTGAGGGAACATGGTAGGACTTTGAGGTTGGATGGGCGTGGGCCGAATTAAAAGGCGGTTTGGGCGGGCGCAACGTGGTGCTGTCACGCCGGGTGGACCAGTGGAACAGCAGGTGGGCTAGTGGTACACGAGTGCCAGGCTCGAGGGAATCAAAGACGGCGGGTGAGGTGTCACAAAATACAGGCAGGCGGGCCGCAACGTCGGCTGCAGGTGTGAGAGAGAGAGAGAGAGAGAGAGAGATGGCTGTCAGCGTTGGGCTGGGTTGGGTGGTTGGGTGGTGAGCAGCGGGGTGGGCAGTGTCGGGGCAGGTGGCAGTGGGCGTCTTGGGGAGAGGTCTGGTCCGAGGGTGTGTTGAAAGTGTTTGTGAGGTGTCGGAGTGAGTGGAGTGAAAGGCTTCTCGAAGCGCGTGGAGGAGACGGGAACCCAAGAGCGTGGAAGCGAAAAAGGAGATTCAGGTTGGAGCGGCCGCTATTACTACCCACCGCGTGCCCGAACTCAACCTTCTCGCCGCCTCGACTGGGATTGGGAATGGATTGGGAATTAATCCCTGCTGGCCCCATGCAGCGACGACGGCGACGGTCCGCCAAACGCGCTAAAAGCCATGCGGCACCCTCCTCCACTCTTGCAGTTGCGCCCTCGACGTGCAGCGACACACCGTGACAAGAGCAGCCAGCACGCCGCTTGGTGTGGGTTGTGGGCCTCGCCGCTTTCGCGCCTGTCCCACGTCGCATCTGCACCCAAGCAGTAGAGCTTAAAGCTGAGAGGAGCAAAGCTGAGAGGAGCAGCCCGCCCCCTTGCTGTTTGGCGTATGACTTGGTGTACTGGGGGCCCGTGTGCATGATGCTGCGGGCCGGCAGCTTGCTTGAGATGTGTGACTCGCCAAGAGCTCGGGGACTCCCGTCGCGCTGTGATCTACGAGCCTTTAATTATACACGCCGCCGCAATAATAAAAGTGCTGCCATGTTGGCAGAACGGTGACGACAGGCACAGCAGCCGCGCTTCTCGTCACGTCGTCCGCGCGCTTGCAGCTTGTAAGAGAGTCGACTGGCCAACTCGCGCGCGCGCATCCGCTCTGTCCGTGTCCAGGTCGAGCCAGCGCTGCAGCTCTTAGGTCTGCCAGCCATGCAAGGAAAGTGGCACAGTAGTGGGAGCACCTCGGGCTCTTGAGTCGCTGACGGGCCGTCTCTGCCTCGTCCGTCCTCGTGTCGCTCGCTGCTCGCTCCCCTTTGCGAGGGGGCCAGCTCACAAACCACGGTACGAGCCTGGGTCCGGTCAGTCGTCGTACAACTGTTGCTGTTCTGCTTTTTGCTCCCGGCCCCGTCATGGTGACGACGACGACAAGTCCCATCCCGCATCTTGTCTTGTCTTGTCTTGATTCACGCCGTGCAGGGATGCGAGGGACCGTTCCTTCGACCGCCGCCCCTTCACACAACCCACAACGCTGCAATATCTGATAGGGCTGATGCGTCCGGCTCCGTCGGCCAATTTGCTCTTGGACAACGGCAACAACCCTGCTCGACTGTTGGTGTGTAACACGTCCGCCTCGGCAAACCTTTGCTTGCACTTGCACTTGCACTTGCAGCCTTGTGACGTGACGGCCACCAAACTACGAGTCAAGGCCAATGCCGGTACCACTCGGCCACTGGAAGCCAACTCGCTCGCGGGGCATAGAGGGCGGGAGAGCCGATGTCTTGCGCCGGGAGAACCGTTCGCCCTTCCAACTCTGCTAGTTCAACTTCAACGAGCCAGTAATGCCGATTCTGGCCAGCCTCGTGAAAACTCAATCTCATACTGTAGGGAGACTTCAGCTGTCGTGTAAGACGGCCGGCATGCGACCATGCCCACTTTCCTTGCTCGAATCACATCCCCCAATCTGGCCTCCACAATTTGGCGAAGCTTGCCTCCCTTGCGCCGCGAACGCTTGCACTTGCCAACTCGTGCTCAGACCGACGACGCGCCCTGCACCCCCACTGATTCCACTCCTGCCACTACCACTACAAACAACCAGACGGCACTTGTCACCCTCTCGTGCTCAAGTGGCGGTGCCGGAGCTCCCGCCTGATGACGACAACCTCGGACTTGTGCGGATGTAGGCACTCGTGCCATGGAGAATCGCGAAACACCTGCGCATTCAGCCTCGGCTGCTCGTCGGTCAATTTTTCACTGGCTGCATAATCCGTGACGATGCCCAAATCTCCATTCAGGAAATTGTCACCCGTACAGACTTCACCATCAAGGAACCAACTAACCAACTAACCAACGCCAGGAATTCCTTTTTCCTCCAAACCAACTCGACAAAATGGGGCGGACGGCCCGCACAATCCATATCTATCCATATCTACCCATCTCTTGCCTGTTCCACTGAAAAGGTTCCATCGAGCCCACTCTCCCCTCGGCCAATCACCACATGTCCCCATTCAAAACTACTCAACTCCTGCGCCCATCCCACCTGGCGTGTGCCTTGCAGCAGCTTGCTGACGGGTAAATCCCTATCGTGCCATGCGCGGATAAAAAAAGCCTTCACCAGGTCACAAGACGTCCTGGTACCGGTCAAACTCCCTTTTCCCGGCCAACTTACTCTGCTGCACTGGATGGAATTGCATCAAGCGGGCTTACCGGTCGCAGCCAATCGCATTAAATTACTGTTGTGGTTTGATTGTCTGCCACACCGCATTTCGTCTTCCGAGTCAGTCACGAGGCCACAATAGATGAGGGCCGATGCAGTGGTCTGGGGAAGGGTCAGGCTGGGAACGAGTTGCTGGACGCTGCACGGTTTAGCACACACATGTCAGCAGCCTTGTGCTTGTACGCTGCCCAAAGTGCCGTTGAATGCCGTTGATGACGGTTACACCAACTGAACGGTGCATTTGTGGGGTAGAACAGCAAGCCGGATATGCACATGTGATCTTCAGCCGCAGCCCTCGCCTTTCTCCAAACCAAATAGCCGCACGACGCACACGAAGCCTGCGGCGCGAAGCACATGCTGTACCTCAGCAGCGTAGCCGTATCTACAAGTGCGGGAACAGCGCGTCAACCGCCTCGGGGGCTCCATTGGTACCATGTGTATCAGCGGCCCGGGACGAGATGTGGAATTCCCGCAGGTATCCCGTTGACAGGTAGATTAACGAAGTTTGTATCACCAAGTCTTACCCGCCATATGCATAGCATAGATGGATATTGTGGAGGCTGCATGTCTGTGCGTCCATAAGCAGTAGAAAGACACCGTGTCGCTTGTGCCGCGTTTCGTGTCCCGCCATCTGCACGTAAATCCAGAAGCAGAGATAGCAGACGGGAAGATATCGTCCAAGGCGGATGGTGTCCTGTGCGCCTGTGCCACCAGTACCGTGTCTGACAAGCGGGGAGAACGCAGGCAACAAGGACACTGTGTGTGTGTGGTGTGTGAACAAACAACTCTCACCGATCTGCCTGAAAACGACGCACCTTGTTGACCCGTCATGGCTATGCAATGCCATGCATCTGCTCATGACTGTGTTGCAACATTGCTCATCGCAAGAGTTCCGTCCTTGCAGTAGCACGCTGTGAGGGACCACGATAGGCGGCCCATTTAACCTCGTCGCTCTTGTATCGCTGCGGGCGGCCGCCCCTTCTTCGGACGGCCAATATTGAAATTGAATTTCCCTCAGCAGACTCGACATGCCACCATGTACGTATCAATGCACGCTAGGATAATCGATGGAGCAGTGGCATCGTTCGGACCGCGACACGTTTTGGCAGCGTAAGATGCAACCGTATCACCAAACGCCGGTAATTATCATCTGGCGGACTGCAAGCCATGCGGGCCCAGCGATCAGCCCGACGGGTGCTAATTCGCGGAAGAAAGAAGCATTGCACTTTATCGGTGTGAATGAATCGTTGGCCTTGTGGCCTTACGAACACACCGCCGTTTGGTGGCTTGACCAAAGCCACGAGGGCCGTCTTGTACAACGGGCCAACTTAACAGACCAGTCGGCCAGGATTGAGTTTGACATGTTTTGGGCCTCGAGGGTGATGGCGTAAGTCTTAGACAACAACGCGTGCGACGGAAGAAGGGCAATCCGTTCGTTCTTCCGGCTCTGTGCGAGTACAGGACGCTGACGGATGCCGCAGTTAGCCGCCGCAAACTCCATCAGACGCTCAACGACTTGCTAAGCCAACGATTTGCTAAGCCAACGATTTGCCAAGCCAACGACCTGCTGAGCCAACGACTTGCTGAGCGCGCCGTCATGAGATGCAGCTCGCCTTGATCAGACGCGTTAGGGCGGAAGCCCATGCATCCCAGACGGACAACGAGTGCGCCCCGGGCCGTGGCCGTATCAGCCTAACGCAACGTGTGCAGCATGTCACAGTGCAAAGTCTGTTGTATGGAGAGGCAGCTGATGGGGCAACTCACTATACAGAAGGCAGTGGCAACACCTGGCCACCCCAGCGATGCACTTCTGCATTGTCATCGACTAGGCGACGCAGTCATGCATCCTCAGTCATCGGCAAAGTCGCGCGCGAGGGAGCGAGCAGCAGCGTGCACTGCCTCCCCTGGCTTGTCTGGCCCAACACGAACGGCTAAGAAAAGACGGCAGGCCCGCGCCTGAGCGTAGGATTAAGAACTGGGACCGGGGTCGGCCGAGCGGCTTTCCCCCTTTTGTGGATTTACACGGCCTAGCATCTGGGCCATGCAGCAGTCCCAGACCCTAAGGCTAGCGCGTCACATGACCGTTAGCGTCATGCGGTTTCCCGAGACGCCAAGTAATATCTTGGACAAGCGCAGCCCACTAGCGCACGATGACTTGGCCCGTCGCATGGCCTCTCGCTTCCACCATTGCCGAGGCGTCTATTGGCAGGTTTCGCGCTTGTGGCCCACTACGCTTGCTCGCTTTCCCACCCTCGACCAATCCGTGCGTCCTGAAATTGTTGCCATCACGCCTCTGCATCGTCGCCGCTGTCTTTGTCACGCTCCGCGTCGCTTTCGTCGTCTTCGCCGCTCGACGAGCCTGACGTGTCCTCGTCTGGCATCACCACGCTGTTGAGATATGTGATCTGCACAATGAGTTAGCCGCCACTCCCTCGTGTGCAAGGCCTTGGACAGACTGCTCTAGTCATCCCTCCGCACCTGAAGGAATCAACGAGCGGGTGACTGCAGTGCCAGCACACTACTGGCTGCCACTTTGCGACACCATCGACGTCCCTAGATAAATGGCTGCCGCTCTGGCCTAATCCTGTACCCAATCAAAGTAGAGGAGCCACCCAGGCCGAAGAAAAAAATCGTCAACTTACGAACGGCTCCAAACAGAGTACGAGCTCAGCAATTCGACTCAGTCCGCCTGTACCCACCACTTTGTCATCCTCGAGCTTTCGCCCGACGGTGAAATTGCGGAGCCGCAGGAGGTCAATGTCTTTGTGGTCATGGTCATATCCCTGGAATGCTCGTCAGCAAATATGGAACAATAAACATGTCTAATGAAACAGCGAAACATGGGCTTTGACGGGCTCAATAGTTTGGCTGGCGATATCGTCAACGGTGGAGGGGGTTTCCCCGCTGGAGCGTTGCTGATCTCGATGACCCCCAACTTTCCGCTCAACTTGTTAATTGTGCGGGGCCCCTTTGAAACTCTAATTGCCTGATCGCACGTATTTGTAACGTAGAACCTCCGAGTCCGAAACTCTGGAGCTTATCGCGCGTAATCATCGTAGTGGGCCGTTGTAGAGGCATGTAACTGCGGCATGCCATGGGAAGGCATCCTTGTAAATGGGTGTCTCTGTGTGACTTCTGCTATCGATCCGTGGCCGACAGTCGATCTCGACCGCACTGTTGACAGAAACACCCAAGCTTGACCTCCGCCGTCTCCGAATCTCGATGATGACGACATGTGACACATGATCTTCCTTGTCCGACGGGGCGGCGGGTTTCCTGATGGGGCCTTTGTGCAACAAACTTCACTTACTTTGGGGTTCCGCTTCAAAGCGTTTGACTTGTTCATCGGTATGTTCGTAAATGCCTTTACCACCTTTTTGTCGTCATCCGCGACGCCACCGAGAAAGTGCTTCCGGATGCCAGCATTCCTTAGCATGGTTTTGATCTTATGCGGTTTACGATCAATGTCCCGTCGGAGTTTCGCAAGGGTAGCTGCATCTGGCTGCCAGAACCCGCCACCTACAGCAGTCAGCACTCGCTCGGGTAGTTGTAAACATAGAAGCAATTAGGGGCATAATAGGCCGGTACGCTGCTGAATGAACACAGATCATCTAAGCGGACTTCCTGCGCACCGGCGTATAGCGTAAAGCCATGCGATACGCGATACCATGCTTCGGTAGCCGAAATCGAAACGGTCCGGAACGGTGAACGGGCGCCCGTGTGCACTATCATCAAGTAGAGCGTCGTACAACTGCAAACAGAGGCATTACACCGTACGTATAGTACAAAGCAGATGCCCGTACTGGATACAGTAAGGGTGTCCAAGGCTCGCCGCTTTTGCGAACAGTACGAACCGCGAGAAGAGGCCCGCAAGCTTGCAACCGCTTCTTGGTCACAAGGAAAGAAGTCTTCGGTATGCATGCATTATCGACGCACATGGAAGCAAAAGAAGAACCATATCGGCGACGATATCACGTCGTGGTCCGACTGAGGTTCCACAGCAGCTCGTGGCCACGGCGTCTCCACAAGGACAAGCGAGAAATGTACACGTACCTACAAAGCTTCCGCCGTTTGGTTGCACCTGAATATAGTAGTGTGCATATGGTCCCTTGCGACCGGTCCTTGACCAGGCGGCCGAGAAATAGGTCTGCGATATATTAGTATGCGTTTCGCTCGTCCTTCCACAACAGGCGGATTGGATAAGGTGCGGTGCAAACAGTGCGTGCCTTGGCCGCGCGTCGTATCGTGTGTTATGGCGCTATCGCCTAGCCATGGAGAGCGGGTATCGTCTCACCTTATATGGCGTCGGGTCTTTTGAGAAGCGAATATCTTCTAATGTGAGCACGATGTCTGGCTACAACCATAGGCCTTACTTACCTCGGTATATACGATAAATCTGAGAGTGTTAGCAAATTGATGTCATGTCCTAATCCCTCTTACTTACCACATCCTTTACTGGCAACTCTGGAATAGTCTCATCTGCCTCAATGATCTTTTCAGATACCTTTTCAGTGAATGTAGTGAAATCTTGAAACGAAGCCCGGAAGTCAGGGTCGTGTACTGTGATTGTGAGCCGCTATTCAGACACGAGACGCAATGGAGCACATACGCTTCAGCCATTGTCGGTCATTGTTGGCCGCCAGGTCTTTGAGAAACAACATCGTGTTCGGATGGATGGTATGATCCAGATACGGCGTGTCGCCTGCATCACGAGCTTTCGGCTTTTTGATAACCAGCTGAGTCCCTGGCTCAAGCTTGGCACCAGGCTTCCATAACTCTTTCTCATCCGCGTGCTTTTTGTAAATGGGTATTTTCTTCACAGCAGAGCCTTTGGGTTTCACTTGTTCGGTCTCGCTATCTTCGTCGCTGGCATTTTCGTCGCGTTCAGATTCCGAGGATGCGTCCTTGTCAACATGTTCCTCGTAGTCGGAGGCTTCGCCATTGTCTTCAGTTTCGTCGGGCTGCACGCCTTTCTTCGCCCCATCTCCACTGTCGTCCGTGTCGGTTTCTGGCTCGACGTAGGATTTCCTTGCCGTCGCCCTTGCTCTTTTGGACTCCCTCGCACGGGTCTCCGGTGCAGGGCGCTTGGACGTGCTACGGGGCGCTGAGGCGTTGACGCTTTTGGTCGTTTTACGTGGCATAGTGTTAGGTTAGCGTTTTGAAGAGATGATGATGTACAGAGTTTCTATGGTAGCTGTCAAAGACTCCAGATGTGTTGGGAGGTGTGAGGGAGCACAGGCCACCTATGACGCACTCGAACGCGAAAATACAGCGCGGTGTCACGAGTTTTCCTTACAGACGGAAGCAAGGATGACAACGCGCTTCGAGACTCGCAAGCGGAACATTATCGAACAGCTTGATTGTCCGGATGATGAGTATCAAGATCTGTCGCCAAAGGGCTCAATTGATGCCCCGATCAGAGATCTCATCGGCGAGATCAACAACCTTCAAGGTCTAGTCACGACCAGCAGCTGCTCAGGGCGCATCAGCATATTTTTGGAAGGCCGCAAAGCAGATGCAGGAGTAGTAGAGCCAGTCTCTGAAATTGAGGAGTCTCGTGCTGGACCTGGAGGGAAAGGTGGAGGCGGCGCATGGCTGTTCATCTCTCACGAACCAATCGAGACTAAACAGGCGACCCCTAATTACATCTCAGAGTTTGGCATGACAAAGGTAGAGGATGGGATGATAATACCCAACGTCTCTGCAAGGTATATTCACCTCAAGTTCGAGCCCATGGTAAGTTTCACAGTCACAGCAACAGGCACAGTCTGACATGAAACAGATACTCCATATCTTGAGTGCATCTCTGGAAGACGCCCAACGTGTGCTCACTGCCGCATTAGCCGGTGGCTTCCGTGAGAGTGGTGCCGTGAGCCTGGGATCAACAAAGACAGGAGAATCAAATCCAATGGTGGCAGTACGATCAGCAGGGTACTCTTTCGATTCCATCATAGGCTACCAAGACGACGAAGGTAGAAACATCGCTCTTGTTGACGAGAGATACTTGCGGACTTTGGTCGATATTGCAAACGAGCGCTTCAGAATCAATTTCGATCGCATAGGCCGATTCCGCACTGGCCTGTTGGAGATGTATCAACCTAGCACCTCCAATGGAACAGGTTCATCTAAACCAGACTGGGAAGATGCAGCCGCCAGAAAGCAAAGGAAGAGAGAAGAAGGTCTGGCAAGGCAGCAAGCTCTACAGACAGAGAAATCTAGCAGCTCTGTGGATGCATCAACGGCGGGTGATATTAACAGCATCGACGGGATGTTTTCCTAGTAGAAGTCTGCCACAGCACGGATATATTAGGATTTCATTGTTCCTAGTGGTGCCTGATATAACAAGGACTCGGAGATTTTTCGTCAACATTGTGACTCATAAAGGTTCTACAATAGTCATACATGGGAACTTTAGGTATCACGGAGGCTTCTCTTGAGTAGCGTTAAGAGTGGAGTCTGACAAAAATGTTTCCGAGAACTTGTGACACTTGCCATAAGCAAAGCGTACGGCAATGCAGACAGCTCCCAACAACTCGTACGCCCCCAGAAATAATCTCCATCTCGGAACGATATGAATAATACTCTCAATCCTGCCATATTGACGTACTCAGAAAAAACGCTTCTTACTGGCATTCGCTCCACTTTTACCTGCATCCAGCCAATAGGAGCATTAGCGTCCCTGTACATGTCTCCGACCCAGTCCGACGACTTTACCCTCCACCATCGCAACCATTTCCTCTACATAAAAGGAGCAGAACATTTCCATTTCACATTATCTACCCAGCTACATTCAACAACCACAGAATTCCAACTCTCCAACCAACAAAACACCATTCTTTCCACAAACCCAAACCTTACCCCTCACCAAACTCCAACATGTCCCTCGCAGAAGCCAACCGTCAATACTTTGAGTACTTTACCCTCTGTCCCTGTTATGAAGATATATGCTAACCAACAACCCAAAAGCTTAATCTCCTCCTCCTACGACAGCAAACCCTGGTTCGCAAAAGTAAACAACCAAGTCGCAGACTTCCTGCGTGCTGAACTATCCTGGATCGGCATCCCATTCGTCAACATGGGATCGAGTAACGAAGCCACGGGAGAAGTCCGACTTTTGGACTATGCGTGTGGTACGGGGCTTATGACTAGGGTATGTTTTTTCTCCTCTTTGTGGTCTTTCCCTTGGCAAGTCCGTTATTATATTCTTCTGGTACATACAAACGGAAACAAAACACACATTCCTTCCAACACAACAGATGCCTTTTCCTGAAAAAACTCAATCCACACACAGGTCTTCGCCCCCTACGTAACCTCCACCGTCGCTATCGACATATCCTCAAAAATGATATCGGAATACACCTCCCGCGCCGCCTCTTCCCCTTCCCCCTCTTCCATCACAGCAACAACCGGTAACCTCTTCGATAAAACCAACCCCTCACCTCCAGAACTCTCATCCCCCCAGTACTTCAACTTCGACATCGCAACTGTAGGTTTCGGCTTCCACCACTTCGAAGACGTGGTGTATGCGGCAAGCCAGTTGAAGCAACGGTTGCGTCCTGGTGGTGTGTTGGTAATTAATGATTTCTTGGAGGGAGGGGATGTGCTTGTTGATGAGGGGGGGGATGTGGTGGAGGGGAGTGAGGGGGTTCATCATCACCATCATCATCACCACGGACACGACCACGGCCATAAACACGCAGATGCGGATGCTAACGTAACCCACGACACCGACGACACATCCGCCGCCTTCCACAAGAAAATGAGCGCCTCAATCGTCGTCCCGAACTTCACCGTCGAGGGCGTGAGGAAGTTCTTCACAGAAGCCGGGTTTGTAGACGTGGATGTTGTGACGAATAAGGAGAAGAGTTATATGGAGTTTGGGGGGAAGAAGGTGTATCGGACGATTTTGTTTGCGAAGGGGAGGAGGCCTGTCGACGAGAAGAGTGAGCTTTGAACTGTGAGAGTGGAGTGGAGTGGAGTGGACGTGTGCATGTAGATGAGATAAGATTTGTAAATTTCAGAATACAAGGAAATACATAGGGAAACAGTGACCACCACTCTCACAAACCTCCAATGGTGAGATGTATATATCAACACACCATACCATGGATATCACCACCCCACTATACACACTATACATAATAAAACGAAACGCCTCTCAACCCCAGCACTACACCCACCTTAAACAAAAATATTCCTCACCACGTCTCCTCAACCCTCAAATCCCTACTCGAAAACCCCACCCCAACCCCAAACACACCCATAGGCATCACCCAATTCTGCCTCCCCACATCCCAATAGCTCAAATCGCGTCTACTAATATCAAACCTCACCAACCTCTTCTCCCCCATCTTCAACTCCACCTTTTCAAAACCCCTCAGCACGCGAACAGGGAAATTAACCTCCTCACCCGTCTCGGGATCTTTGTAGTTTTGGGGAAGAGAGATGTAGAGTTGGACGACTTGTGCGCCGTCCTTGTCGCCCGTGTTTTCGAGCGACACGGAGGCGGTGAGGATGGTGGTGTAGAGGTCGGGGTTTCCGCCGGGGCCGCCGCCTGCGTCGCTGAGGGGGGATGGGGGGTCGATTGGGGTGGGAGGGGAGGAGGGGGATTTGATGCCGCTGATGGAGGTGAGCCAGGGGTAGATGTAGCGTTCTACTTTGTGGAAGCCTGGGGGGAAGAGCACGGATTCTGGATTGGGCAGTTCGGTGGAGTAGGTTGGTGGTGTTAGGCCTGCAGGACGCGCTTTGGGAAGAGGGGTCTTTGGGGCCTTTGCTTCGATGAGGAGGGACGATAGGGAGAATTCGGTGTAGGAAAGTCCGTAGCCGAACTCGTAGCGTGGAGTGATGTTTTGCTTGTCAAAGTAGCGGTAGTCGATGTAGAGGCCTTCGGAGAAGTTTTGTTGCGGCGCGAGACCATCGGATGGTGTGGGGAGGTACTTGACTTTGCTGCCTGGACCGTAGTCGTCCTCGTTCTTTGCGATTGTATAGGGTAGACGGCCGGATGGGTTTACGTCTCCGAAGAGGACGTCTACAATTGCGTTACCAGACTCTGTTCCGGGTAGATTGGCGATGATTACGGCTCGGACGTTCATGATGTCGATGAAGTTTTCCAGGATGACAGGTCCTACAGTGTGAATAACAACAACGACGTCGCCCATGCCTTCGCCGCAGCCTTTGGCTACATCCTGGATGAGCTGATCTCCACCCTTTTGTAAGTTTAGATCGGGCCTATCGCCACGAATGTTCTCGTAGCGCTCGTAGCCTTCTCCTGCATCAGCGTTGGCGAAGACAATGCAAAGGTCCTGGTCCTCGAGAATCTCCTTGGTGCTGGGGAGTTTATTCTCCAGCCAATCCGTGACGTAAACAGTCTCGTTGTCGAAAGCTTCTCGGATAGCAGACAACGGCTCAACAAGATACGTGAAGTTGACGGCACCAGACCCCCAACCTGAGGCCAACGTTCCTTCATTGCAGCTCTGATCAGGGCAGTGGTTGATACCTTCCTTGGGCAAACGTGCATCTTCACCAAAGACACCAACGCGGAACTTTGTCTTTGCATTTCCGGTCTTCCAGCCTTTGCGGTCTAGCGGTAGCGTGTTGCCGTCGTTCTTCACCAATACGGTGCCTTCGGCTGCGACACGACGCACCAAATGCCCATGAGCCTCCTTTCCTTCTCCTTGAGCGTTGACGTACTGGTTCACTACACCAGTTTCGTGATTCGAAGGGCTGCCTTCGTGCAGTTTGCCAATGCGATCATTGGCCCAAGAAGAAAAGTTGGGCCCGTCGTTTTCCCATTTGTCTTGTCCGACCTGGTACCAGGATGCAACAATTCGAGTGACCATATCGTCGACGCGATCGATGGGCACACTGCCGTTGAGAACGGCCCTGCTAAGCTCGCCGCCCCACAGGCTGTTGCCCTTGGCCCATCTGAGACCGTCTCCAGGCATAGTCATATCCAAGCCAGCAAGTGCGCTCGCTACACCTGAACGTTGTGCCAACCAGTCACTCTGAACGAAGCCCTGGAAACCAAGTTCATCCTTCAAGACGCCGTTGAGGAGCTTGGAGTTTTGGCAGGCATAGCTGGAGTTGACCTGGTTGTACGAGCACATGACGGACGTCACACCAGCTTTGACAGAGTCGGCAAAGGGCCATGCGTAGATCTCGTGAAGGGTGCGGTCGTCGATGTTGCTAGATATGGCATTGGGTAGGCCCCACTCCCATGCCTGTCTGAAGTGTTCCTGCTCGTTAGCAATGTAATGCTTGGCGGTAGCCATGACACCCTCTTCTTGGATACCCTTGATGGTTTGTGCAGCAGCAATGCCTTGGAGTACAGGGTCGGAGCCGAAGCCCTCCCAGACACGACCGCCAGCTGGCATACGGCCGAGAGGACCCATTGCAGGACCAAGCAAGACGTTGACGCCCTTGAGCCGCGCCTCTTTTCCATGTGCCTTGCCGCGCAGGTACATGAGTTCCTTGTTCCATGTCGCCCCTGTTGTGATGCCGGCGGGGAAGGCGGTGATGTTGTCAGCGAAGCGAATACCCAGCGGTCCGTCCTAGGTGGATTAGCACCAGTAAACAGCAAGCCCATTAGAATACGTACCTGCAGACACAGACTGGGGAATTTGAGCCTATCAACGCGCCCAGTTTGGCCCACGCACAGATCCATAGCCCATCCTGTCCCCGTTGTGATGTTTACCTTTTCAGGCAACGTCATTTGCTTGACGAGTGCAGCCGCCTTCTTGTAGCTCTCCTCCCACGCCTTATCGGTGCCACCCTTTGGCGAGGGATACCACGGCGGACTCAAACCATCTTCGGGCGCCGAAACTTTGTATGCCCAGATTCCTCCCGTCGCAAGTATCAGGACAGTCACTGCGAGGAAGACCAGCAGCCAGCAGCAAAACCGCCCTGGAGCGATGCGAGACTTTGCTGGGCGGGTTGGGAAGGGCGTGGCCGACTCGTTGTCCCTGTCCCTGTACGAGGTTCGGCGTATCTTAAGGTCGCCTTTGCTCTTCTTGCGCCGTATCTTGCTGTCGAATGCGAGGGGATCGTGTTCCTCGAGATCTTCTAGCGTTCCGTTGGAATCTGAGGAGAAGCGCGTCGGGGTTTCAAGATCGTCGTCGACAGGTGCATCGAGTTTGGCATACTGTATGCCGCGACGCAGCTCGTGCGACTCGTAAGGCGCCATTTGGTGTAAAATATGTGAATTAATTCAAAAGATAGGACTGTAAAAGTATAGTTGTGATGGCCGACTTGAGCGACGAGGCTATCGGAACGGCGCGAGCGTGAAGCCCTGTTTATATTGAGGCTAGCATTGAAGTGTGCATGTCAAAGTTGCAACAACAACAACAACAAGTCGACAATCGAAAGGGAAATGGCGAGGCGAATGAATGTCAAGAAGCGAAACTATCTTTGCTGTGGGGGACGAGGGAGCACAGAGAGTACAGCCACAGTCGTGGCTCGAGATGGACGTTTCATCGGGCCGGCATGGCGTCTCGTCCCTGACTAGGTGCCGATCACATGGGGCAGCTCCCCCACTAACCAAGCATCTTCCCGTTCCGCAAGGCTTCGCAAAACCATTCACTTTGTTTGCCTCACAGGCTACTTCATCTTGGTCGGAAGCAGTGGTATTCATTACAGTCATATGGTCAAAGGTACTACCTCTATGCTTACGCGCCAACCTGATCCAGTATACCCTGAAGGTTAATCGACTTTGGTCGCTCGATAGGCAGACCCAGTGCCCTGTCCCAGATGAGTTGTGCGAGCGGGCCCAGACCACGACTGACACCGAAAGTCGCAGTGTAGTAGAGCGTCTCCTTGAAGCCGTAGTGGTGGAAGAGGACGCCCGAAGACGAATCGACGTTGGGGAAGGGGTTCTTAGTCTACGCAAAACGTCAGCAACAAGCCAAGATCCAGGTATTGGCAACGCTTACCTTGCCGTGCTCCTTGAGTACATCGGGTGCAACTTCAGAGTTCTTCTTCACTAGCTGATAGACAGGGTCTGCTGCGATTTCTGGTCGCGCGTTTGCAAAGTCCATGAGAGCTTCAAATCGCGGGTCGGGCTTCCTCAACACGGCGTGTCCGTATCCCGGAATCACACGTCCAGACTTGAGAACGCTCCAAAGGAACTCGTTGACGTCCTTTTCGGTGAACTTCTCACCGACGACCTTTTGCATGTCGAGGATGAAACGCAGCACCTCCTGAGCAGCCAAACCGTGCAAGGGTCCAGCCAGACCTTGGAGACCAGCGCTGTAGCTCAAGAAGGGGTCGCTGAGCGCTGAGCCGACCAGATGTGTTGCGTGTGCAGAGACATTGCCACCCTCGTGGTCACCATGCAGAGCCAGGTACAACCGGAGGAGGTCCTGGAAACCCTCGTTCTCCTTGCCTGACTTGCCCAACATGGCAGCAAAGTTGTATGCCCAATCTTGGTTCAAGTCGACCTCTGCCGGAAGAGCACCTCCACCACGGTATGCGTTCTGGTAGATTTTCGCGGCGATGGTAGGCAGTTTCGCGAGCAAGCTGATGCAGTCGTCAAAGGTAGGCTCCCAGTAGTCGGCCTTGTTGATGCCCTTCTCGTAGGCCTTTGCGAACTTGGACTCGTAGTTCAATGCTGAGACAGCGCATGCGAATTGTGTCATGGGGTGGAGATCCTTGGGGAAGTCATCTAGCATCTTCTCGACAAACTTGGGAATGCTGGCCTTTTCAGCGAGCTCTCGTGACAGTGCGCGAGTCTGTGATACTGATGGCACTTCGCCAGTGAGAAGAAGCCAGAACATGGCCTCGGGAAGCATCTCGGTGCCAGAAGTACCCTTGGGCAGCTCTTTCTGGCAATCCTTGATCGTCTTGCCATGGAATCGGATACCCTCGTTCGCGTCGAGAACTGAACCTTCCCAGACCATGGCCTTGAGACCTCTTCAGTGTTGTTAGCATGTGCAACTGCTCGTTTCCACGGTTTGCATACCTCATGCCGCCCAGAGCATTCTCGACCTTGACATCACCAAGCTTCTTGTCGCTCTGTGCCTTGACCTTTTTCAAGAGCTCGCGCTTTGCAGGCAGAACCCTCTTGAAAGTAGTCTTGAGATCAGGCTCCGAAGAGGATGAATAGCTGCATGCTTGTACTGAAAAGTAGGTGTTAGGATTATGGGCTATTCAGAAGCGTGTCTACATACCAGAGACAAAAGGACGCGCCTTTTTGGGTTTCAGTTAGCACCAATTCCCTCTATTGAAATTCCGAAGACCTACCTTTGCAGCTCGTAGAGCTCTGGAAGCTGATCGTGCGCTCAATGCCATGGCTAGCTCAATGTGGGGTAGGACGTGGGGGAAAGCAACGATTACTCAACACACAGATTGAAGAACAGGTCAATTGACAAGCTCAATGGAAGTTCTACAGACTTGAAGAGCAGCAGGCCAAAATTGTTGATCGGTAATGCTCGGCAATATTTCCAGACGAATCGCCAGGCACGCGTTGGCCCGTTAATGCGAGCGACGTAACCAACGTACCGAGGGGCACATAGCTAGCTCCTCACGGCTATCCATGGCCTACCTCGGTTCTGACGTCGGCATGGCATTCTGGACAAGCTCTGCCGCAAACACGGTACTGCACATGCATTTACGCGACACGATAGAGTAAAATTGCCTTCCACGGGCTAACGGGATACCGAATTGAAAGAAAGCGCGTGTGGCAAACATCATCACCGAGTTGTTTCCGACTTACGGATATTTTTCCGTCCTGGAGTAGCACTCCTACGCCATCCCACTAAAACGTAGAGCGAGGTTTCTTTAAAGCTTCACTCTATACTTCATACTCACCATGTTGCGCAATATATCACGTTCGGTTGCGCGCCAGAGCAGGTCATCAAGAATCGCAAACCGAGCACCACAACTCCTCCGCCCACTCTCCACGTCCGTATGTCGCATGTCGAGCTCGACGCTCAAAGCTGTAGAACCTCCAGTATCGACAGCTCTACCCGGCGATTCGTTTCAATTACTCCCCGAAGCCGCTAAAGCAGGCCAGGCGGAAGATGCGCTCTTCGAAGAGCAGGTACAAGCCGTGAAGGACTGGTGGGCTTCGCCACGGTACAAGGGCATCAAGAGGCCATACTCTGCAGAAGATGTTGTGAGCAAGCGAGGATCGCTCCAACAATCATACCCTAGCTCGTTGATGGCACGGAAGCTCTTCAATCTACTCGAAGAGAGGGCAGCAAAGGGCGAGCCAGTACACACCAGTGCGTTTATCCTAGTCTGCATAGATAGAGTAATAGCTGATCCTGTGTTTTCAAAAATCAGTGGGTGCAATTGACCCTATCCAAATGTCGCAACAGGCTGCAAACCAAGAAGTCCTCTACGTCTCTGGTTGGGCTTGCTCGTCCGTCCTGACTACCACAAACGAAGTTTCAGCCGACTTTGGCGATTACCCATACAATACCGTACCAAACCAAGTGCAGCGCCTCTTTAAGGCTCAGCAGCTACATGATCGCAAGAACTGGGACACCAGAAGGAAGATGAGTGCGGAGGAAAGGGCAAAGACACCTTACTTGGACTATATGCGACCCATCATTGCTGATGGCGATACTGGGTGCGTAGATATGGCTCTAAAGCGGGATATCGTAACTAACACTCTATAGCCATGGAGGTCTATCAGCAGTCATCAAGCTGGCAAAGCTCTTTGCAGAGAATGGAGCCGCGGGTGTTCACTTCGAGGACCAACTCCATGGCGGCAAGAAGTGCGGACATCTCGCTGGAAAAGTCCTCGTACCAGTCGGAGACCACATCAACCGCCTCGTAGCTGCAAGATTTCAATGGGACATGATGGGCTGTGAAAACCTAGTCATTGCACGTACCGATTCGGAGAGCGGCAAGCTCATTTCCAGCGCTGTCGACGTGCGAGATCACGAGTTCATCAAAGGTGTCACAGAAGACACCGAACCGTTGGCCGAGACACTACAGAACATGGAAGCAGCAGGTGCGCCGGGCAAGGAAATCGACCAGTATGAGGCAGCATGGGTGAAGAAGCACAAGCTTGTTACCTTTGACGAGGCCGTTGTCCAACACCTCGAGAAGGAGAGCGCATCCCAATCAACAATCGATTCATACCTCGCCGAAGTCAAGCAGAACCCCGACTACTCTCTTCTCAAGCGTCGAAATGTGGCAGAAAAGTACACCAAGACACCAGTCTACTTCAACTGGGACATTCCACGCACAAGGGAAGGTTTCTACCACTACAAAGCTGGCGTTGCCGCAGCGACAAAGCGCGGCAAAGAATATGCTCCTTACGCCGACCTGCTCTGGGTCGAGACGGGCGACCCCAACGTCCAAGAAGCCGCCAGATTCGCCGGCGAAATCCGCGCTGTCCACCCTGGTAAGAAGTTTGTTTACAACCTTTCCCCAAGCTTCAACTGGATGGGCCAAGGCTTCTCTGAGGAAGCTCTCAAGTCATTTGTCTGGGATCTGGCGAAACATGGCTTTGTGTTCCAACTTATCTCACTGGCGGGTATACACTCTACTGCCACGATCACATGTGAACTAAGCAGGGCTTTCAAGGACGAGGGTATGTTGGCGTATGTCAGGTTGGTACAGTCGAGGGAGAAGGAGCTGGGCTGCGATGTCTTGACGCATCAGAAGTGGAGTGGTGCTGGGTACATTGACGGCATCTTGGGCGCGATACAAAGCGGAAGTTCGGGAAGCAAAAGTATGGGTGAGGGTAACACAGAAACAGGATTCTAAGACCCCGTAGAGTTAACCAGTTGAAATGTGTATATCGAGAAACACAGTACATGATGGTAGTCGCCATGTTCTCAAACGTGTAGGCTGATATGGCGGTTGACCCAAAGAGGAAAGGCTTGGTCTGGGGATGTTGCCTCGGTCCAGCCATGTTTCCCGAGCATGCCTCAACACCCGCAGCCACGCGCCAACATTCATCTTGTGCCAGCCACGACTCTAACCACCCCTAGTAGCCCTCCATCTTTTGCCAAAACATGTCGAATAAACCAAGTATACCCGCATGGCAACGCGCCTCGACCGATAACGCTGTATCTTCATCGCCTCTGGAGCAGGAAGACGCCAGCGCGCAACAACAGCCAGTAGAAGCTCCGACGCCGACTGAAGACGACGTTGAAAGCGAAGATGGCGGAATACAGCTATCGGAAAGTTCGGAAAGCGGAGAGTTATTGGAACAGGCGTCTCGCTTTCTAGACGACCCGGCGATTCGCGATGCGCCGAGGGAGAAGAAGGTCGCGTTTTTGGAGTCCAAGGGTGTGAGTGCTGGGGATATTGAGACGTTGCTGGGTGAGAAAGAGGAGGATGATATGAGGAAACAAAGTGTTGTGGAACAGAGTCCTACAGAGGAGAGAGAACCAGAGCATGTTGAGGAGCATGTTGACGAACAGGCGTGGCCAAGTGTAAGTGTCCAATTTCTATAACTGAAGCCCTTGATACATACCAACATCCTCAGTCACCCCCCAGAGCCGTCAACGTACCCGAATATCAACCTCAACCACGCGAAATACCACCCATCGTCACATACCCAGAGTTCCTCGCAAGCACAGAGAAGCCACCACCACTCATAACGACCAACCGCCTAGTAAACACCGCATACATAACAGGAGGTCTGATGGCAAGCATATACGGCCTATCCAAGTTTATCATTGCGCCCATGACAGAAAAGCTCGCAGAGTCGCGGCACGACTTTGCGTCACACACCCAGGCGCAATTGAAGGAACTCAATGAGCGTCTGGGCAAAGCAGTATCGGTAGACCCCGCTACCAAAGTCAAAGCAATCAAGGATATCCCAGACGATGTTTCCGAAGCAGACTCCGACCCAACAGAGCTCTATCACCGCGATTACGGCACGCAAACCACTCCCAACCTATCCCGCCGTCCCTCGACATCCTCACCTCCAGACCCCCACCCCACCGTCACCGCACACGAGAATCGCCTCAAGATTATGAAGATACATCTCCAAGAAATGGAAACCACCAGCAAATCCAGCAACACAGCACGGGATGCGTTGAGAACAAAGGTGTCTGACCTGACCTCGTATCTGTCTGAGATGGACTACCAGAGCCAGTACTACCCGAACATGGGCCGCTACGGGTCGAACTTTAGCTGGATGAGTGGTAATAGTGGGACCAGCAAGAATGATCAGATTGAAGTTTTGAAGGGCGACATTAGAGCCGTCAAGGGTGTGTTCCTCAGTGCGCGGAATTTTCCTACTGGATGGAATGCACCACCGATACCTACGGGCAGGCCGGCTTGATGAGATGGTAGTTTGGTGAAGTGTAGGATTGATATAAATAATATGATTTCTCGCGGGTTAGTTCATACTAGGATGGACATGTTGTTGTACATGACTGCTGTTACGGCTTAGTGAGGTAAATTACGACTTATTCGTTTTACAAAAACTTTCTCACATCAGCTCATGACACATGCTTGGCCATACAGGTTATTCGGAGAGCTCCGGAGTACGGTCGTCTCGATGTTGGCATGTCACTAAAGGGTAGCCACTGCCCCACTATTCTTGCTTGACGTCATACCCGATACAGCAACTCCTAGGCTGGCACCCACTCCAACAACGTGTAGATCTGCCGCTCACACATCCATCAGACCCGAACATTGCTTGAATTTGCAAGAATGTCTGGTTGGGCAAACAAGCTGTCCTCTTTTGGACACCACAAGTCTGACGACAAGGACGATACATCGCTCACCACGCTTCTCGATGTAGACCAATGCGCAGACTTGACGTTCCTGATCGCCACCATAACGGCATCTATGCGACAGTCCCTGGTCGACACATTCACCGCTGAAGAGCTCCCGATCGATTCGAAGACTGCCAAGTCAGAGGAAGAAGTACTGAGGGACGCACCCTCCAACCTCGATGATGTCGATGTTAGCCAAGAAGACAAGATCAAAAAGGAGAGACAGAAACGCGAAGAAGAGGCAAGGAAAGAACTTGCAGAGCCTGAGGTGCAAGAGCTAAAGAAGGAAATGCTAAAGTATTTCGATGGCTGGCGAGGCAACGTCATTAGTCGAATCGGCGAAATTGTCAACTCACGAGAAAAGGCAAAGGAACAAGCAAAATATGTCGAAGGGAAAAGAGTCGAAGAAGTGATCAAGCAATCTGAGGCTAGCATGACAAGTATCGAGAAGCTTGATGATCAGGAAGAAGACGAGGACAAGATCTTCAAAGACCTATACCCAGCTGTCCCAACTACTCTCACTCAACTGGACGAGAGCAAACGGACACTTATCCTGCACTCCCTCGTGCTCATCCTATTGAGTTTAGAGCACTACTCGGCACATTCTCGCGTTCTGATACTCTACCTTACAAGTTCTCTCGGGCTGAGTAGAGCCGTCCTGAAGAAAGATGAGGAAACTGTTGCACAGGGTCTATTGGAGGCAGCATCTCAGCAAATCAACGCCGACGCTGAGACTAAAAAAGCAGCTGAAGCATCACAGACGGCTCGGAAGTGGAAGGTTGGACTTGCCGGTGTTGCTGGTGCTGCGCTCATCGGAGTGACAGGTGGGCTTGCTGCTCCACTCCTCGCAGCGGGTGTGGGCAGTATGATGGGTGGTATCGGTCTAGGAGCCACAGCCGCAGCTGGCTATCTCGGGACGCTTGCTGGTTCCTCTGTCCTCGTAGGTGGACTCTTCGGAGCGTACGGGGCCAAGATGACTGGAAGGGCAATGGACGAATATGCCCGACAGGTAGAAGACTTTGCCTTTATTCCCATCCACCGCACCCAAGATCCCGAAAATCAAGACAACGAGTCTCGTCGCCTTCGTGTCGCGATAGCTGTTTCCGGCTGGCTACGCGAACCCGAGGAAGTGAGTAAACCATGGCGATACATCAACAAGGGAACGGAGGGCTTCGCACTGCGCTGGGAACTCGAGGCTCTCCTCAAGCTCGGACACAGCCTAGAGACATTCGTCACAAGCGCAGCCTGGGGTTACGCAAAGAAGAAGATTATCGAACAAACTGTCTTCGCCGCAATGGCAGCAGCAATGTGGCCGCTCGGCCTCCTCAAACTCGCAACCATGCTCGACAACCCCTTCTCCGTGGCCAAATACCGCGCGGAAAAGGCAGGAGAAGTCCTCGCCGACGCCCTCATCAACAAAGTCCAAGGCGAACGCCCCGTAACGCTCGTCGGCTACTCCCTCGGCGCCCGCCTCATCTTCTCCTGCCTCGAAAAACTCGCCGAGCGCCGAGCTTTCGGTCTCATCGAAAACGTCGTGCTAGTCGGCGCCCCTTGCCCCTCTGACGTCGCAGACTGGCGGCGCATCCGCTCCGTCGTCAGCGGCCGGTGCGTAAACGTGTTTTCGAAAAAAGACTACATCCTCGGTTTCCTATACCGCACTTCGTCTGTGCAACTTGGTGTCGCTGGTCTCCAGCCCGTTGTTGGCGTTCACGGCGTGCAGAATGTTGATGTGTCTGAGCTTGTTGATGGACATTTGCAATATCGCTTCATCACGGGTTCTATCCTGCGTAAAATCGGGTTTGAAGATGTTGATGTTGAGGAGGTGGAGCGTGCGGAGGTGGCACTTGCGAAGGAAAATAAAGCGGTTGAGGAAGAGAGGAGGAGGAATGAAGAGGGTAGGCAGGGGGAGGGCGGCGATGAGGAGAAGGAGAAGGAGGAGTTGGAGAAGGCAGTGCGGGAGAAGCAGGAGAGGAGTTGGATGCAGGTTGTGCAGCAGAAGACTAAGGGGCTGGATATTGGGGGCGTTTTTAAGGGGTTGCCGGGGAAGGTGGCGCCGGAGAAGGAGGCGGAGAGGAAGGCGGAGGCGAGTTCGGGGGGGGTTTAAGGAGGGTGTGTAAGGGTTTGAAATATGGGCAGGGGATCATGTGGAAATAGTTTGTAGGTGTTAATCGGTTGTATTATTTTTCTTTAACTATACAATAAAAGCTGTTTGTTGAGGGTTATGACTAGTACACTAATCAGGTAGAATTATCTCCAACACAAGTAGAAAAATAGTATGCGACGCGTACTTGATTACAAGAAATCAGAAATTCAAATCCCCTTACTTTATCCATTCCTATAACCTCCATTATCTACGTGTTTTCTCCTTGTCACATCCTATCACTGTGGTGGTTCACTATGCACATCTAGAGGAAAGAGTAGCGCGGCTTTTGTTTAACACACATGTTATCACGAAATGATTATATATATATTGTAGGAAACGAAGGGATATATATCCCAATAGATAAAAAAATATGACCACATTGCCGAGAAACAATCACAAGTTGACAGCCGTACACCTGTACACCCGCTCAAATATTCAGTCTCTCAATCATACCCTCTAACTCACACACAACATCATTGTACACCGCTGCCTGAAGCCTTTTGCTTTTAAGCTTAGTGCCAAAACCAAAGTTACACTGTAGACACTTTTGCGCAATCTTCTGGTACTCAGGTCCCAGAGGAGCTCGTCCAGATGCTAGACGACGAGCTGCGTAGACCTGGTCATTGCAGTCTCTCGCTATCATTTTCTCCTCGAGCGGTTTCCAATGTGCGATTTCGAGTAGAGCGACGCCTAGGAAGAAGAGAGGAAGGTTGTTGATTCCGTAGCGGATTTCGTCGCTTACTTGGTTTATTGCTTCGATGTCGTCCATGACTGTGGGCTGGTGAGGGGTTGATATTTGAGAGCTGAGATGGAGCGTTTTCAGTGATGTTTCGTCGAAGTTGGTTCCGCTTCCGAAATAACCTAGCTGGTTTAGACGCCAACGTTCCTGGAGCCATGGTGTGTCATTGTATTGCAAGATTGCTATAGCAGCTTTATGGGCGAGCTTGAGCTGGTCCTGCAAATCGAGGGCGTCATCGGCTTCTTGCTGCATGATGTCGAATACAGAGTAGACTGTATTGTACTCTGGCATGTTGGGTGTCTTGCGTTTGGCGAAGAACATGTGTTTATACAGTTGTGGCGTCTCCAAGTAGCCGACGCAGTTCTTGGTTGGAGAACTGTCGCACGCTCGGTAGCTTCGCTTGAGATAGTTGCAAATGCTCTTTTCAAGGCAAAGATTGAGTTGAATTGTAATCGGTGGCATTGCAGTGGTCAAGGTAGATGGTGTGATACTCAGAGTAGTTGTATCATCGCCGAAACGGACTCGTTTGGCCTTCTTTTTACTTGATGTGGCCTGCGCAAGATCCGAAGATGCTTTCTTCTTCAAGATATTGGTAGGTGGTGTTGTATACGAATCGGATGGCAGGGCTGCTGTTAGGGTCGCCATGGGACCTGAAGCCGTCGCAAGGCAATGACTTGACATCATACTCGTCGATTGTACGTACAGCCATATGGGTGGCTCTCCAGGGTGACTGGATGATGTTAGCTTTCCTCGCTTATACAGAGAATAAGTTAACTTAGGTCTTACAGGTTGCCGGCACCTGCCCTTAGTTCATGACAAGAGATGGCAAGGTCAAGATGAACTTCAGTATGGACCTCTGCATCCAAGCATAGTTTGGCGTAATGTCCGCGGTGCGCTGGATTATCGCAGCACCAAGCATCGCAAATGGCTTCATGCAGTTTTTGTGATGCACTTTGAATCGAATGAAATCGACCCGGGAGCGCCTTGTGTCTGATCAGGGTACCTGATGTTTTGGCATTTTGCTGGAAAGCAGTCATTTGCTGTCTCAAGGCTGCAAGCTCGCCATTGCGGTCTCGTAGCTTTGCTAAGCCTTTTTCGAACTTGGATTTGTCAAAACATATTGCGACAGCTCCGCGTAGACGTTTGATGGCATATTTGAGCTTTTCATCCTGGTGGCGGTGGTTATGGTTAGTATGACTATCACAGGAAAGCAGCGATGCCGCCTAAGATGGCACACGGACCTTTTGCTTTTGTTCTTGCAAAATGTTGAACTTCTTCATCTCTTCCTCCATAGTTTCCGCAACATCCTTTGTCTCCTGAATAATACTGCAGCAAATGTAGAGACTGTCTTTGAGTACTTCACTCAATTTATCGTCCAGTTCCTTGCTGGTCCATCGCCAGTCCTCCTGATCTTTGAGCATATGCTCAGCAGCTTGCTCATCCTCAACTAGTCGCAGCAATAGGCAGCATTCGTTGAGAAAGATACCATCGGTAACTCTGAGTTGCAAGGCAATAGACTTGACCTCCTTCGACCAATGGCGGAAGGTATGCAAGCCATTGGATACGGATGAATAGGCACGCACAGCCTCGAAAAGTATAGGTAGAACACCGAAAACTAAACCAGCAACTTCGATTCCAGACATCGGGCTGATATTATGAAGAATGATCGTGCAGATATTGTTATCATCTAGTGGTGTATTGAAGGTTTGCCTCGTTCAGCCCTGATGCACAGCCTGATGCGCAGCCCCGCATCATCATGTGGCCCCAGTTGCTACGCCGCATCCCAGATTGCCTCCTCTTATCCCCCCACCAGAAGACGTTCATATTATTTGACTTCGTGCTTTAGGTGAAGCAGTGCAAACCACAGAATGCAGGTACCTAATCGGCTTGTCACGGACACAGCACCCCAAGACGACGGCGGTGATGTAGCAGAAGAGACATCTTGCAATGCTGCAAACTCGTCCGTTCTACCAAGCGATGGGATCACGACCATGGACCGCATATCATCGAACATTGATTCGTTTAACGAAAATGATCAAATAAAACGCTGGCAAGAAAGCACATTTACCTACGCAGAAGAACAGGACACAGATATTATAGCACGACTCTGTCAGGGGGTCCTGGACTCCTTGGCATACTTCAATCGTGTCATTGCCGGATCTATGGCTAAGAGACAAGAAAATACCCTTAGGCGGTGCTATGCTACTCTAAAGCTCTGGGCTGATGGACATGATATACCGAACGGCAACTTAGACCGAATCTTGGAACGATCGAAGCATCTCCAGCATACAACGCTAGCTGTGCTTCATCCCTTGTGCCTAATCATTTTAACTGGCAAGTTCATTCAGAGGATTGACGCATCTCGACACTAACACGGCCAGGCATAAAACGGTGTGAAGTGCCGGTAGACGAGAAGCTCACGATGGCCCAGTTGCTTGAGAAGACCACCGAGATTTGCAAGCAAGTCAAACTCCTGCTGAGTAACTTCAATGAGTCGACGAGCGATAGTGATAGCAGCGATAGCAGCGATAGCGATGCATCTGGTGACGATATCATCAACAGTGGAATGAACAGCGTTGTGGAAGACGTCAGGAATTACACAGGTTGCTTGCTTGATCTGAGTGCAGCTTTCGAGTGTCCAGCAAATGATATCGAGAAAGAGGTTGCATCAAGCATCGTCAATGTAGAAGAGCGAGCTGCGCATGATTACCATGCACAACTATTGCAAGCCAAATTCCCGAGCGCGCAGACAGAACTCATACATCGACTAGGAGAGACTAGTTGGAACCGTTATCAGCGGATGGTACAAGAAAGAGAATCGAACGCAAATGCACAGATACAGGTCGAGGTGTGCATATATCAAAGCAAGGAGTCCAGATCTTTCAAAGCCGCTTCGGAGTTTCAAGATTCAGGTCTAGGTACATCTCTTCCTTCTGCGCCATCTATTTCGTATGCAGAAACTATAATATCGTTCATGACTAGCATTGGAGGAGGGGAAAGGGTTCATATACCGCCTTTGTCGATAGAGGCGAAGAGTGGAGCAAGATTTGAATGCAACGCATGTGGGAAACAAATCCAAGCCACGACGAACCGCGACTGGAGGTAAGTTTCGCGTCATTGCCACTAAATCAGACTAACTGAATCATTTAGAAAACATCTGTTCGCTGACCTTCAGCCGTATACGTGTTTCTACGCCAACTGTTCGTGGAGCACAACACCCTTTGTAGACCGCCAACTCTGGAGCAGACATCTGGAGCTTGACCATGAGCTCGGACCCGCTTGGAACACATTCGAATGCCCTTTGTGTCTTGAAATGACAGAGCCAGGAAAAAGCGCAATCCTCATACACTTTGCGAGACACATGGAAGACATAGCGCTTGCTGCACTTCCTCGCGATGTTGAATCGGATGCCGAGTCGGATTCCCTTTCCGAGTGTACAACTTCCACTTTTGGTAACCGTATTGAAGCCCCAGAGGATGCTCTACGCGAAACTTCGAGTAATGTAAAGGACACCAATGTATGGCATCTAGAATCTTGTTCCGACAAGTACCCTTGCGACGCATTTGATGATATAGTAAGATTTTGCGAAAAGGGAGAAAGATGGATGACAAAAGAGTTTAAACCCACGTTCCATCCGGATAAGTGCTGCAGGCTGAAGTTTCGAACAGAAGTATCATCCGACCGTTGGATCCATTGGGATGTTGGACATTACACCGGACTTGTTACAGGACCCAACCATGAACCGAGGATTTGCGTACGTCCGATCCTCGGTAGCACATTTGACATATGTGTGATCAAAGACTTTTGTTTCCAGTGGCTTGACAAAGATGTCTTGGCTTGGAAAGAATGGGAAGAATCGAGTGAAGTTACCAGGGCGCTCGTCTTCCAACCACAGTCCGCAACAATCAATTAAGTGGGTCCTAGAAGGTTCAGATTGGATTGATTGATTACCGCTTTAAGCCTAGTAGTTACCTATAGGAGTTTAAGCCCTACCTAGATAGGTAAGTGGGTCTAGGAGAGTGACCGGATTGAATTGATTGTTGCGGAGTCTACTTCCAACACACTTCAAGTTCAAACGACTACGCGGAATTTGTTCTCAACAGTGAACCTATATATAGGGGAGGAAACATGCCGCTCCCAAGGGTTAAGGAAGCCAGCCCCCATCTTCTGGACGAGCCTCCGGTGGATACACACACGCCACAGAAGGATAACACAATTGACAAAACTTTACCATTGCCAGAACCTTGCAGTGCACCTGTCGATAGAGATATCCAGGCTCTACAGGGGTCGAAGCCGATATACAAATGCATCTGCGGGGTTACAAATGATGATGGTCCCGCTGTGGAGTGTATGGGATGTCATACCTGGCAGCACCTAATATGTTACCAGTTGACATCAGAGGAGCAGTGCAGCACACATAAGTGTACGGAATGTTGGCCGAGACCAAAAGATGTGGGGATAGCAGAGCAACGCCAAGCCAAAAGGCGTGCTTGGAAGCAAATCAATTACGACCCAAGATCATTGGCGACTGTGGTTCATCTGGATAATTCTCGGGAGAGGACTGAGAAGATGTATATTGCAATTGCGGAGTATGATTTTGTACCAAAGCATACGAATGAGCTGGCTTTAAGGAAAGGCCAGGCAGTGCGGCCTCTTTTTGCACACGATGAACATTGGCTGATGGTTCAAGAGAGGGACACAATCAGACATGGCCTTGTTCCTATAAATCATCTTTCCCCCATGAAAGATGATTCATATATAACTATCTGCAATCAGAATGACTGCACGAGGTGTTCCAGAGGTTGTGGAACACAGACTTTCCAACAAGCAAGTCAAGTCAAGCCGGCTGACTGGCTCGAGTGGAGTTTGATGAGATGGTGAGCAGCTTGACTTGATCACATAATCAAGCTGAGATAGGTAGCTTGCTTGAGGTTTGACTTGATAGCTTGATAGTCTATACTATAAAATTTCTTAGTGTTAAGTCTCGTGATAGTCGCCACCCCAGCTACTAAGGTCGTACAAAAGCTCTATCTCGTCGTCTGTCGTCGTCGACTTAGCCGCGACCTCGAAGTCGCCTAAGCCGGCTCTTTGCCACCGTCTTACGCACTGTGTAGCCGCCAGAAGTTGCGGTTTTATAGCGCGGCGACGCGGCTCGAGGAGGTCGCCAAGCTCACTAAACAGGCGCTCACACTCATAGCTTAAGGCTGGGATAGAGAGTACGTCGAGCGCGAGCTTGCTAAGGTTAGGGTAGCGATAGCGTAGCTCTACCTAGTATTTAATAGGGTTGTTTGCGTGATTGCTACCCTTCTCCGCGCGCGGCTCGCTACGCTTCCACCGCTCGAACTCGTCGTCGTCTATAGTGTTGTTGATGGAGGCGCTAGGGTTGATAAGGCCGTCAATCGCGTCGTCTATGTCGCTCGTAAGGACCTTAGGGCGCCTCACCTTGCGCGGTGAGGCGCTATATAGCTGCCGAAGGGCGCGAAAGTTGCAGTTATTAGCGATGAGCCACTTAGGTTTATCGCTCTAGACAGTGTTACAGTACGTTTTGTAGTACGGATGGAGTATTATAGCAGCGTAGTACGCCGGCGAGTCGTCTAACTTGTCGTAATACTCGCTGATTTTTGTAACGGTTTGGGCCTTGCCAAGACCGACTTGGGTGAGAGTTGGGTACGGCTATCGCTACCACACTTTCTCATCACACACACCTATATAGCTGCAGTTCCTCCATAGCTACACAATGCAACGCAGTCCTCCTCCTCTCCTCACAACGCTACAATTTTAGCCCACGCGGCACGTAATTTAATGGCGAGATGGTCCTCAGGCGCCTTATTGTCAAGGTTGTCAGTAATCAATATCTCATCAATATTGTTGTTTGATTTGTTTGATTCGGAGCCAACCAACTAACCAACAGTTAGCCACTGTATTTCTGTCAATCAATCAACCAATCTTGAGAACAGAATGTTGATAGGATTGGTGTTGTTTGATAGTAAGCGAGGGAGGGGGATACCTAGGTGAGGCCTCTGGGATAGCTGCTCAACGACGAATTCTTAGTGTTGGATCTTGCTTACTAAGCCTACTCGCGTGTAAGTTATATGACCTAGGTTCCATCCCATCTCTCACTCACTCCAGGCTAGTACGTACGAGGCTTAGCGCCCACAACGCTAGCTGGCAGAGACATAGATCTCAATTCCTGTAGCACAATACACAACACGATTCACACATGTTCTATTCCTAGTGCTACTGACATCAGGCTTATAACATTTAACAACACCTTACTTTCTCGCGGCTCCGGCTTACTTTTAGCCTTATCCATGCCCTCTATACCAGCAAAACGCAAGCCCGAGGCTGCCGAAGAAGCTGATACTCCCTTCAAGCGAGCACAACGTACGCGCAAACCTACGCTCAAAGCGCTGTTGGGTGACGGCAGCCAGCCAACCCAGCCGATAGAGCTGCCAGAAAGTACGCCGGATCCGCCTACAGAGCCGCCTACACAAGTTATCGAGCCGCCCACACGGGCTATTGAACCGCCATGTAAGCCTGTACAACAACCCGAGGAGCGCCCTCGGCGGGCATCACCACTGCCTATTTTGGCTGCCTCACAAGCCTCTCGGCTCACTGATGAGCCAGCCTGGGAGTCGCAGTTAATGTTTGATAAGCCAGAGGACTCTATTGTACAGCCTTTAGCTTTCTCTAGCGCTGCCACTGAGGCTTCGGTGGAGGAGGATAGCGCTGTGAGCGTCGATTTTCGCGACTTTGAGGGCGTCGATTGGTCGCGATTAAAGGGGTTTGTCGCGCCGCTGAGCACTCCACGAGGCAAGGCAAGCTGGATTTTTCAACACGGCTGGCGTGTCTGGAAGGAGGGTACTCACCACCCAGATGAGTTGTACTTTGTGTGCAAGTACTGTCATATTCATAAGCTACCTAATGGTGTACACCGAGTAACGAAGTCAACCACTGCCGCCAACGGGCACCTCCAGCTTGATAAACCTGGTCATCGGCTCAGCAAAGATGGTCCAATCCTAAGCAAACCTCTCCGCAAACATGGACAACAATCACTTCGTCAGGCAGCTCTAAGCGGTGTCAAATTTAGTCTAGAGGCGTACAAGACTATAGGAAACTTCGACGTACAAGAATTTCGGCAGGCAGCTGCGCTCTGGCTGGTCGACAACAACAGACCACTCCGCGAGTTTGAGACGCCGGCTTTTCGCAAGATGATCAGGCTTGCTAATCCTGAGGCAGAGGCGGCGTTATGGAGGTCTCATAACAGCGTGTCAGCGTTCGTGATGAGGTTGTACAGTTGGCTACGGCCTCAGGTGGTGCGCGCGTTGGCTGAAGCCGAGAGCAAGGTACATATAAGCTTCGATGGGTGGACGACAAAAGGCGGCAAACGTGGCTTCTTTTCTGTAGTTGCTCACTACGCCAACAGTAAGGGCGCGATAGTTGACCTACCCATCGCGCTGCCGCAGCTGGTGGGTGCCCACACTGGTGAGGCGATAGCTGACGCTGTAACCAAAATCCTGCAATCCTTCAGCATTAATCGCAGCAAACTCGGCTACTTTGTGCTCGATAACGCTTACAATAACGACACCGCTGTTAACAAACTCGCCGCGATGTACCACTTTTCTGCCTCCGATCGCCGCCTCCGCTGCGCTTGCCACATACTTAACCTTGTTGGCCAAACGATTATGTTCGGGAGGGATGCTGACGCGTATAACAACGCCCTGGGAGAACACAAAGATGGAGGATTTTTACATGAAGGAGTGGCGGAAAGAAAGGACCGCTTGGCGTGTATCTTGATATTATCAACTACATCAACACGCCGAAGCAGTGGAGTATTTTTGAAGATTGCCAACGCGAGGCAGTTAACAGCATGCCCACAGGCGCCAGCGGCGGCACTCGCGAGCCAATTAAGCCGTGTGTTACACGTTGGAACAGCTATTACGACTGCTTTAAGCGCGGAGTTCAGCTCCAACAAGCTATCAACGCATACGCCACGTACCACATTCGCGAGACTGAACAGGCTGACGAACAGGCAGCTATTAGAGGAAACAAGCTGCCTGATGTGCCGCGGTGGATGAGGTCAGACGGCCTTACGGCGGCTGACTGGGCGGTGATTACTGAGTACATGGCGATACTGCAGCCGCTCAAGTTTGCTACAGATCGCCTCCAAGGCCGCGGCAAGTGTGGCCGTTTTGGCGCACTCTACGAGGTCATCCCAGTATTTGAGAGTGTGATAACTGAGCTGGATGCACGCCTTCGGCCATACGAATCGGTCAACCACGAGCCATCTGAGGCGCCCGAAGATCACATCCCGATCAACCTGCGAGCCGCGAGGCGAAAAGCGAGCAATTACTTTACTAAGATCCTCCAAAGTCCCATTTACTACGCAGCTACGGCACTACATCCACGATATAAAACATACTCTAAGCGCTTCTGGCGCGACAAACCTACACAATTGAGCACCGCGCACGCGAAGTTTCTGCGGGTTTGGGCTGCCTACAAGCCTGCCGCTGCTGCCACAACACCAACCCCTGCGCCAAAACCTACCATGAGCAGCTTTGACGACGCTATCGACGCTATACTAGATGAGGACGGCGAGCATACATTGGAGGTGGAGGATGAGTACGATAGCTGGTTAAAAGAGCCTATGTGGACGTCTGATCAACACAAGGAGGGTCCAACAGCTGTACAGTACTGGTTATCGTTGAAGCCGAAGTATCCACATCTTTCACGATTGGCGATCGACGTGTTGACTATACCCGCCTCCAGCTCTGATTGTGAGCGCGTTTTTGCGGGAACTGGCGATATAATTGAGCCACAAAGGCGGAAAATTGGCGCGCAGTTACTGGCTGCTTTGGTGTGCTTGCAACGGTGGACTCGTGCAGGTTTTACAACACCAAGCACGACAACAGCAGCAAAGCATACTGATGAGGAGCTCACGGAAGAGTTTGCGATAGGAACGTGGGAAGAGCCGCCTGCAGAATTGTCATAGAAACGTCCCTTCAGAACCTTAAGTCTATCAATATTCAATCAATCAACCAACCAAAAATTGGCTCTTCAGTCTCATCAACTCAAACAAACAAACTGTAGCCCTAAGAAATGAGCCAGTCAATCAACATCTACGCCTCAAATGTTGGTTGTTTTGTTTGTTGACTTCTCTGCTTATTGTGCGCGTTGTAGTCTACCGCCTCGTACGCTTTAACGCGCTGCTCGTAGTACGAGAGTATAGTAACAATAAGAAGTGTAGGACGAAGGTCTAAGTAAAAAAGCGACACTAAAAGCGTAGTATACGAGGCTAATAGTAGTAGAAAATATAGGATAGAGCATGCTATGCACGGCGTGAGGTTACATAGATCGCTTACTAAGCTACGTTTACAACACTAAAAAACTATCATGAGATCGCTCCTACTGCAAAACCAGCAGCCTCACCAGCAGCTAGCTGCTGCCTCTTCCCCGCTCAAGCTGACCAAGCTACTCAAGCCGGCTTCCTCCTCAGCTTGACTTGGCTTGTTAATTACTATGAGGCAGCTTGACTTGAGGGAACAATCAAGCTTCAAGCCGGTCAAGTCAAGCGCTTGATCTGGCTCGCTTGTTGGAAAGTCTGGTGGAACAGGGCTGAGACATCTAGTCACTCTGATATCCCAATGAGCTTCCCACGGGGGGTTTCTGTGAGAGCCGAGGACCTTTGGGTAATATAGTAAAGAGAGAATACGCCTACGCAAACCAGTCTCAAGGGATCAGGGAGATGGGAGCGATGTGCTGCCATGTTTCTTGTAGCTGTAATTGCCAGAACACCAGGCGAGATGATTTATGCAGAGTTGTCTACAAGAATTGAGGGATATTTGGCCCCAATTGTGTTCGATTCGACATCGCATGCCCTCCTCTCTCCACTCTTTTAGTTGCTTCCGCGTATAATGTACTGCAAATGTGGTATTACTCTCAGAACCAAGATCCCATCAGTGCGAAAACTTGGAGATAATATCTGCATCTCCAGAAGCTACAGTTTAATAATAGGACACATCAGTTACAAAATGCAACGAGTGTAAGTTAGCTTTCCGAATGTTTTCTATGTGATGCTATTTATAGCTTCAGTTAGAGGGAGATGAAGGAACACATGAATCATTCAATACCAAAATTTCTATGTTTGGCGACAGCAAAGAAGCAAGATAATCTTCTCTTTATGAACAACATGGCTGTCAAAGTCCTTCGATAAGGCACGGATAGTAATCAATGTCATGATAATGAAAGCCCCAGACACTAGACCCAACTGAGCGTAGCTTGAAACAACCCCCCAAGCCCTCACACAATGTTTCCACCACCATCAACCACAACCATGATGTAATACAAGACAAATAACAACCTAACAGAAGGTCACCCGGGTGTCATAAAATACTCGACATACTAGTGCACAAAGGCCACTACAGTCGCCAAACACGCCTATTACGCGCTTACACACACTACGTCAAGTATTTTATGACACCCCAGCGATGAATGCAAATCAGCCTAACAATAACCACAACCTGCACGAACCAACCCTTCCAGAGGGCTGTGCCAACAAAGCGGGTGCAGCGATCTCCACCCTGCAAATCCATCGTGGCCCCCAAATCCACTCTAGCGCCACGCGATGTTCGTGTTCTCGCGCTTACATTGGTGAAGGATTGGCGGATTTCGACTCGGGTCCAATAAACACTACCACGGCACAGCATTCGCAATCCTGGACCAGATTACAACATGGGAGTCGTGTGACGGTAAGCGGACAAAGACGGCGCGCGAGTACGAGGGGTCAATGTTCGCTGCTCACTTGCTTGAGGCGGAGCTGCGATCAGGATGCAGCATGTGTGGGTGCGGCTGAGCGGGCTGCCTTATCGGCGCTGAGTCGTTGTATTGAAAGGTGGCATGCGGGCTTATGGCTTTGTGTTTCTTTTCTCTGTTCTTCTTCTTTCGCTCTTCTGTTGTTTCTGTCTTGCTGTCGTTTGGCTTACTTTGGTGTTCATACTGAGAATCTGAGATGGGGTCGGCTATTGACAATCTGATGGGAGATACGGATCCCGAGGCTCCTGTAAGTGCGCTTTTGCTGGAGATGAAAGATAGAATGCTCATGGATGCGGTTCAGGTTCCAAATGGTGACGTTTCTAAAACTTCAGAGGGCGATGCTTCAAACAATTTCTTAATACCCACTACTACTTCTTCATCAAAGGCCAAGATGGCAACTGCTGCAACAACGACGTCAAAGTCGCATAGCGATTATTCAACTGCGAGCCCATCATTCACCACAATCATTCCAGACCCTGCACTGATAACAGGCGGACCAAGTTCGGGCAAGAGAAACAACAGTGGACTAAGTTCAGGAGCAGTTGCAGGAATCAGCATCGGAACTCTAATCATCGGCGCACTTCTCGCATTCATTGCAGCTTTCTTCCTCTTCAAGCGCCAGAACCGACAAGCACGTGCCAATGTCGGCGGTACAGGGTACACAAGCTACGGGGAATCGGCACCAGAACTCGTGATGATGCAACAGAAAAGCGTTGGTAGTTTAGGAGGAAGAAACAGCCCCTACGTGCAGGTCTCGCAGACTCCCGCACCTCGTGTGGTTCCGCCCCCAGCTCCGATTCCTGTACAACAGACGACACCTGAAGATGCGACTGCCTTCTTACCGCCTGCTGCGCATGATGACGAGGTGCATGGTAGAGTTTCCGGGCTCCTCGACAGAATCCATGAGCATGTAGAGCGCTTTTACCGCGATGTGCATGCGAGTATTACACCAAGTATGGAGCATGAAATCGCAAAGTTTGGAAGCAAGGATGTGGAGATGGCGGAGCTCCTTCAAAATTGCTCAAATCCCACTACGGCGCTCAAGCATGCGCTCGTGGCGTACGTGCTTGGTATAACGGCACCAAAGTCCAACGAGGGTGAACAAGGAACTGTCTTTCCTGAAGAGCTTAGTAGGATCATTATCGAGAATAGTACCGAAACTGCCTCTAGTATGCTCTACCATCGTTTGGCGGCGTATCTTGGTTCTACGGCTGACATTGCATACAGATCCGAGTGTTATCGCAGCAGCCTCTCTCCATCGGCGCATCTCTGTATACCTCTACACTGCCGTCTCTAACTCACAGGATTCTCGCGAAACAAGACTCACTCAATCAAACATACGCGAGGCAGCTGAGCATTTCTCTTTGACATTCTTCCCCTGGGCGAATCCTGCATCTTGTGATCAGGACAAAGATGATGACTTGGGGCGCATCATGACAGAGGCACTAGAGATCAGTATATGGCTGTTAGGACAGCCGGGTCTGTACGAGTTCGAGTGGGAGGGAACGGGTAGGAGAGGGGTTTTAATAAGCCCAGGGCTGGTGAGACGAACGCACACAGTTGGAGGTGTGGATGAGACAAGGATAGTCGAGGGTGTCGTCGTCGCAATGTAGATGAAGGCAATAAACATGTGCCTGCGTCAGTATAAATGCCGCTACCAAAGTCATGAGGAGGAAAAAGTGCAATGGTCATTCTGCAGGGCCCACTGCTAGCTGAGGCTACTTCGGCCGCAATGTTCAGCCTTCTCCAAGGCTCCGCCGTGGAAGAACAGCTGGAGTGCGGGTATGGCGACCAATACAGCGGTAACAAATTGCCGGTGCCTCGGCCATGGCTTTCCCCACGCCCGGATTGGCGCGAGGAGCTGCGACATCGCGTGATCGGCCAAGTGTGTGCCAATGTTGGGTTGAGACAGAGCAGCACAGGGGCTGAGCTCATCAGCTGCAGGTTGGTCTCTCTGATGATAATTGCGTATTCAGCGATTGTGTGATGATGCAGCGTTTCTACTTACCGAGTTGTGACATCTCCGAGAAGTTCCCTAATCCCGATAATCGCGTCACGCTAAACCACAAACACACGAGCATCAAAAAATAGCCCGTTGCGCCTGTACAGGAAGGTTCTGCCAGCTCTACAGTGCAGTTTTTGAAAGGCGGGCCGGCGTCATACCGAACCTGACAAACGCCCTGCCCAGTATATTCCGGTGGGGAGAAGGAAAAGAGCCCGCCCATGGCCACCAACTTGTTCTGTGCAGCTGCAGACGAGCAACACGTGCCTAATCAAGCATAGTCACACACATGAGCGGCCAGATCGGCACAGCAGATGGCGCCCTGGCTGGCGGCGATACTGCAGGTGAGGTCGACTAGTAATCCGGAGAAACGGAGGCAACACAAGGCGTTGGTAGATGCTATCCGCATTGGACGATGCCATCCCACCAACGGTGGGCCCAGACAAAGACCAACGACGGGACCTTCGTCATATTCCTTGTCCCCGCAGCAGCAAAGGCACGCGAGGGGTAGCATCACGGCAGTATGGGCCATGGCCTCGGAAGCAGTACTCATAAGATGCTGCCCTTCGCCCATGTTGCACTGTAATCCAAACACACGTCTTTTCCATTTGCCTTGACCCCCGGTCTCATATCACAAACACGCAGCTCAATTGGGTCCTTGCGGTAATCAATCAAGCGTACCGCCGATCCCTTTACCCGGAATTTGAGACATATATCTAATCTAGACGTCCATCCGATTCTGCCCCCGTAGCTTGTAGCCTTTTGTCCTACGCCCGTTGAAGCCTTTGCGCGCCCCTTGTCGCGAAGAAAATCCAGAGCGCGCGCGCGCCGAAGCCCATCTCGTCTTGCCCCGCCAGAGAGACTTGGTATACAACGAGCGCACACAATTTCAACAATGTCTGAAGGAAACGTGAAGCCCCCGGTTGTGGCCGAAGCGCACGAAGTCGACACATTCCACGTTCCCAAGGCGTTTTACGAGTGAGTTTTGTAGTTTGTTTGGTCCTTGCATCATGTACCAAGACAATGACAGCTTTGGCGTCATTCAGAGCCCGTGGGCGGGGTGACCCCGCGGTGCCGAGCTACGGCCGATTTGCAGGCCGCCGCATCGAGTTTGTATAGCAGCTGACGATGTCGTAGGAAGCACCCGCATTCAAGGCCTCACCTCGAAAACCTCGAAGAGTACCAGAAGCTGTACAAAGAGTCCATTACCGATCCAAAGACTTTCTGGGGCAGATTAGCGCGCGAACTGCTCACGTGGGAACGCGACTTCCAGACCGTACACTCGGGTAGCTTTGAGCATGGCGATAATGCGTGGTTCTTGGAAGGCAGACTGAATGCCAGCTACAACTGTGTTGATCGTCATGCCTTCAAGGACCCTAACAAGCCGGCCATCATTTACGAGGCCGACGACGAGGGCGATGGCCGCATCATCACATACGGAGAGCTACTCCGCCAGGTCTCCAAGCTAGCCTACACACTCAAAGAAATGGGCGTAAGAAAGGGTGACACAGTCGCTCTTTACTTGCCCATGATTCCAGAGGCCGTCATCTCCTTTTTGGCATGCACGCGCATCGGTGCTGTCCACTCAGTCGTCTTCGCCGGCTTTTCGTCTGATTCACTACGCGACCGCATCAACGACGCCGAGTGCAAGGTTGTCATCACCACCGACGAGGGCAAGCGCGGAGGCAAGACCATCAGCACCAAGAAGATTGTTGATGATGCTCTGAAACAATGTCCCGGCATCAGCCACTGCTTGGTTTACAAGCGCACTGGCGCCGAAGTCCCCTGGACCAAGGGACGTGACTGGTGGTGGCACGAGGAGGTCGAGAAGTACCCCAACTACATTGCACCAGAGCCTATGAACTCAGAAGACCCTCTTTTCTTGCTCTACACATCGGGTTCGACTGGTAAGCCCAAGGGTGTCATGCACACAACAGGTGGTTACCTCCTTGGAGCAGCAGCAACTGGAAAGTACGTCTTCGATATCCACGACAATGATGTCTTTTTCTGCGGTGGTGATGTAGGTTGGATCACAGGACACACATACGTTGTATACGCTCCTTTGCTGCTTGGTGTTGCTACCGTTGTGTTTGAAGGTACCCCTGCTTACCCCAACTTCTCGCGCTACTGGGATATCGTGGACAAGTACAATGTCAGCCAGTTCTACGTAGCGCCCACTGCACTGCGGCTACTCAAGCGTGCAGGCAATGAGCACGTCAAACACAAGATGAAGAACCTAAGAATACTCGGATCCGTTGGCGAGCCGATTGCTGCAGAAGTGTGGAAGTGGTATTTCGAGACTGTCGGCAAGGAGGAGGCACATGTTGTTGATGTGGGTCATAACCTCGTATGCTCGTATAACATAGCTGACGCGTAGTAGACGTACTGGCAAACTGAGACGGGCTCGCACGTGATTACACCCCTGGGTGGTATCACCCCTACCAAGCCTGGGTCCGCATCTCTTCCCTTTTTCGGTATTGAGCCGGCGATTATCGACCCCGTCTCCGGCGAGGAGATTCACGGTAACGATGTTGAGGGTGTATTGGCGTTCAAGCAACCTTGGCCAAGCATGGCACGCACAGTCTGGGGAGCACACAAGCGATACATGGAGACATATCTGACGGTATACAAGGGGTACTACGTGAGTGAGCAAATTCCATGTACCCCTACATGTGCTAACCTCTGCAGTTCACTGGAGACGGTGCCGCACGTGACCACGAGGGCTATTACTGGATTCGAGGACGCGTCGATGACGTTGTCAACGTTTCTGGGCACAGGCTGTCGACTGCTGAGATTGAGGCGGCACTTATTGAACACCGTATGTCGATGCTTTATAAGCAGATATGCACGATACTAACGATTGCGCAGACCAGGTGGCTGAGGCGGCAGTAGTGGGAATCCATGACGAACTGACAGGCCAAGCGGTCAACGCCTTTGTGGCGCTCAAGGACGGCACAGAGTCAAGTGACCAAGTGAAGAAGGACTTGGTAATGCAAGTGCGCAAGTCGATTGGTCCGTTTGCCGCACCAAAGGCAATTTTTGTAGTGCCAGATCTGCCCAAGACGCGATCCGGCAAGATTATGCGACGTATAATGCGCAAGATTCTAGCTGGAGAGGAGGACCAACTGGGCGACATCACAACGGTACGTAACTTTGACTCCTTGTCCTCATGGTGGTGCAGCCCGATGACGCGTACCCGGACGGAGCATAGTTTGCTGACGCTTTCGGACAGCTTTCGGATCCGTCGGTAGTCGACAAGATCATCGACATAGTGCACCAGTCGAAGAAAAAATAGATGGCTCGACTTGGCGATAGTGGCGGGAGAAGTGTAAGTGGTTGAGAGAGGGCAACGTGCCAGTGTTTCTGTGGGGGTGCGGGCCGAGGTGAGAATAGCACACAAGTGCAGATGAAGCTTACTAGGCGGGAGGGATCTGTCAGTTTTCTTGGGTGACTTGGGTGACAAACGCCGAGAACATCGTGAGACGCAGGCAGTATGCGCGCTGAATCACGACAATGCCGAATGTTGCGGGCCGTCACATGTATCTTTTTAGTTTTGGTAATGCCAATCGGAAGGTCGATGTTCTTTGTTTGGTTCTGCTGGTTGACAGGTTGCGTCAATCACGTCAATCACTATGCCAACTGCCGGCGACCCGCTCGCACAACAGCCACAGCAGCCGTATACACAATACGAAAGGCAAAGCACAGGCCGTGTTCGGTGCAGGGCATGGCCAAAGTTTCATTCGTGTCGCGCCTAGTCCCTCTTCTTCCGCGAGCCGGTTGCCAAGCAGGTGGCTGACAGGGGCTGTGCAGAGCGATTACGAGTCGACCTCGATGGCTGCTCTGCCATTCAACCATTGCTTTCTAGTATAGCCCTTTGCCTCTGCTAGCGTTTCTGAATACCGTATAGACGAAGCTTTGCCCACCCATGTCTCTCGTTGAAATCTGTTAGTTTTCAGCCGTCCACCACAAACTTCTTCGCGAACGGGCCCGCATCTCCTGAACGAGAGCACCGCCACCCGATAATGCGTATCTTTGGCAGTCTAGGCACCGCCTTTACGCTGGGACTTGCAACAATAGCATCCGCTTCATCATACGCCCGCCCACCGCTGAGAAGTATCGCGCTCGCCAAAAATGCCGACATCCTCACACAAACACACCGCGTGACGGCTGTGTCGTCGTTTGATCTCGCCTTCGACGTATCGGGGCAGCGCGTGCGCCTCAGCCTCGAACCCAACCACGACCTCTTTGTAGAGGGCGGCCAAATAACACACCTCAATGCAGACGGCAGCATAGCGCGCCAGGAGCCTATAGAGCGCCTGCAACACAAGGTCTACAAAGGCACAGCATGGCTGAAGAGAGGAAATCGCTGGGACAATGTGGGCTGGGCGCGAATAGGCATTCGCGAGGACGGTCTAGAACCGCTGTTTGAAGGCACCTATACTGTCAACCACAACCACCACCATATCAAGACAGCATCCGACTACAAGTCGACGCGCCAGGCAGAGGACCCGGATGTTGACCTGCGCGAGAAGGAGTACATGGTCGTCTTCCGCGACTCGGATATGGGCATATACGATGAACACTCGGAGCTCAGGAAGCGCGCTGACGACGTAGGATGTCCGTCCGATGAACTACTTTTCAATACGCAAGATGATCACCCAATCTACGCCAGCATGCGCGCTCGCGACGAGGCGTCGGCCATGTCGCCATCTTTTATTTCAGCAATGTTCAAGCGACAGAACGACCTCCAGCCCGGAGGTAACGGCGCTGGTGTTGAACTATCCTCTACCATTGGCAGCACTGCCGGATGCCCTGGTACTCGCAAGGTTGCGCTCGTTGGAGTTGCTGCCGACTGCACCTACGTGAAGTCTTTCGGTGGTGACAAGAACAAGACCCAGACGAACATCATGAGTGTCATGAACCAGGCCTCACAACTATTTGAGAGCACATTTAACATCTCCCTTGGTTTGGCTAACCTGCTTGTTACTGAGGCGGACTGTCCAACACAGCAACAACAGGCAACGCCCTGGAATCAAGACTGCAGTGGCAGCATCACTATCCAGGATCGTTTGAACCAATTCTCAACTTGGAGAGGTCAGCAAAAGGATACCTACTCCCACTGGACCCTGCTATCTACCTGCAACACTGGATCGGCCGTTGGACTCGCATGGCTCGGACAGGCTTGCACCACGGGCTCACAGGCCAACAATGGTAACTCTGGTGAGACTGTTGCTGGCGCCAACGTTGTCATCAAAACTGCTACTGAGTGGCAAGTCGTTGCTCACGAAACAGGCCACACCTACGGCGCCGTGCACGACTGTACCTCGGATTCGTGCGCAAACAAGGACCTTGTCAGCGCTCAGCAGTGCTGTCCCTTTAGCCAAGGCACCTGCGATGCAAACGGTGGTTTCATCATGAACCCCTCAACATCGCCCGGAATTTCCCGCTTCTCCCCGTGCTCCATCGGTAACATCTGCTCGGCACTCGGACGGAACAGTGTCAAGTCTCAGTGTCTCACCAACAACCGAGACGTCACCCTTCTCACTGGCCAAACCTGTGGTAACGGTATTGTCGAGGGCGACGAGGAGTGCGACTGCGGTGGTACCACGGGCTGCAAAGGCAACAGGTGCTGCAACCCCTCGACGTGCAAGTTCATCAACAATGCCGTCTGCGATGACTCCAACGAAGACTGCTGCCGCAACTGCCAGTTTGCTTCTGCCAACACCGTATGCCGCAACTCGGTTGGTGATTGCGATCCCCAGGAAATGTGCACGGGCAACTCACCCTACTGCCCCGAAGACAAGACCAAGCCAGACGGCACCGACTGCGGCAACGGACTCACATGTGCCAGCGGCCAGTGCACGAGCAGAGATATGCAGTGCAAGACCATCATGGGCAGTTACACCCAAGGCAACGATACATATGCCTGCGACAACAGCAACTGCATGCTCAGCTGCGCAAGCCCAGAGTTCGGCGCGAGATGTTACGGTCTCCAGCAAAACTTCCTCGACGGAACGAGCTGTACCGGCGGGGGAAAGTGTGTCAACGTAAGTTCATGTCCAAACCCGGCTCCCATTTGAAATGACAAATAACTAAACAAAATCGCAGGGCGTATGTCAAGGCGGTTCCGTCGGCAAGGAAATCACCTCCTGGATCGACAGCCACCTCCCCCTCGTCATCGGCCTCGCCGCCGGTGTCGGCGGCGCCTTACTCCTCTGTATCTTCTGCGGCTGTCTCCGGTCCTACCGCCGCCGCTCTAAACTGCGTAAATACGCTGCTGCCGTCCCGCCCCCAATGCCGTATCGTAGCGGCGGTGGCAGTGGCCGCAGCAGAGGCGGTGGTGGTGCCCCGCCAATGGGCCAGTATAATAATCTGCCGTCGAGGGGTGATGGCGGGCCGGTTGCTGGGCAGTGGACGCCACAGCCACAGCCGCATCAGTGGGCGCCTGATCCGCATGCGCCGAATGGGCATGTTCCTTTGCCTCCGCCGGTACATAGGAGTAGTTTGCGGTATGCGTAGGCTGGGACTGTTGGTGTTGTTGTTGTTGTAGCGTTTTTGCATCTTCTCGCTTAGTTGCGTTGCGTAATTATGAAACTTTACGGTCTTGAAATCTCTTTTTTTCCCTTTATACCTACCTACCTACTACCTCCGATAAAGGCTTTGGTTGTTGTTTTTTTTGTAGGCAAAATCTCCTTGTCATGTCATCTCATTTTTCACTTTTCGCTTTCTCGGTTTTAGCTTGGCATCGTTTATTGGCATTTGGTTGGTTTTTCTTTGCGGAGTGCGCTGTTTGCCCTGCATTCTTGGTTTCTTTTGTTGCGTGCGTGCGTGTGTTTTTTCTTTTGTTTTTGTTGTGGGGTTTCGTTGCATCGCGCTGGGATATGGGATGGGTTGGGGATAGGATGGGGGTATAGTGTGTGTAGGGTAGGCATTGGACTATAGACAGAGAGTTAGCGTGAGAAGGGGAATGAAGATTATATTCTGCTATATTGTCTTCGTTGTGAATGTTTGTGTTGTGTGTTATGTGGTAAGAGGGTTGTTTTATGACATGCGTTATACATACGTGGTTAGACCGTAGGTAAGCATATTACCCGCCTGTATAATACGTGCGTAGCAGTAAGCTTACTCATCATGTAGTTCTTTTGACGGCATGGAAGTGGTTGTCTGGCAGTAGGTGGTTATGTATGAGGGCAATTTCTGTCGTGATCTGAGAAGAAAAGCAAGTGTTTGGTGGATGGGGGGTTGTATTGGATGTGGTAGGGGATGATTCTAGGAAGTGGGGTTAATCGTCTGCAGGTAAGATGGTGACTAGGGTGAGGGTTCTGGAGAAGGCTATATTAGGGTCTAGAGAGTAGGTGCCAAGGCGAAGATGTAATGATTTCTGTGTTTGTGGGGGTTTGTTGCTTCAGGGTGGGTGTGATGTCAAGTTTGCGGGTAAGGGGGGTTACGGTATATAACACTTTCATGTCAAGAATGTTGCCAGATAGATGGGGAGTTGTGGTCGACGAGGGAAGACGTGAATTTCGTTCGAGTATCAGAGGGTAACGAGATAAGAGCTAGATACACGTCGTTTAATATTTGAATAGACGGAGGCTTGCTTCCCTTTGGATAGTGTACGCTACTCGCGCCACTGATGCAAAACTTGAAGATTATCGTATGATTCCAAAGACGCTAGCTTTGTCGGCGTAGCAGACAGTGCTACTAGAGCAGATGACGTAGGGCTGCGTCATGTTGAGATATCAACCATAATCATGCGTGAATCGCATTTACGGTGTAATCCCTCATCTCATCTGTGAAACCGCTTTCTAACCACTGATAAAGTAGCAATTGCAACGGTTGTTCTCTGCCCATGCCGAGTGGAATCTAGAAGCTATACCACACTACTCTGACGTTAGTATGTCTTTACAACACTCGGATAGGCCATATTATACTGCTCTGAAGATAGATGGGATGTTTGTGCACACGGAGGCGTCGGCAGCACTACAGTCTCCACCTGGCTATCCCTCCATGTTAGCATAGCCATGTGATGTAGCAACCGGCAAATCTACTTACTCCACGTGGAGAGGGGCTGCACTTCGCTTGGGAGCTGGTCCAAGCAGACACAGAGCCTACAAAGGGCAATGCGACAACGAGTACGTTGAGGAGGTGGAATTGCATCGTAAGGATATAATTGCTTTGGAGCAAGATAGAGAGAGAGAGTACGTAAGTGTCTTGTACAAAGGTAACGCGAGAGAGATAATTGTAGGTTGAGGGACTTTCCTTTTCTATATGGAACGGGCCGTAAGGAACAACTTAATCACCGAATTAGGAGTACGAGACGCATGTTTCTCCTGTCTAAGTACATAACACGGGCGCGGCATACCAGGATATGATGACTTTGGTAAGCCGTGCTTCTTGGCATGTCTTGGATGTTGGGCATGCTGTGTGTATTCCGTCGCCTTTTGAATCCTCGTTCTAACACTCACGCCAGCAATCACAAGTATTGCCATTCCGCCATGCCGAGTGGTGTTTACAATGGCCAGGACACTACTCCAATGTCAGTCACTCTTACAATAAACGGCGCCTTAGTGATTCAGCTGAACTTACAGTCTTCTCGATATCTTCATCAAAAAAGCATTTGTAGGCGGCAGAAAAACCGCAGTTTCCTCCCAGCTGGTCATATGTGTTAGCATAGCGTCTGGTGTAATAGTCAGAAGATCTACGTACACCCCACTCTGCTGGAGCAGCTCTGCATATCGCCTGGGGGTTAACAGGGAGGTTGGGATCTACCTCCTGGGCAGACACAGAGCCTACAAAGGGCAATGCGACAAGAAGTATGTTGACAAAGTAGTATTGCATCGTGACGATACGTAGAGATAAAGGGATTGTCGGTGGTGTGTGTGTAACCGAGGGTTGAGGAAATTTCCGTGTTGAGAAAAAGAGGAAGGAAGTACTTGTTTAAATTGGCGAATGGTAAGATGAACACAGAACGCTTTCCCCTCAAAAGTAAGCGCTGACAGATGAGAATAGGCGTCGGATATCCAGGGAGGTAACAAGTCAATGCGCGGTGTACTAAAATATTACTCCCTATGGACCGTGCCTTTTGCCGTGTGTTGGACACTGTGCTTGCTTTGCTGGAGTCGACAAGTGAGGCACGTCAAAACTTGGTGTTTTCTGATTGAATGTGAATTAGAGGATGATACTACGCACCAATCTTGAAATGAGTGGACTAACTTCTTGGGTTGCCCTCCTTGGATCGGGTCCATATCATGAATAAGCCTCGGCCATGCTCTGAATTCGGCTTACTTGCCTCTGAGATATGGCAGATCAGCAGAACAACAAATAGTACAAGTTCCGGTTTGAGCCGGATACATGACTGGTAAGGGCAAATACCATCTGAAAAAAGACCTAGCATGACCTGTAAGTAGACTGAGAGCCTTGTATGGGTTTTACGGTTTTCCAGGAGGAGGTTTCTATGTCTCAAAAGTTGACTCTGTAAGAGGAATCTAGCATAACTTGTAAGTTAGGTGCTAGTCGGAGGGCTATCTCGAAGGCGGTGTAAATCAGCCAAGAGGATGTCCAAGGCGACCATGGAGCTGCCAAGATAGAGGGCTGGTTTAAACAAATACTCCCGCAATTTTTGTCAAGACTATTCTGATCAAAACTGAAGAACCATCGATTACTTGATCTTCACTTACTTGTCCTGATCATGCCCCTTCGGAGTTGGGTTGAATAAAACTCGATTTTTGGTCTCTTTGACAGAATATGAACTTCAATATAGCGGCAGAAAGCAGTCAAGACTAAAGAGAGAAGGTATGGAAGACTTTGGATATATCTGTCACGATTGAATCGCGCTTTAGTGGTATGTTTGGCAGTGATGTGTTGGTTGGCGAGTTCGGGCTTCTGTTATCACTTGTTCTGGGTCATATGGGCCGTGAATGGATCTAGAGAGAAGGCGGGCGTGAAGCAGGTGGTAAAAAATGCGGTAAATTCGAGATGTCGGGTTTGTAGGTGCAGAGGTATGGCAACCCAGTTCAGATTGTACCTATTAAGAGGAAAAGAAAGAGGTAGTAAAAGCTGGCGGATAAAAGAAGCCTTGTTTGAGATCAACGTAGATAAGTATAGTCGTTCAACTAGTTCATGGCTTGCTTGGCTACATTCCAAGCCAGCATGGTAGGAGGTAGGTATCCCTACCCCCGCCCCACTGACATCACCTTTGGACCCACCTTGCTACAAAGCGCTGTTAGTCCCGAATACATATGCTCTTCTTGCTGACAAGTTCTTAGTTTACAATGTTGGTGGTGTTGTCCAAATGCTCGTCTACCATATTATCATCGTTTCGGACCATCGTATGCGATATAACTATGAGTCTGAGACTCTCTACGTGCCTAGCCTATGGAAGAAAATGCAATCGCACGACGCGCGGGAATAATGGACAAAAGTAATCTAGTGGAGCCGTGCTTCGTTTTGATTGGGCAAAGAGTACGTCCGCAGCTGGCGTAAATGGGTTCGGAAAACGTGGATGGTGTTGAAGAACTGATAACTGATAACTGATATATGATCCTCTTACTTCTTGTGGGATGCAATGTGTGAGTGCTGTGTTTCAGATGCTGCGGCTTCTACGGGACGTAATTAGGTATGGGAGGGTTGAGGATTATTGGGGTGGATTTATGGGTACCGTGTTGGAGAGATTTGCTTGAGGTAGTATGTAGAGAGGAGTGACGTTCCGCTGGCCTGGAATAGGGTGTGGATTGTGAACGTCTGCCATGATCTGATGCGCGTTTTTCAGCAAAAAAGTCAGATATTGAGATAATGGACTACTCCTTCAGCGAAAGAAAAGCGCCTCCACCTATATTAGTATGATAAGAAATCGAATCTTTGCGGCTGCTATAAGTCGTTCCTGCAGCCATTAATCTAGCCGCCCCTCCTCCGCTTCGGCAGTTGCAGCAACAGCCGAAGCTAAGCCACACTCTGCAGGCACAAGACCCCTATCCTTACATATCTATATCTGTCTCCTAACATCGCAGCCCATTCACTATAAACAAGATTCCCAAGCCTAAAGAGGCAGCTTCTCGCTTTTTTGATAGTATCGCGGGAGGTTCAAGGGTGTGGCGTTATTGCAAGTGCCGGGAGGAGAGCCCCACTTGCTGCAAGGCTGCATAGACCCTGACAAGTATGAAGTCATGACCATAACCGCAGTGGAGAAAAAGCTTAGAAACCTGACAGTAGATGTACATCACCTTTTCTCACGAGACGAAATGATTAATTGATTAAGCGCCGTCTTGCCAACAGCATCATAACGGTATTTGAAGACTTATTACAGCACACCAATCTCGTGAACTTCTTCATCACGAAAAGATCTTATAGGGAGAAAGCCTCAAAGAACTTTTCTCTGGAAAAAAGGTCCTTGATAAAAAAGAGGAAGAGAAAGAAAATCCAACAAAATGCTCGCTCTCACCAGCGCAACGGGTAAACTAGGTTCAGCAGTAATATCCGCCATCCTAGAAAACAACCTCATCGACCCAAAGGACCTCGTAATCTGCGTACGTCCCTCCTCCCTAGCCTCCATCTATCCCCCTAATCCTCCCTCCCCTCACCTCCCCAACCCTCACCCAACTAACCACCCACACCCACAGTCCTCCAGCCCCCCAACCCACCCGCACCTCTCCCACCTCCTCCAACTCCACCCAACCCTAACCCACCGCCCCATCGACTTCACCAACCCATCCACCCTAACCCCCGCCTTCACATCCTGCAGCACCCTCTTCCTCGTCTCCACGCCCGCCATCCACCTCGACTACAACAACGCCGTCCCAGGCCAAGGCCGCGAAGCCCACCACATCGCCGCCATTGACGCGGCACTCGCCGCGGGCGTTAGACACATTTACTACACATCGCTCGCATTCGGCAATCCGAGTAAAGCGGGTGTGATGCGTGCGCATATACGCACCGAGGCGTATTTACGCGAGGCGGAAGCCCAAGGGAAGTGTAAAGTGACGGTTCTACGCGAGGGCTTGTATAGTGAGAGTTGGCCGTTGTATTTTGGGTATTTTTACGGACTAAAAGGGGAGAGGAGGGGGGAAGTGGTTGTAGCGGGTGATGGGCGGGTTTGTTGGAGTAGTATTTCGGATTTGGGATACGCGACCGCCAAAATCCTAGCGGCGGAGAGTGAGGTGTGGGCGGGGAGGACGGTGTATTTGTCGCAGAAGAGGGGGGTTACGTTGGCGGAGATTGCGCGCGTTGTGAGTAGGGTCAAGGGAGAGGAGGTGAAGCTCAAGATTGTGGATACGAAGGCGTATGAGGATTTTTACGTCGAGGAGATGGGAATGGAGAGGGCGGCGGTGGAGTGGTGGAGTAGCACGTATGAGGCGCTTGAGGAGGGGGAGTGTGAGATTGATGATGGGACGTTGGAGGGGCTTTTGGCGGAGGCGGGGAGGAAGCCGAAGCAGATTGAAGAGACGGTTGAGGAGATGATGAGATAGGTATGAGTTGTGTAGATGCAATTGATGAGCTTTTTGGTAATGATAATGTTCTATTCATATACATATACAAAAGGCTACATCTATATCCGCACCCTAGCAGCACTATCGTTCCGCTCACCCATGACACCAAACCCAAAGTCCTTCCTCCGCTTATTGCCCCGTCGATCACCGTACTGCTCGTCAAACTTCTTGATTGCATTCAGACTCGACATATTCTCGCTGATACTAGCGCTGATTTCTTGGAGTGCCTTGTCAAAGTGGCGGGCGTGTAGAACACGTTTATCAGGGAATTTGTAGGATTGGCCGGGAACGAGGTGGAGTGCTGCTTTGGGCTGTGGCTGGGCTGGTGTTGAATCTGGATGTGATGTGGAAGACTCGGCAGGAGCGTCCACATCGTCGTTTCCTGCAACAACATCCGCAGCGGCCTTGGCGGCATGTTCATTCTCCTCCTTGACACAAGCTAGGGCAGCAGAGACGGAGATATTCTTCAGGTCGCTCCCGCTGTAAAACGGTGTCCGCTTAGCAATATCGTCCAAATCCACAGACGCATCCAACAGCTCGCCCTTGAGATGAATCTTCAGAATCTCCTTGCGGTCCGCCTGCGTCGGCAGATCAACGAGTAAACGTCTTGGTAGCCGGCGAATAACAGCGTCATCGAGATCAAACGGCCGGTTCGTAGCTACCATGACAAAGACCGACAAATCATTCAGGCCATCCCATTCTTTCAGAAACTGGTTGAGGATATTACGATGGGATACGCGTTCCTGCATTGCATCTCTCGAGGCGAAGACGGCATCTGCTTCGTCGAGAAAGACAATGCAGGGCGAGAGCTTGCGTGCGAGCGAGAAGATAGCTGAGACATTCTTCTCACCCTCACCAACGTATTTGTCCATGATTTGGCTGCCGGAAACTTCAAGCACCGTGCTACCGCTCTCTTTTGCGACGGCTTTAGCAAGGAGTGTTTTGCCGGTACCTGGAGGCCCGTATAGCAGCGCACCCGAGATCTTCTCGGTTGCAAGGATACCGTAGCTAAACGCCTCTGGTCGGAGCAACGACAATGATGTAATGGTTCGTATCGAATCCACCGTCTCCACCGGTACGTGTACTTGATCGAAAGTCGTCTTGATTTGATCTGCATCCACGATGCCTGGTATAAGTCGCTTTTCCCATTTGGTAGCCGCGGCTGTAATGCGCTGCATGTTTTGTTGATGTCGCTTAGCCTTTTCTCCCAAACGCTTTTTGGCCAAGTCGGCCTCTGTCTTGCCTTGCAGTATGTGGAACGAATTTCTTGATTGCTTGGGCATCTCTGCTATCTTGTCAAAATACACAAATTTCGTCGCATCACTGGCTCGCAGTAAGCCCATGGCAAGCGCGACATGTGCCCAGCTAAGTTGCGCTGGTTCCTGTCGAGAGGCTGCTGACTTGCTCGTTGGGCTTGTGATCAGTAGGCCTAGCGCTGTGAGCGCTACTCTGTGCACCTCATCGTATGTTAGCACCCGCTTAAAGGCAGATTCCGAAAAGATGCGTGCCCATTGTCCGAACTTTACGGAAATTTCATCCATGTCTGAGATACTGGCGGCGGCAGACGAGTCCAAGGATCGGAGCATGTCTTGTATGTGAATCAGATTGATGCGTCGGAATCTGTTCATTTCTGGCGGTACATGGTCGAAAGATGGCTCAGGAAGCATCAGCCTTGCAGCATTCTCCTCCATGCCGGTTCGTTCAGAATCTGTAGTAACAACAATGGTCCTAAAAACACCACTCTCGCCTTCGCTCTGTAGACCCATGACTCCACTGCGATTTGTTAGCTCAGTCATTCGACCACCTTCCGGCATCCTGTACCTGGTCGTTAGCTCAGGAGTGAGCTCGCGTGAACAAGTGCTTCCAACTATCATGATGCTCTCGCCAGCAATACGCCGCTTGCGAACGAGTTCTTCGAGTTTTTGGATGATGCGGCCGCCGTGGTACGTGGCATTTAGTTCCTTGAAATTCTTTACATAAATAATCTTCGACTTTGTCGGAACATTGAGATTTGCTGATGACGAGCCAACCTTGACCTGCAAGTTAATTTCCGGCCTCGCCGAAACCGGCAACGAGGAGTTTAATTCAAGATGGGCACCGTCCTCGGCCAAGGAATAGTCAAAAAAGGCAGGCCCCTTTGGAGATGTTGACAGACGATCAGAATGGCTACGTGGGGGTGAGATGTCGTTGCCGACAATGCCACGAATTTGTTTCATGTCATTCGAATCGATTAAAGCCTCTAAGAAATTGGCTAGCTTCATATCCTCGAGTTGCAATTCGCTCTGACTTTGTGTCCGTCCAGACTCGTCGTTGGTAGCACCAGCTGATGTCCCATACTGATTTCCAGAACCGACTTGCTGGATCTTGGCGTCCTGGGACATGAATCGGAAGACAGGCGTGAGGGCAAAGATGGAAAGCGGACTACGAGAGCGTGCTGAGTTGGGATCAGGCTGGTCCATGGACGAGGGTTGAGACCAATCTGTTTCTTCTTCAGCGGATGCATCCTCTGCGTCTCCCTTGTCCGCCCTAAAATTATTTAGATCTGAATTCAATCGATACGTTTCGTAACCTAAAGAGCGGATGGAGCGAGGAGATGGTTCTGCGCCTTCGCCCAAGTAGTCTCCGGCGAGCCGAGCGAGGTCCTGAGCCTCCAACACGATGACATCGGACCCCAATTCAAACGCACAAGACTTTACACATGCATCTATCGAGGCTTCGTGCTCAGGCGTGGGTGAATGAAGGATGAGGTTTGTTTTGGTAGCAGGAAATGAGTTGCCTATTGCTGGCTGCAGCGATGCAAGAGACGCGGCGATAGTGGCTCGGATTTCCGCAGCGATCAATGGAGATATTCGTCCAGAAATGCCAGTCTCCAACTCTGTCAACATCCTAGCAGCATCCCTTATCGTAGAAGCCTCTCGGAACTTGCTCCATCTTGCCAATGCCTCATCGAGAGGCTCAGTCTTGGGTCCGTTATCCTTGTTGGCCACTGGCTCGTTGTTTGGTGGAGGTGAGCTGTGCGAGGCCTCGTCGTGCAGACCCCACTTCCCCTCCAGGTATTGCTCTACCTTTGCCTTTTCATGGTCGTCCAAACGCCAACTCCACAGACCACGCACTAGTCGTGAGAGAATCTGGGCCGTTTCTGGGTTGAATCCAGCCGGGATAGTACATGCAGCCTGCTCGCCAGACTTTGTATGAGTCACTGCAACCGACAGAAGTGTGGGTGACTTTGCATCGTGTGAGTCTCCAGGCAAGTCTTGGCGGCGTAGGACTCTCCTCTTTAGGAACCAATTGGGCAAGAGCACAGGCGGCAGCCCATCGGCCTTCTTCCCTCGTTGTTGGCGTCGCAAAGCAGCCGAATAGCGGCGCGAAGTTTCCCGCGACCGCTGGAGCTTCTGCGCGAGCACCTCGGGGTCATCCAACGCTACCGTACCGTCTGCAGGTTCATCGGTGGCTGTTGCCTTTTCTCGGTCCGTCTTGTTAACGCCATCCTGGTCGGCTGGCGTGCTATTTGGCGCTGGCGGGGGATTGGAGGCTTGAGCAAGTGGGCGAGTCGTATGTAGTGTTCGTAACCGTGGTGTCAATGGGTAGCGGCGGCCGCGAACAAAGCGCGCTGGAGGTCTTTTGGTGGACGCTCGCAGTGCAGACCGAATCACGTACATCCGGACGTCGAAGGCGCTCCCAGATATCGCGAGGGAGGAGGCCTACAGAGGTAATTGTAGGCGTTGGGTAGAATGCAAGCGATGCGCTAGATATGATGGCAATGCCATGGTCAACTTTCACAATTAACGTGTCCGTGCGCGTGATGCGCGGATTCGCGTGATGCGCGGGGAACACCATATCCACTACTTCAAAAATGAAGCTATTAAGCCACGTATATAAGCTGTTATTATACGAATTTATAGAGGGGGAGTAATTAGATGCTTGCGATCAACTTGTACTATCTATATTTTGATGGGAGGTTGACGTTGCGGCCACGTGATGTGAGCTTTGATGGAGGAGCTGGAGGCTCTTCTTGAACTTGAGCACCAGCGCGAGCAGCCTCAACGCGTTTTTGACGCTTGTTGTTCGATGAGGTAGCTGCTGAAGCTCTCCTCTTTCCCTTTTGGGGTAGTTGTATAGCTTTAGCAGCGTCTCTCTCCTCCTTCTGGCGCGCGCGTTCAGCTGCTTTCTCAGCTCGCTCAAGCTCCCTCATCTCCTTGAGTCTCTGCCTCTCCACACGCCTCTCCTCGAGCTCATCTTGACGCTGCAGTCGAGCCTCCTCGCGCTGCTTCTTGGACCGTGCTTTTTGGAGTTTCTCCTCCGTCTCATCTCGCTCCCGTACTGCTTCTCTAGCTCGAGCCTCACGCAGCTTGCGAGGAGACCAGAAGACAGAGCCACCGTGATACTCCTGGCGCTGTTGAAGGTCAAGAGCTTTGCCCTTCTTCCTGTGCTTCTTTTTATGTTGAAGAGCCTCCTTTAAGCCCTCGTTCTCATGCTTTAAAAGCTCATACTGCACAGAGAGATGGTGAACGCTTGAGCGCAGCTTTCTTGCCTCATACTGATGGCTATCATTAACAGCAGCTCGTACTAGCCGATCGAGCTTTCTCCAGTCATGATCAGAGAGCCCTGACGATGAGCTTCTCTCAGCTTCTGGCGTGCTAGCAAATCTACGAAGGATAACGTTGGCATCCATCGGCCAGATCCCAGTGGCTTCGAAGGCCTTCAATATGAGGCTCTCTGTGAAGGAGGATATCCAGGCGCTCCAGAAGAGCGGGAAGAAGTCCCCTTTCTTGATTGGAATAAGGCCTTGAGCCTTATGGAGATGGTTAGTGAGCTCGTTAGAGTAGGCTTGAGAGAGTGGCTTGAACAGCACTACATCTAGCGGCTGGAGCGTATGGGTCGAATGGGGAGGAAGGATCATGAGGAGGATCCTATGGCGATCGCAGTACTTAATAAACTCCATCGTGAGGTGAGATCCATGGCCATCAAGGATGAGCAATCTCCATCTACCTGATCGTTGCTTTGTAGAGCGATCAAACACCTGCTCCAGCCAAGCTAGGCCTACGTTATCATTTGACCAGCCTGTTGGAGATGATGAGACAAAGACCTCATGTTCTCCTGCCTTGATATCTTCTACCCAACTCGATCGTATAGCTCCATTTTTAGCTGCGTAGATAAGGGCTGGAGGCAGCGAGCTCCCATCAGCGCAGCAGCAGGCCAGGACTGTCAGAAACTCGCGTGATCCATCCTGGAGAGATGCTCGAACCTCCTTCTTCTCCCATTGACGCCTGCTGAATATCCTCTTACTTCTGCCTATCAAGCCAATTAAGAAGCCCTTCTCATCCATATTGTATATATCTCGAGCCTCTAGGTGATATTCGGTGATCTTTCGATGCAGCAGCTCGAAGTAGAGTCTATACTTTGACTCAGAATCAGCCAGGTGGCGCGTACGATCCATGGCGCTGGTCCACTTTGAGATGAGATGGATCTCGTGTCGGTTGATGAAGCGAGTAACCCAGCTCTCGCTGAGCTGCTGATGGGCTACTTCTGATGAGAAATTCCTGATCATCTCTCGTGTAGGAGGAATGCCTCGCTTTGTGAGCTTTTCGATATATCTCACAAGCTCTAGCTCTTGTTGTGGGTTGAGTTTCTGCTGGTTGAAGTTCTTGTCTCTTTCTGAGCTTGTCTGGCCCTGGTGCCTTCGGGTCAACGTAGATCTCACAACACCATGCTTAGCAGCAATTTTAGTATACGAGAACTGTTCTCCTGGCTCTAGATTTTCAATATCTTCAATCGCAGCTTGAATTGGGTCCATATTGGTGGAGTTAACGTGTGTTGAAGGTGAAGGGGTTTGACGTGTTTTGGTGTTCCCCGCGCATCACGCGAATCCGCGCATCACGCGCACGGACACGTTATCCAACCAGAGCAAGGGTCCGCGGCCAAGACTCGCCGGCTATTCCCGCCTAGGCCTACAACGACCGCATGCATGCAACACTACTTGACGAGAGCCGTTCCAAGCTGCTCCTTTTTACACCTAGTGACTACACATGTCAAGAAAGCCTTGCCAGACTCTTGAGTCTTTGTTGTCACCGCTGCGACTCAGCCAAGATCAAATGTTCAACCATAGTTATTACGCAAATGACGTCACCAGCTCACCCTCAAACCCCGACAATAGCAAGCCTGAGGCTCAGTATTCGGCTTTGCATAGACTAGTGACTCAGGGCTTTGAAAATACATGTGTTGAGAAGTGTTCGAAGGTGGCCTGACAATGAATACGTTGTCGTTCAATCTCAGACTTGGTAGCCTACTCAGTGCTAGAACCACAACCATGGTTTACGTCTACGAAATGTCACACATTACCAAGGCTTCTTTCATCATATTAGTCGGCTAGCGAGGCCGGCTGGCTTGATAAGTCGTGCGCGTGTGCAGTGCCCCATAGGTATCCACTCGGCCAGACAATCTCAAACAGAGATGTCAACAAGCAAGTCAAGCTGGCTTGATTCTTATCGATTGCAGATCACAGACCATTCTCTGGGACGTGCCACTGTGCACGAGCCTCTATATTGTCTGTGATCTGCAATCGATAAGAATCAAGCCAGCTTGACTTGCTTGTTGACATCTCTGATCTCAAAGAACACCACCCAAGTCCGATGATCATAGCGTAGTCTTGGTGTTAGGGCACTCTGAGAGTCACCCTACTGTATACATACATGATGAAAGAAGCCATGTTCAACCGTACCATAAATCGAAATCAACAAAGAGAACTAGCGCCTGGTCGAACCAAGTTCCACAGTCAAGGCTGCCTGGTAGACCTAATTTTTTCAGAGTACCAGCATATTTAATTTGAGACAAAAGTACTGAACACCACGAAAGAACTGCCTCATAGCCGTCACCTCTCTATCGGAACTGTGATTTATCGCGTGTACAAAATGTCTTCCTACTGTGTCGAATCAGCAAGTAAGTATTATCAGTCTTCTATTCCGACACGACTACTCTCGACATTCGGCGACAGTCCAACAAATGCAGAGCTGACGGATCGTGCTAGGAACCACACCTCCCCAGTCCTCAGTAGACGACGAGAAGGACCCATCTACCCACGCAAAAGTCGAGAATGCTGGAGAGGTCGTGACACGAACTCAGCAGTGGAGAATCTTGTCTTCGACGTGCCTGGTGGCGATCACGGTAATAGGTTCGTACTTTGTTCTTTCCTTGCGCAATTCAATCTCGTGACTGACAAGTACAGGTCTCAACCAAACATTCGGCGTCTTCCAAGCATATTATGGGCGTCAAAAGTCTGTCCAGGAGGGCGTACTTGCCGGAGACGACTTCCTAAACCGCCCTTTGATCTCCACCGTCGGGTCCATGAGCAGTGGAGGACTCGTTGCCGCTTTTGGAATATTCTACTACCCCTATTTGCCTGTATTGGGATGTCATGTCAGGTCCCTATGTGCGGCCGCTACCGCCTTTGTCACGCTGGGCTTTTTCGGAGCATCAATGAGCCACAATGTAAGGACAGTCGTGTGTCTATGATGATACATTATACTGACTCGTCCGTAGTTGGCCTCAATCATCGGGTGCCAGGGAACGTTGGTCGGTATTGGGTCTGGCATCCTTATTTACGTCCTCGGGCCCATTCTGCCAGAGTACTTTCCGCAACGAGGCGGCCTAGCTCAGGGTGTCATGTATGCATGTAAGAGCCTCGCACATACTCTATCAAAGTCCTGCTAACATACATAGCTGCCGCTCTGGGGGGCATGATATGGTCCTTCGCGTTGACAGGGCTACTCGAAACGGTCGGTATCCGCTGGACACTAGGAAGCGTCGCCTTGGTGAACATGGTCATCTTGGGTATTGCAAGTGTGCTCGCTCTCCCACCCCGACGCTTCAAAAAGCGCAGCACGCACATTATTGGTTGGAAGACGATTCGCGATCCACTTTTCCTCTCTCTCGCGATTGTGAACCTCACACAACCATTGGTCTTGACACTTCCCATGGGATATGGCCCTATTTTTGCAGAGTCCCTTGGAGTCAGCATCAGCAAGGCGTCATATCTGGTGGCTATCAACTCGGGAGTCGGAGTCCTAGTAAGACCAGGTACCGGCTGGCTGGCAGACAGGTTCGGGTATTTGAACATGCTTATGATTGCTACTGCCGTGTACTGTCTGGCGACTTTCACACTTTGGCTCCCGGCAGCCACGGTGAGCAACGTGGGACTCTACATTGGCATGTGTGTCTTCCACGGGTTGGTCAATGGCGTTTTCCTCATTCTCATCAACACGGCGCAGAAGACGCTGTTCGGTGCGGAGATGTATTATCCCAAGTCTGGCGCGATGACTAGTATACGTGGCGTTGGTCTGGTCATCAGCGCACCTATAGCCGGCGCGCTGTTGCCGAGAAAATCCGCCTCGGACCTACAGGGACGCGACTTTACGGGGCTGATACTCTACACGGGATTAATGCTAATAGTCTCGCTGCTGGCTTTGGGGCATGTTCGATGGCTAGATGCGAAAAGGAACGGATGGAAGTTGGCGCGCTAGGCCGGGAGCGGGGCACTAGGATAGGCATGTTAATTGCGATGTCGGCGTTTTTTTAGTCTGTTGTTCTCTCCCTCCCCTATGTTTGTGAATTTGAATTTGGTTTTTGATTTGGTTTTGATAAGAGGGTCTAGGCGCCGAGTCCCGTGGATACGTATACACGTGTAGCACGACAGGCGGACACGTGCGTCTTGGCTGCGTAAGATGCTGTGTTGGTGCATGGTACATATAGACAGACGTTAGTTGTAGTCACGACGTTAGGTCGATAGCGAGACGGTTGAAAAACACGTTTGTCAAGCTTGGGGAAACTGAACGGAGCTGAAACAAATTGTGCGATGATAAGGGAGTATCTAGAGGAGATCGGAATTTCACCAAGGTTTAGCGAGACCTTCTCCGCCTGTTCCTGAATTCTTGGCGACGTCGATCGTCGGTTCCCAAATGGTGCTGACCGCCGAAAGCAGTTGGCTTGGTTAGGCCAATACACCCTCAGATGCGCGTTGCCGCTCACTGCACGAGCGCTGGTCCTGCAGGGCTCTCTGTACCTTCACCCTCACCTCTCCACGCGGCTTGGGTTTGACTAAAGCCGTCCCGCACCTGCACTAACCAAGGCCTTACACGCGCATTGACAGCTGCCGGACCACACTCCCTTAGCTGCAGTAGGCGCGTGCCAGAAGTTCCCTCACCAACGCGACATTCCATTCACTCACCACAAGCAGGCGCGCCTAGTGCCATGACGTCTTTTTGACATGTCTGCTAGCCATCGCAAACCTCCTCCACCATTGACCTGGAGGCCGCGATGTCGCTTACGCCCTCCAGTTCCCGGGTGAGCCCAGCCATTGGGTCCGGCATCAAGCTTAATCCCTCCCCATCACCATTCTTCAAGACGGCCCTGCGCTCGCCCGTCAAGGCTGGACGCGCCGAAGCCAATTTGGCCCTGCGTCAGGTCATCGGCACCACGACCAATTCGCCCAATGCCTTTGACAGTCTGCCATCCGGCAGTACTTTTGGCTACACTGCCGGAGCGGCCGCCGTTATAGCCTCGATAGACGACCAAGGCCATGTTACCCAGCGCTTTTACCGTGCACGACCTACCACCAACCCCATCAATCCATCGGCATCCATATACGGCGGTCCCTCGACCCCAACCCAAAATGAGAGCCGCAACCGGACCACTCTCTCACTGCGCGACCCTGGCCTGGGAGCCTCCCCACTGCCGTCTCCCGGCGGCCAGGACTGGGCCGATTCACCGAGCAACAGAGCATGGACAATGAAGGACAAAATAAAGGCCGCCACCTGTGTTAGCTTCAGTCCAGATGCAAAGTACTTTGCTGTGGGAGAGGTAAGTCACGAGTGCTGCCAAATGCGCTCCCATTCTAACCCATTTTAGACTGGATATAAACCTCGAGTACTCATCTTCTCAGCCGCGCCAGATGCGCCTTCCGACACCCCTCTTACGTCACTCTCAGATCACACCTTTGGTGTTAATTGCGTAGCATTCAGTCCCGACTCTCGATTCCTCGCAAGCTTGGGCTCATCCAACGATGGCTTCTTATACATATGGCACATCAACCCCCGCACCGGCGCTGCCACGCTACACGCCAGCAACAAATGTGTCAGTCACATACACCGAATAGCCTGGATGGGCAACAAATTAGTAACTGTTGGTGTCCGACATGTCAAAGTCTGGAAGGTTGATGATCTCAATGCTGCTATGCGATTCGCAAAAGCCCGCCAGAGCGACACGTCCTTTATTTCGGGCTCCACGCACAAGACACTGCCAGGGAGAAATTGCATCCTGGAAGGTCTGAAAGAGTCTACTTTTACGAGTGTAGTTGCTATAGCCCGGGACAAGGCCATTGTGGCCTCGGACAAGGGCGACATTTGTCTCATCGATAACTCGGATTCAGATCATCGATTCTTCAAATTGGTCGACGCCGGCTTCTCCGTAAGCTCGCTCGCTGTCGATGTCAAAGGACGACTCCACATCGCAGGAAGCCAAGGCGCACTCAAGACACTCATCATCAAAGATATTATAGGGAGACTGACTCCCCCACCATCACCTCCACCGCGCGTCGAGTCGCCCACTGTGTCGGTAACGGACTGCAATCAGATTGGCGTAATAGCCTGTTTGAAGGACTATGTCGTCACAGTCGACTCACAACGAGCTATCCGCCTATCACAACTGTGCTCTGATGACGATGAATCCGTCGTCGGCAACGTTGTACATACCCTACCTGCCCACGGAAACGCTGTTTTGGGAGTTCACGCTGGTCTTGTACGACCGAATGTGTTTGACGCTTCCTATTACACATGGGCGGCTGATGGAACCGTCATCTTCTGGCATCAAGGCTCGTTCAGAGGCTCTGTTGAAGTGCCTCTTGAGCAGCTCGATGACCCTGATGCGGTTCCCAACGAGTTGAGGACAGTGCGTACCTCAACCGACGCGAGTTTTCTGGTGGCAGGTGACAAGTTCGGTGTATTAAGATTCATCGACTGCACTACAAAGGCCTGCCTGTTTCAGTTCAAGGCACATGCAAGCGAGATCACTAGCATTGCCATACACGAAGAAAAGCTAGTTACTTCTGTCGCTTGCGCTAGTCGAGATCGCACCGTACAGGTATTCACGCGGATGAAAGGGAAGTGGGATCTGCTGCAGACACTGGACGAGCATGTGGGCGCGGTGAACGGTGTCTCGTTCTCACGGGACGGCACGCGGCTAGTGTCAACGTCAAGCGACCGAAGTCTTGTCGTTCGCGAGTTGTTATCCCTCAGCGACAGCAAGGGAATGGCCCGCGCCTTTGCAATGTCACGAGCCATCATGCTAAAGGCAACTCCCGTATCATCTGCCTGGGACGTCGACCAAGACGATGCGATATTTGTCTCAACCATCGATCGACAAGTTCATAAATTTGATGTTCGGACAGGCCAATGTCTTAGCAACCTCCGCGCGTGTGATACTGATGGAGGGGATGCCGTTGTGATATCCTCTCTGGTTCACGTCTCCCGTGGCTGGGGCACTCCACTGATAGCTGGCGTATCAAGCACCGACAAGTCAATACGGGTGTACGACGAAGCTGGTTCGCTGGTTGCTCGGGATTGGGGCCATACAGAGGGTGTTTCTGACATTGCCCTCGTGCAATCACCTGGGGCAGTGGGAGATGATGGCAGTGAAAAGTCACTCGTCACGGTTGCAGTCGATGGCACCATATTTGTATGGACGCTGGGCTTGACCGCACCTAATCGCCAGGAGCTGTCAAAGTCTATGGATCTACTAGCCCCAAACACACCTTCAAATCAGGAACTGCTTTCCAACAAGCCGCCTCTGCGGCGCGTATTGTCACAATCAGAAATGGCACGTTTCCAACGTTCACCACAAGAAACAGAGGCTGGCACACCAACTGGCAACAAATCGCCAAAATTACGAAAGAAGGTATCAAAATTTTCACTCGCCTCAACCCCCAAGCTGGATCCTTCTCCGTTACCTGGGACTCAACGGGAAAGCCGAAGCGCAGGTCAAGGCAGTTCCCGTAAAAACAAGAACCCGAACCGTTCTCCCTCACCGCCCAGCCCCCGGAGTTCGCAACAGGGCAAGCGTCGCGCATCAGTGGATGCTAGGGCGCGCACAAAGGCTCCTGTCCGTGAGTTTGGTAGCATCGGACAATCGACAGAGAGCCTGTGCAGAACTCTCCGGTCATACAGAAAACGTCTGGCGAACACAACAGAAGACTTGAGTTCGGAGCTTGCAAAAGAGGTGGAGAGAGAACTTGCCGCCACAGCAAGAGCAATTGGCGACCGGGTGAAGACCAAAGCATTCGAAGAGACCATCATGATTAAGCTACTAGATCAGTACTCGGAGCGGCTAGTCAACATGCTAGACGAGAAGATTGCAGCTAGCGTCGCGCAACGGGTCCGCGAGAGCAGCGTAGGCAACTTCTCAGACGCTGAATCACCCGCCGTCACACAAGGCTCCTCTCGCAGCAGAAGAGGTAGCGGTAGCTTGAGAGACACTCGTGCAGATGACTCCGAGTCTGGCACTGACGCCTTTGTCGAGTCGACGGAAAACCTGACGATCGAATAATTACGATAGATAGCAAGTGCGGTTGGGAGCGGGCGTAAACGGGGTAAAGGGATCTGGGGCAACCAAAGCCGACAACGAACCATCGGCGTTTGAGGGGTGAAGGGGATTTTTTTTCTTTTGTGGCGTTTGACGATACCGGAGCAAGGCTCATCACTGAGTGAATCTAACAAACAACGGCGTTTTCTTCTTTTCTTAAAAAGGGGGTGTCGACCGCTCTCCTTTTCTCAGTACTAATCACCTACAAACAAACGTAATTGTAGTTTTTAGTATCGATTTTGCGGATGTTGGTCTTAAGTAAAGAAGACAACAGATTTTTTCTTTCATTTCTCATTTCCTCATTGTTTTCATATGTGTATAGTAGGTTCCATCTGTAGTTTTTCATACAACATGTATTTGTAGAAAGAAAAGATGATGAAATGGAAATATCATGGCTTTTTCAAAGCCTGCGAGTATAAAAAAACCCACCCACCGCCATCAGAGACTATCTCTACAGCTTAGCAGGCTGCTGCATAACCCTCAAATCCTCCCTAGTAATCTCGCCCAGATTCCTTTTACCCAGATTTGCCAGCGAATTATCAGTATCAGCAAGCATACAATTGAGTACGTGTTTGACACCCTCCTCGCCACCCATGGCAAGACCATAGGCATACGGCCGTCCGACCAACACTGCCTTGGCGCCCAGGGCCAGCGCCTTGAGCACATCCGACCCCGTCCTAATGCCCGAGTCGAACAAGATGCTAAGTCCAGAACTCTTGATGCAGTCGTCAGCACCGATTTCGGCAAGTGCGTCCAACGATGCAATAGCGCCGTCGAGTTGTCTGCCACCGTGGTTGGAAACAACAATACCATCCATACCGCACTCGACCGCTCTCTGCGCATCCTCGAGCGTCTGAATACCCTTTAGCACAATCGGACCATCCCAGTACTTCCTCAGCACTTGTAAATCGCCCCAATCGCGATAACTCCCACTCGCCAACACACTGGTAAAAAACATGGCCTTCTTCATAACCTTTGCGTGCGTCAGCACTTTGGCCGCACCAGCCAGACTACCGGGCCTCTTGAGAATCTGCCATATCTCCGCCACCTTCTCCGCCGCAGGGCGCTCCGCGTCGCGCGCCTCCTGCTCCGCAAACATGCGGTTGAACACGGGGTCTGAGAAGGCGACTTGGCAGCCCTGGCCCCAGAGAAACGGGATGTACGCTTCGTCTAGATCGCTAGGCCGCCACCCTATCATAAACGTGTCGAGTGTGACAACCAGCACTTTGTAGCCTGATGTCTTTGCACGGGAGAGTAGACTAGCGGTTAGTTCCTCGGCCTGGGGTTTCGGCCAGTAGAGCTGGTACCAGCGATCTCCCTCCGGTCCGTTCGCCGCAGCGACTTGCTCGATGCTGCGCGTTGCGGCGGTGGAGAGTATCATGGGGACTTTTACAGCGGCGCAGGCACGCGCTGTGGCTTCTTCCGCGTCCGGGTGCAGGATCTCTTGCACGCCGATGGGGGCGACGAGCAAGGGGCTGGGGTATTTTTGCCCGAAGAGCGTGACTGACATGTCGCGGCGGGTGGCTTGCACGAGCATCCAGGGTCGCAGCCGGTACCGCGAGAAGGCGGAGAGGTTGGCTGTGTAGGTTGATTCGCTGCTGGCGGAGCCGGAGACATAGAGGAAGTTTGGTAAGGGGACTGCGGCGCGTGCAGCTGCTTCCCATTGTGCAGGTTTGGTCGAGTATTTGGGGGGGTGGAGGGCGCCGTAGATTTCTCGTTGGTAGGCTACGTGGGATTCTGGATTGGGCTCTTGGTATGTTGTGCCAGAGTCGGTTTTTGTGGGTAGTGGTTTGGTGTCTGCCATGTTGGATGGTGTGTGTTTTGTTGAGGTTTTACGCTGGCTCAATTGATCGTTTTCAATGCTGCTTCTTATGATGAAGCTCTCGGTTTTGCAAGTTTTCCGAATGCCGGTTATTTGGTTGTTGGAGGAGTGACGCGTAGATCCGACGGACGTGGAGGTGGAGAATGATCGACGATGCCGAGGTCCCCATTGCGCTAAAAGCGGCAGCACGTCCAGCCACGTACTTGATAGGGAAAGACGAGCCTGGTGTATACATGATGGTATTTTCTCGATGATCTGTCAGTGACAGTTTCATGTATACTCCTAGCGGAGATTAGGATTGATTCTATTGTCTCCTGCGATATCGTGTAGCCTCCAGTCCACGCCTTACAGCACAATACTGACCTGTGGGTAATCCGCGGAGCTAAAACAAGCACCACAGACCACCAGAATTTTCAACAATGCCATCTCTTCTTGCTCAAATGTGTATACTCGGAAGACCTGCTGGCTTCAAACACGAATTCCGACCCACCTTTGGGCAGGAACGAGGGTTTGAAGTCCTCACCGCCTGCCGTGGGCGTCGCCAACTAACGAAGAAAAACATCAGTTCTTACAGTAATCACCCCGTCACTTGAACATTCAACGCAGTCAACGCTTCATTTTTATATCGTCAAGACATCATGCCTCGTCCTACTTGGGGCTCCATAACGGCAGTCATCGTAGCAGTATCATCGTTTTATTTCAGCCACGTCCTGATAAACCTTTCATTGTCCTATCCGTTTTGCTCCACGCTGTGTCCGAATTCTGTCCGGAACAGTAGCTCTGAACGCCTCGGAAGACCTTATCATTCGAGCTGGAATTCGTGGTGGCATCCGCAGCGGAGTCGGACTGAGATTGAACAGGGAGCAGGAACCACAACGGAAGATTGGAATATTTTATACCACCTTGGTGGCAATGGACCATGGGTTGAGAAAGTCATTGATGTTGTTGAGGGAGGGATCGCACCGCCTGATGGATGCGAAGTTATTCAGGTCCACATGGTATGTCATTGTCATTTCGTTCTTCCCACCCTGTCTAGTATCAAGGAGTAGCCAGTGTCTCAACATCTAATCACTAACATACCCCCAAAGATGGCAAGACACGCTGAGCGATATCCAACCAGGAGAGCCGCAAAAGCCCAAAAAGCTGTCTACCAACGCATGAAAGCCAGCAACAAAACCTTCACCGGCAACCTCGCCTTCTTCAACAACTGGACCCTCTACTGGACGTCCGACAAAACCGAAGTGGAACAACTAACAACCACCGGCCCCTTCGCTGGCACACTGAGTGCCTTCACCACGGGCGTCCGCCTACGCACCCGCTACCAGCACCTCCTCACCCACGCCACGACACCCACAACCTTCTGGGCCAGCAACTCCACCCGCGTCATCCAAACAGCCAAACACTTCGCCTCCGGCTTCTTCGGCCTCGACTACACCACCACCCACACCGCAAACCTCACCGTAATATCCGAGCACTCCTCCCTCGGCGCCAACACCCTAACCCCCGGCCGCACCTGCCTGCTCAATAAAAAAGACAAGCAGCACGGCCAACGCAACGGCTACCGTCTCGCCGCCCAATACCGCGCCACCTACATGCCGCCGATCCGCGAGCGCCTCCTCACCCAAACAGACATGTCTTTCTCCGACCCAGAAATCTACGCCATGCAGGAGATGTGCGGGTTTGAAACGACGGTGCGCGGCCGCAGCGATTGGTGTAATGTTTTCACCAAAGAAGAGTTTCTAAACTTTGAGTATGCGCGGGATGTGTTGCATTATTATCGCGCAGGGCCCGGGTTGAAGTATGGGGTGGGCATGGGGTGGTTGTGGGTTAATGCTACGACGAATTTGTTGGTCGAGGGGCCGGAGAGGGTTGGGGGGCTTTATTTTAGTTTGTGAGTTTAGTTTTTTCCTTTTCTTGTATTGGGGTGGGTATGGAAGGATTGGAACTGACACGATGATTACAGTGTACACGACGGCGACATAGCACCCATGCTCGCAGCCCTCGACATCATAAACGAGCCCTCACCTCTCCCTCTAACACACATCCCTCACGACCGCAAATGGCGTAAATCGCAAGTTTCCCCCATGGGCGGTCGTATCATTTTTGAGCTCTTGTCTTGTTCCACCACCACAAACCCCACTTCCACTTCCCCCTCCACCCCAAAAGAAAAATTCATCAGACTAAACATCAACGACGGCATAACAGCAATCCCAGACTGCAACTCCGGCCCTGGTCAAAGCTGCCCCTTAGCGCAGTTTGCAGAAAGAACAAAGAGGAAAGGAGAGGAGCAAGGTGTGGATTTTAGAAGCTTGTGTGGGTTACATGAGGGGAGTGCGGAGAAGATTACGTTTTTGAGACAGGGGGGCTCGATGGTGGGTGGGGAGGATTAAGTTGGCGGTGTGTTGGAAGGATGAGGTTAGATTAGGAAGAATTGGGAGATAGGTAGATTATTAAATTAATTATCTATGAGATAAGATGAGAGCTTGGTATATGTGAGCTCGCAGAGAGACTGGGTTATGAAAGGAAGGAAGGTATGAGCTCGGACGCGGAGATTCTGTACCAGAGACAGAATGGTAGGAGAGCTTTGTTGTGACAGATAGGTATGCTTGTGAGTGGGTTACAAGGTTATTTTTGTATGGTTGGAGTTGCGTGGTGATGCTGACATAGAACAACACCTAGGTATCATAAAATACTTAATATACTAATACAAAAAGGTCACTGTAGTCACCAAACACACCTATCAGCATTGTGAATAAGCACCTAGAGGCATGTTTGGTGATTACAGTACACTATTACATCAAGTATTTCATGCCACACAGGTGGTTAGCTGTTCACCGAGAGATTAAGATCTTGCATACTACCTCATCGAAGAAGGAAGTGAAGCAAATCAAACACATTATCCCCCCACACAATCTCTCAAAGCCCCACGTCCATCTAATACCCATGCTTCACAAACTCCCCCTCCGTCCACTCCCACAACTTCTTCCTCAACCCCTCATCCCTCACCCACTTACTCCCCGCATCCTTGACCCCCACCGGCATATAATACGCGCCATTCTCCAACTCCTCCCTGCTCACCGTCGCACACCACGTAGTATTCAACGCGCCCCCCTCTGGACTCCTATAATGGCCGGGTAAAAACAAGCCCAAAAAGCCATACACCCACAATCCGACCTTCAAAAACACATTCGCGCGTACGGCGTTGAACAGATCCGTGAGAATAACACCCGGATGCAACGAGACACTCGTAATCTGCGGGTACTGCTCGGCCAGCTCGCGGGCGAAAAGCACATTAGCCAGTTTCGACGACCCGTAGCGGCGCCACGAACTCTCCTGTTCAAGCGCCGCTTGGTTAAATTCTATGCCCTTGGACACGGCGAGAAGATGCCCCCGACTACTCAGATTCACTACCCGAACGTCTGCGCCGGGTAGTTTCGCCGTGTCCAACAGCGTTGGTAGCAGCAGTTTGGTAAGCAGCGCGTGGCCCATGTGGTTCGTGCCGAATTGTATCTCGTACCCTTCTTTCGTGGTACTATACGGCGTCGCCATGATACCTGCGTTGTTGACGAGGATATCGAGACGGGATTCGCGCGCTTTGAAGGTTGACGCGGCTTCGGCGATGGAGGTGAAGGAGGTTAGATCAAGGGGCAGGTGGACGATTTCGCAGGCATTGGGGACGGAGGATTTGATCGAGGTTACGGCTTCGCGGGCTTTGGATTCGGAGCGCGCGGCGAGGTAGATGCGGGCCGGGTTGTGGGCGGAGAGGTAGGCGATTGTTTGTTTGCCTAGGCCGGCGTTGCCTGGGGATTTGTGGGTTAGAGGTGCATTGGGGGGTGAAGGTGAGGATGCGTACCGCCTGTGACGAGGATGACTTTGCCTTCGAGGCTTCCAATGTCTTGTGCTGGGTTGAATGACTTTCTCATGATGGATGTTTTTGTCTGCTTTCTTGTATGTGGTGCGATTGAGCCTGCTCTGCAAGTTTAGACGGTAGTGAGACCGTGGGTGAATTGGTACAAATTGCAAAATAGGATTGCTGTCACGAAAGTGTTTCGAGCGCCATCGTGAAAGCGGAATGCCTCGGTATGTATGCTCGTTGTGCCGCTATCTCCGGCGCGCACGGACAGAACATGCATCACAGCATGTAAGTACGTCATCAAACGACGAATAGGGGCCTATCTCGAAGAAGCAACCAGTCATTGCGGCCATGATACCATGTGCGTGTTGGTGAACATTACTGGCCAACGGTTCACGGCAGTTGCATCGAATGTGCGACAAACGAGCATTTTGTAGAGGGTAGTAGGACAGACCTTGGGAGAGCAGTTACATTATGAACTTTACACCACAAGTGCGTCGTAGTACAAGCCTCGAGATAAAATATCCAATACATCAGCTAACTAAGATACCGGTAGTAGTATAAGCAGGATAACAAGAGAATACACAAATCAAAGATTTCCCTCAAACAAGGAGTAACCAGCACACCCAAACCCAGAAATCCGCATCAACAACACTATCGCAAGAATATAACCAGGGTGTCGTTATCTACACTACATTAAACCACTACTACCGCTAAAAAAACACATGATAAAAAAAACAGACACGCCTTCACCAAAACAATATCCACAAACAACACTTCAAAAACTCATCATCTAGCACCCCTACCCCCAACACCAGCTCTCGGATTCTGTTTAAACCTAGCATATGGGTTGTTTGTAGGTTCAGACTCCTCATCCGAGTCAGGATAGCCTACGATATTAGGGTTAGGTTTTATCCGCGGAGCAGCGGGCTGTTTGACCGCTGCGGGTTTGTTCTTGAAAGCTTGAAGGAGAATTTGTCGTTGCTCTTCTTGCTGCTCGCCGTCACTAGTGAGATCAATAATGCCGTTTAACTGTGCAGGTGATTTGGTGACTGGAAGCGTATTGCTCTTCCGCTTCCTGGGCTTGGATCGTATTGGTGTTGGAGATGTGGTTGCCGGATCTGTTACTGCTGACGGAGCTACTGGTGATGCCACAGAAGTCACAGATGGAGCCGCCGATGGTCTCTGAGGAAGTTTCCGCGCAGCTGTTGGTGACGCCCCCGATGACGCGACCGGTGGCTTCTGAGGAAGCGAGAGCGAGTGCGATGCCATCGATGGAGCCACTGCTGGCTTTGGAGGAAGCACTCGCGATGCTATCTTTGGAGACACGGATGCGATGACGCCGTTCCACTCCTCTGTATGTTGTGGTGCAAATGCGCCAAATCCTTGTAACTTTACTGGAACCTTGCTACTCGGGCGAGATTGTGGGCGAGATGTATTTGCACGTGGTGGTTCATTCGCCGTCGTTGCTTCGCCATTCGCTGACGAAATGCATCCAGGCGCGGATACAACTCGTGTTGAGGTTTGCATTGGCGCCGTCGGGGCTCGGTAAGTGTTGGGCTCGGGAGCCTGGGCCGGCTGAACGCACGGAGGTGTCAAGCGAGGTGTAGTCTCAGGTGTATAAGGAGCATAAGGGCTTTGATAAGGGCTTCGCCGTCTTGCCGTACCTGCAGGAACGTGTACACTTGTCGACATTATCGATGTTGTGTATGTAGAACCTCTTGATTGACCTTGCCCTGATACCCCTGCACTCTGTGGTAATGTGGCTGGGTTCGGTATCAAAGGCGAGGCCGGGTTAAAATTGACGGGTGACTGCTGCTGAACTGCACACTGTGGGAATGTATGAGTAAACGCACGAGGCGACGATGAAGCCGCAGCGCTATAAACAGATCCCTGAAACTCGTTCGAAAGGTTCGAAGAGTATGGACTGGTAGCACTGTCTGTCCTTTGGGCATCGGAGACTGGCAAATCATCCGCTTGCACATGGTCAGTCCGTTGTCGTTTCCGTGATGGTAGAGGTGGTGTCGGTAGTTGAGGCTCGCAATCCGTCTTTATGACTGGTGGTAATACGGGTATCTGTTTGCTCTTCGGCAGTGGTCGTTTTCTTTGGACAGTCTGCTGCGTTACCACTGGTTGACGTGGTAGCATTGCTGTTGCCGTAGGTTTCACTGACTGTTGCGTATTCCGGTTCACTGTAGAGCCATCCACAGCCCCGCGGATTGCCTCGAGGTCGGCTATGAAATCCCAAATGAACTTCCACATCGTTGCATTGATGCGCATCTCTTTGAAGTGTTCTCGCAACGCTACTCGCATAGCTCTGATGTCCCCCAGCAACAACTCGTTATTTCTTGTTTTGGAGTATTCAGAAATAAGAGTGGTGACGGCTACCATTTCCATGGGTGCAAACGTTTGCACGCCACTGAGGTATCTGTCGGCGTTTGTAAAAGTGTTGGGGTCTAGTTGTATAAGATCTTGGAGGATTTTCCAAACGTCCGCAAGGTGGGATTTAGTCGCGTCGTCAATCGCATGCGAGTCGTTCAGTAGTTTAGTGATAAGACTGTGGTTTGCCCTAAAGGCGGGTATCCCGTTTGCAGTACTTGGGTGCTGGACTTCCAAAATCTGGCTGAAGCAAGCCAGAGTCAACTGAAAATCTTTCGCTCGTTGACGATCCTTCAGTAAAGAGTAAACGAGATCGAAGTCTTGCACAAATAGCTTTGTGAGTTCTTGCCAGGGACCGCTCTTCGCTCGCATCTTCTCTGCCGCACTTAGCTGCAAGCCCATCTGAACGCGAGCAAACAGATCCTCCTCTTGCTCCAAGGAAAGGTCTTTGAATTGGAAGATGATGAATTCTTTTTCTAGAAAGATTCGCTTGGCCTTTTCGTCAAGCACTTTTTTGCGCCTGGCGCCCGGTGAGTCGCAAAACCACCTACAACTGTCAGTGAGTGGATTCCAGAATGGAATCTGTTAGACTTACCATTTTTCTCCTCTGCAGTCATGGCAGGGAATCATTCCTTTGACGAATGCCCGTACGGAGGACAATCGCTGCTTTCCATCGACACAAACAAGAGTATCCTTTCCATTGCCACTCGCAGTATTTGACTGGCTGTTCAGGATAATTGGGGGAATGTAGTAATTTTCTGTACTGACGTCAGCGGTTTCACGGTAGTCAATATCAACGGCAATACCTACCCATTAAAGAATCTATTAATCCAGTCATACGCTCGGCTGTTCACTGTCAGTACGTGGATTACAAAATATAGCGTTGTTGACTTACCTGTCCAGACAACCTCACGTTGATACTCCGGGTCGACATTAATCCTACCGTTATCTAATTCCACTATGAATAGTCAGCAGAGTCTGTGCGAGTTGCCGTAATGACTCTTACCAATAAGTTTCCTCAAACTCTGCAAATGGACAATTGACGACGGCAGTTCCGGCCGGGGCTTGTAAACATTCGGGTCATAGTCCTCGCTTTCCACATCCGCGAACATGCCGTCGTCGTCGTCGTCGTCGTCGTCGCCATCGATTTCGTTCTTGATGTATGATTGGGCAGCGTTGTCGTTGTCGTGCGCTGATGCATACGGACCGGGCTGCGCATGGCTAGTGCTGACTTGCATGCTGAGATCTGACATGGTGCCCGGTGTTGAAGGTCGCGGAGGATCCTCGTGTTGGCGATCCTACAACGGAGCCACTGCTTTTGACTAACCTCGAGGTCACAAGCCTACCCCACTTAATTCTGCAACAACTAAACGGATTCGCTACTAGCCCGTTAGAGGTAAACAGTCGTCTTTCACGAAGCTTCTCTCGTACCTTCACGGTCGATGGTAGGAGAGCGCTCGGATGCTAGAGATTTCTTGGGGGATTTTCTCCCCCCTTTTTATATGCTCCATTATTAGGCAGCCATACCAATAATCGTTACTTTGCCGTTTGAAACGTGAAAGTTTCGCCCCCCTGCGAAAGCGAAAAATCGCTGTGCCAGTGCCATGGATCTCCGCCTATGACGCTAAGGCAAGTACGCACGAGCCACTCTCAGATTCTAGCCAGCGTCATCGAGGTAGCGACCGCTCCTTTTACCGCTGTGCCTCTGCATGGAAGCGTACAGGTGATACAACAAAGGTAATGTGTATATTACATTTACCCTGTCAATATGTATTGTGTATCAAACACTTTACAGTGCAGAAGAGTGTGACTCACGTACGCGAAGCCTGTATCTTCGTGTCAGGCCCATGACGCTGGGGTACTTATTGGGAGTAGATCTGCGCACCCTACGATACGAGCGGTACACGTTAACATAAAAAGCAAAAAAGGGCGTTACTACGCGTTACTACACTATCTTCACAGATCGTCGTACGTGAAGCGATCTTGTTACAATCTTGAATCTTAGATTCCAAGGTAAATAGCCAACCTACAAACCTCTATCCCTTCCTCGGGCCACAAATCTCATACCTATAAAAAATCCTTACGATTAGACTAAGTAGACCAACTCCAACATGATTCATCTAGTTCACTCTATGCATCAAACGGCCTCAAGCATCCAAAGGGCTGATGCAATTATCTGGTTACAACCCAACATCAAAAGAGGCTGAGAAACAGGCTACAGCCAATATCCAAAAAGCATGGTAGGGACCCTCCCCCCACCTTTAGTTTGCTACAATTGGAATAGATACCGAGGATATACATAGTAGTCAAGTGAAGTAAGCCGACCCCATTCCTTGATAGACTACATAAACTTACGACGTTTCCCAAATATAAAGGAACTCGAATTCTACACAGAACATTACTTAAATTACTAAAAGATGAATCTAGTCACGCCCTTTAACTTTTCCGTCCCCCATATGTTGGAATAATCTGTCGAGTTTGAAAATCAACCCCTAGTGAAGATGAATATGCCGCTGGTATACACGAAAATATGGCCACTGGGCTCATTGCACAGCTTAAACATATCCCCCAGCCGCTCAATCATCATAAAGCGAATCTCGCTCGTCTTCCTCCTGAGCAGCATGGTCTGCGCTGAACTGATCCTGGAAATGACCCTTTTCCACCTCCTCCATGACAACATCTTCCCTATCTTGGTCCTGCGCCTCTTGTGCATCTAGAACATCATCTTCCGCGCCGTCTCCATCTTCTTCGCCACTCTCTTCGCCGTCGCTAATGTCAACGACTTGCATAGCCTTGGCCTTGCTGGTAAGCTTAAGACTGATATCGCCCAAGTGCTCAGACTGTTGCACGTCGAGCATGCCCTTCATACCAAGTGCAAGCACCATCATCAGCCCCTGGCAAGCGATCATCTTGGTATTCTCAGCGGGTGGAAGCAGCTCCTCAAACGAGATCTCGTCGATATCGGCAGCGGCCTCGACTTGCAAGATATCAGACATTTGCTCCCTGATACGTTCATGAATGAAAGCAGCAAAATTCGCGCCCTCTGTAGAAAGTGCTTCGCGCACACGTGTCGCCACCTCCGGAGCGGCTCCATGTACTGGCAGAGGAAAATCCAAACTAGGACCGGCAAGCCCAAACTCGTCGCCCCCGAAATCAGCATCACTCGTAAAGGTTCGAAAAGGTTCCAGTGCTGCGCTAGGCTGACCCTTACCATGCAGTGGGGAAGCGGATACCAGACGGCAGCTGCCTGGTCGACCCTGTTCTGCCGAGCCGCCCATCATACCAACACGTCCACTGCGGGGAATGGCCGACGAGCCGCGTACAGAAGCGCTCATGTTCCAGGGCATGGCTGAGAAGATTTGCTGGTCGTCAAGGGCGGATGCGGCTTCGCGAGGTAGTTCGACTGCGTTGTCATCACCGGGTATGAGGAAGCCTTCTTCTTCTTCATCTCCAGCGCGACCGAACTCGCGTTCTTCGGTACGCTGACGCACGCGCCGGGATTCTTCTTGCGTGGTATCGTCGATTCCACTGTCGCGGTCGTGCTTCGCGCCAGTGACCTTGCGGCTCAAGCCAGTGAGTGACTCGAAGAGTCCGTCGCCGATGAACATGTCGAATGGGTTGGGATGTAGACCGAAGATGCGTTGGCCGATGTTACCAATACCAGAGTTCCAGACATAGTGTTCTGCGTTCTTCCGAGCTTGCACGGTAGCTCGATATTGCATCTTTTGTCGGGCGGCGGCCTTCATGTTCGCACGGTAGTCTGTGTTCCAGTCTGACAGCACCTTGTTGCGGAGCTCAATTGCTGCGTCGGTGCGAAGAGTGCGTGCAATCCGGTGTCGACGCTGCGGTGCAGAAAATGATTCGGAGGATTTGACTACTTCGGCGTGGTCGCTGGACTGTTGTGGAGCGTCCGATGTGGCTATTTCATCTCCAGGAAGGTCTTCGTTGTAGACGGGGAATTCAATGTCTTCTTGATCTCCGGGGAACTGGTATGGGTCAGTGTTCATGTTGTAAATATAGTAGATGAAACAAATAGGACAGAAGGTAAGAATGGGAGAAGAAGGAATAACAAGACCGCAGGAAAGGAGTGTGCACGAGGCACTCAAGCTTCAAGACGACATCTGACATCTGAGGCATGCTCGCCAGAAAGGTGAGGTCATGAACAGCCATGCCGTGAGCCCCAAGTGAGAGAAGTACCTGCACCTCTCAAGACACACATCCGAGATTGCAGTGCAAAAACACGCAAAAAAGCACAGTAAAACTCACCTGACCGACAGCCTGCCGTCCCTCTCCATGTTCCCTCCTCACCCTAGCACTCATCTCAGCATCACCAGACACCTCTGCACCCACAGCCCGAACCGGTGTTCTAGCCGCCGACCTACGACCCGGCGACAAATGAATGATATTCCCATCATCTCCAAACATGAAATCCGGATCTTCAATCTCCACCATATTGTCCTCATCTCCCAGCACACCACCAAGACCACCAAGCTCATTCTCGCCTTCGAGTCTGAACTCGGCCGGCAGACCAGGCGATGACGAGCTAGGAAGCACAAGCCCACCAATGACACCGACATGAGATGAGGAGTCCTGGGATTGCTGCGAGCCAAAGGGTGTCAGGGACTGTGAACTGCCGGAGTGAACAATGTGCAGGTTGAACCTGGAGTCGAGTTCTGCGAGGAGGTCTGGGGGAGGAAGAGTGAAGTCAGGGAGGAAAGATGGGTCGTCTTGAAGGATGAGCTGTTCGGGTCTGTGAAGCGTTTGTGAGTTCAATTGTTCGGTAATGGAAGCGTGTGTGTGTGTGTGTGTGGAAGCGTACGTACCTAGCTCTACCAGCATCAGGATCCAGCGCAGCATCTTTAACCGTGCGTAGCATCATCTGCAACTCATTCTGCGCATTCTGTGCATCTGAAAGAACGTATCCGCACTGCTGTAGGTACACACGCGAGACACCGTATCTATACACCATCAATTGTCAGTGTTGCATCACATTCAGAAAACTCGGTGACCACATACAACAAATTCCCCTGTAGCCGCAAAGCCATAGGCGCCACCGGATCAACAATAGTCTGACAAGCTTTCGGAACATCGACTTCGAGGATCTGCTTGCGATTGATGCGCTTCAGGCTGGACTTTTGACCGAGTGTGGCGACGAGCCTGTGCGTTTTTCGTCAGTGGAGGGAAGGAGCTACTGGGGATTTATTCTAGCTCACCATACGGTTGCGACGCCATATTTGCGCGAGGTTAATACTGGAAGAGAGAGTTAGCTGTCGTTACTGTTGCTGTTACTGCATGCAGAAAGCGCCTGGTCAGTCATGATGTGAAGCTTACTTTCGTGACTGTAGAACATGATGGTGGTGATGGTTAATACATGGAACGAAGGACTGTACGGGCCGTGATGATACAATGAAAGACTAGAGCATGAGCCGCGAGTAAGGAAGCTTGACAGAACGATACTGGGGTAGAAGAGAGGATAATGGGGCAGAAGAGACAAGGACTGAAGGTGAAGCGTCAAGATCATGAAAAGGCTTGGCAGCAGCAAGATTAGACGCGTTTGCACGCGACGCGCAGTGAGGTGAAGACGACCCGAACGAGCGTGTGTGGCAGATCAAACTAGTCTATTAATGCAATTCTAGAAGTCATGGAATCGTGAATCATGCTTTCTACAGCACTGTCCCCTAGCTTGCCCAGCTGATCAACGCCAATGCTATGCGTTAAACATTTTTCCACTTGCGTTACTTAGGATGGCGACGAGGCTGACTGATTCATGAATGCTTTGCCTATGCCTCGCCCATCTGCACATCCTCATCAATAGAGGGTAGGGGGACTGCGCGGTATAGGAGGATAAGAGCCGAGTGACTTTGGCCTACACAGTGTCAGTCACTGAAGACATCAACAGATATGAATACTTACCACCACCAGACAGAGTCTGTATCCTCTCAGCATCGACCTCGGAGACCTTCTCGTCATTGAACCACCACCACTTGCCGTCTTCCTCCTTCCGCTTACCGGTGTTGGGATCCTTGGCACCCTGCTTCTTGACGAAAGATGTGTAGTGACCGCTGTCAGCGCTGGCACCCTGGTGGGTAATCACGCCCCTAAGCTCGTAAAGACCCGTCTGGTTCGCTCCCTCGTCGGCAGCCATCTTGGGGTCCACGAGAGCGAGAAGCTCCTTCTTTGCAGCCAAGATGGATGCGGCGCGTTCAGCCTCTACTTGAGCATCGGTCTTGTACTCGACCTCTTCCATCTTGGTGTCTTCGGCTGGCTTTCCGGCATCCTCCTTCTTTTGTGCAGCCTCCTTCTTCTTCTGCAGAGGCTCCTTGTGGGCAAGGGGGTCAGTGTCGTTCTCCTCGCCGGCCTTCATGCGCTTCTGTCGCTTGCGGGCACGCTCGACGTCCTCCTCTTCCTTGCGGACCTCACGGATCTTGTCGCGGATAGGGACCAGGAGCTTCCTCAGTTCGTCTGTACAGAACTCCAGCGCGTCCAACTCCTCGGGGAAAGTGACCTTGCGCATGATCTTTGCCTTCTTGTTGGTATCGCGTCTCCAGTCGAAGCGCACAAAGTGGATGGGCAAGTGCTTTGGCAGGCGTGCGATCTTTGATGTCTTGGTGTACAGGGCGTTCCTGCCCAGAACCTCGGACCTCTTCTCAATCTGCTCCTTGAGGCCAGCGGCCAGACCGTCTCTAAGATGATTTGTCTCAACATTAATGTGACAATTCAATTTGAAGAATAGGTCCTCGCTGTGTACCGGCTCCTCGCCACCCTCCTTGGCGCCTGGCTCATCGCACTCCATGACCGACTCGAACTTGCCGGCCATGTACTTGTCGATCCAGGACAGCTCTTGCTTCTTGGTCGCGTCTGAACCCGTCTCGTTGTCCTTGATCTTCAGCTTTTGGCGCAGCTGCGAGACAATCTGTGACCAAGCCTCCTCCGCATCTTGTTGCGCATAGCCGTGGCCGTCCTTTGACTTTTGGGCGAACTGGGGGAATGCGGTTCGGAGAGCGTTCAAGAAGGCCAGTGGCGGGAAACCCTGCTGAGTCTCGGACATTTGCTTGAATAGATCGCGGAGGGAGCCTGTCAAATCTGTAGAGGCACCGAGGCCACCGAGACCGAATTGGCTGAGTGCGTGAGCGGAGCTAGACGAGCCGGAGTCCTGGCTGTGAGATGTCAGTATGAGGACTTGGATCTATTGAGAAGCGACCATACCTGGCAGTGTACCGCAGAAGCTCTTCCTGGAGTTCTGGAATGGAGCGCAGAGTCTGGAGCGTCGAATTCATGTAGCAGGTATTGCCCAAGTTCTGCAGACCGGCCGGTGTGGCGCCTTCCAACTGTGCGGCCTCGGCCTCGTCCATGTCTTCCAAGAACTTTACGGGGGCTTTGGGCTTCTCGATGACTCTTCCCGAACCAGAAGGCGAACCCAACATCATGAGGACCTGGTTGGGCTTGAGGTTTAGTTTGCTCATATCCGTGTCATCTTTAAGCTGGCCGCCCTTGACGATGACCTTTTGGCGCTCGGGCTCGACGCCGGTGATGGAGAAGAGCTGGTACTTGAACGTCTCGCCTGTAGACGTGGTATCGACTTCGAGCTCATGCTTCTTGCCCTGATGCTTGACAATTACTAGTGACGCGCGAGTTAGTAATGCGGTACTCTGGAAATATAAGTGGATGCGTACCTGGTATAGACGCCATGATGAATGTTCAACTATACGTTTTGGAAATGTATAGGATTTCCGGCCAAATGGAGGCGACGGATGGTTATAAGAGTTCGTGGGGGCAAAAGACCAAAGGCCGATGCATGCAACTGCAACGGTGGGCGAGGCAAAGCAGCCCGCCAAGCTCAGCCGCCGCCCGGAGCTTCAACCCCACTAGCGACTGCAGGCACGGACGGCCCAACTCCCCATACTGACATGTCATAGTCGGTTCTCCCCCGACTTGCCGCCCTGAATATCGACCTTTGAGCTGGTCTTGAGCTCTGAGCAACATGGTGCGGTCTTGTAGTCAATTCCTTGTCTTAATAATGCTAACATGCCCAGTCGCAATCACTCCGCCCATACCTCCAGTGCGTGCGCTCGTCGCTCACAGCCGCCCTCTCCCTGTCCAACTTTGCCTCGCAGGCCTCGGAACGCCACAATGTCCCCGAAATTGAAGCTGCAAGCTCCCCGGAAGTCATTCTGAACCCGCTTACCGTATCGAGAAACGAGAATGAACGCGTGTACATCGAGCCCAGTATCAACAGTGTACGAATCAGTATCAAGATCAAACAAGCCGATGAGATTGAGCATATTCTGGTTCACAAGTTCACACGCTTCTTGACGCAAAGAGCCGAGTCTTTCTACATTCTACGGAGAAAGCCGGTCAAGGGCTACGATATTTCGTTCCTGATTACAAACTTCCACACCGAGGAGATGTTGAAGCACAAGCTGGTGGACTTTATCATCCAGTTCATGGAGGAGGTTGACAAGGAGATTTCGGAGATGAAGCTCTTCGTAAGCAATCCGAGGATTCCTGAGGTACATGGACTGACAAGTTTCTAGTTGAACGCAAGAGCTCGTTTCGTGGCTGAGTCTTTCCTTACACCGGTACGTTCGGCTACACAATTACTGCCTAGCACACACTAACATGAGTCCAGTTTGACTGAGCATACTATAATGTCCACGTTTGTACATATCGGGCAAGGTGTGGAAGTAGCAAGACGGATGGACAATGCAGAGAGCCGGGTCCGGGTCCGGGTTGCGGCGTGAGAAAGTTGTCATATAAGCTGAGCATTCGACCAGCACTGAATAGAAACACAAGCTTCAAATCTATACATATCACACATATGGAAAGCATGTGCATGTTTAGGAACAGCTTCATGAAAAGCACCTTGGTATTCTTAGTCATTTCTGTCCTTTCGCATCTTCATCTTTGGTCTTTTGAGCTACATGCAGTATGTAATCCGAGGCGTACCCAGATAAGCCCAATAACCCATCTGTCCTCGATAAGTCGGCGAGAACAGCAGTTCATAACCCGTCGAGACCAGCAGTCTACAACTTGGCAAGAACAGCCTCGGCACCAGAAACCTACAACCACATTAGCAAACACACCCCTCAAATCAACCAATCCAAAACTTACCGAAACCTCACCAGGGCTCTTCTCATTCTCAGCATACACAACCTTGCCATGATCAAACACCATAGCCCACCTGCCATTGCGATCGCCCATACCCGCCTGCCAGCCATAGTTCTGGCTAAACATGGTCTTTGTATCGCTCAAGAACAGGACCTCGTCGCCCTTGACGCCGTTGACCTTGCCCCAGGCATTCATGACCCACGCGTCGTTGCTGGCAATGGTGGCGATGATGTCAACGCCCTTGGCCTTGAACTCGGCTGCTTTGGCAATGTAGGGGGGTAGGTGGTGGGCTTGGCAGCCGGGAGTGAAGGCGCCGGGCACGGAGAAGACGACGACTTTTTTGTTGGCCCATTCTTTGGAGGCGTCGTAGGTTTGGGGGAGCCCGCAGGCCGTGGGGTCCGAGTCAGTTATCGGGGCCCATCTAAGTCGTGGTTAGTTGGGGAGTGGTGGATAGATGGATGGAGGCGGAAGCGGTAGGAAGAACATGAGCGAGATGTACGCGGTGAGATCACTTACTCGAACTTGACGCCCTCGGGGAGTGTATCACCAACTTTAAGAGGAGCCATCGTGGATATCGTGTGAGCTTCGTAGATAAATCTTTCGGTGAAGTGTGTGTTGAGGGATTGTATTGTAACGAAGCAGAAAGCGAAAGAAGAAGTCGAAGAACCCCGACCCTTTATATCCACAATCCCCAGCTCCAAAGAAATCCAAGAGGGGTACCAAAGCTTTCGCAACCGTGGACAGCTTCGAGATCATAGTGGGGCACAGGGTCCGGCGTGCGCCCGGCCGAGGTATCTAGCGCAGAGGTACGCGATCGGAGGTACCGCCCGGCGTAAGCAAGAAACGGAGGACGGTTGACAAATACTTTTGGCCTATCATGGTTTGGTGAGAGGGGCGTGTACCTTGATGGTTTGAGGTGTCTGGGCAGACATGGGATTAATTACAATACTCCCCCTCGTGTATAGCTGGGTTGGCAATAGAGGGGCTCTTGCGTGATAGGAAGGGGGTAGGTTAAAACGTTTACGAAGCTTGCCGTGTGTATCAGTTCATGATCAATGAAACAAACCTGCATAAAGTATGGTGTAGGGTCTATAGAATTGGGTTCAGGTAGCGATGACGTGATTGTTGAAGATATGTACAAACGGGTTCATTCAACCTTGGGAGACTTGGCTCGACACGCAATGTGCGACAAAATGCCTCGTCCCTACGTCTCATCAGATTTGCAAAATCATACGTATGCTACAATTTCAAAGTAAAGTAAGCCAGAATATTTGGATGCGGCAAGTTATATGTCATCATCGCTGTGGGTGCTGCAGGTCAGAGTATGCCGAAATGCCGATGCACACAGCATCAAGCGGCATCTCAAGGCCACCAACGCGTGTATATCAACCCTGGATTTCATCACGATAACAGTTGATGATTAAAAGTCTTGCAAGATACGGTTCTAGCAATCAAGTTTAGGGGCCTCTGCTGATCCTCAACATGTCCCTCTCACCACCATTCACGCAGGAAACTGCCCATGCCAAAGTTAAGAAGGCACAGGATTTGTGGAACAGCCAGTATGCAATCTGATTTTCTAGTCTTCTGCACCGTCTGACCATGAAAGAAACCCCACAGAGATAGCCAAAGCTTACACTCCTGACACTATCTGGCGCAACCGGTCGTCCTTTCTGACTGGTACTGCATCGATTGAGGAGTTCTTGACCAAGAAGTGGGAAAAGGAGAAGAGCTACAAACTACGCAAAGAGCTGTTCGCCTTTACCGACAATAAAATCGCAGTCCAGTTCTGGTACGAGTACCAAGATGCGCACGATAATATGAAGTGGAAGCGATGCTACGGTCTCGAGGATTGGACGTTCGCAGAGGACGGAAAGATGCGCAAGCGACACATGAGCGGCAACGATATCGATATTGACGAAGCCAGTAAGTACTTAATTTCCAGCAGTCTTCCCAATTACTGAAGGTTGTAGCGCGATGGTTCGAAGACGGTGTAGATGTCAATATAGTCGATATTAGCGAGGCTCACGGGTAACTCGTACTGTGCTATACAAGGTAGTTGGGTATCGTAACGCTTGCAGAAATATGAAATGTATGCGTGAATTCATTGCCTCTCCTAGGCCGGAGGCGTATCGTGTATGGCGACGAGAATGAACTTGGGGTCTAGTCATAGGTTAGCGATTGCCCCGCAGTCGTGGAAGTAGCGGACAGACCTGGTACTATGACAAGCTCATTCTTTTTTGTCCTCAATCGCAAAAGCTTGACTTCGTCCTCCTTGTCCAGTTCGTCAACAAGACTCCCCGCCGCTATCAAGAACGACCAAACCATGCTGGCAACGTTTTCCGCGCTGTGAATTCCGCCCTCTTGCCTGCCGTTGGTGAAGTTGTCGACGCCAGTTTCGCTAGAGGAGGCTGGTAGTGTGCTATTTGGATTCGCGGAGGAGCTACTCGATATAAGACCCGAAGTGCGTATTATGGTGCCGTTCTCGCGCGACAGTATTAGTGTGCTCTGAACACCGGGCTTCTGGCTCAAACGTGTGAGTAGCGAGAGAATCTCTTCTGGCTATGGGGGCGCATTAGTAAAGTGAATTTGGAGACAATTGCGGAGTGCTTACAGCGTGCTGGGCCATGGTCGGCGATAGGTACAGGAAGATGAGATGCGAATTGGAGTTAGTGTTTACTGTGCTAATGACATCGGCGTACATGACCGCGGCTGGACCCTGCCAAGGCCTCACCAGTCTAGGCCCATACAAACCTAGCAGCATCTATCATCAATTTTCCTGCAATCACGTCCGAAGCACGCGCAAGTCGCATCGCTGACACGGAACCTTTTTTTCTTCTAACGTCTATGCTCTTATTAGAAGCCACGTGCTTCCGGGGAAAAGCAATCAACTACAAGGACTGCGGTTGATCGCCATCATGACGGCAAGCTCGAAGAAAAAGAAGGAGAACAAGAAGAAGGACTTTCAGGTGAGAAAAGATGCAAGTCGCTTGCTCTCACCCCAAACTGACAAAAGTAGAAACCGAAGTTGAAAGTCGGAAAAGCGAGGCCCAAGGCTGCAAACACCACTGACACGAGTTTCCGCGCCAAATGTAACATCTTCAACATCACGTAATCTCCAACTCACTAACATGTTCCAGCAATTGCTCTAAAGCAACAAGCTCTTTCTACTACCGCTCCAACACTAGAAGCGCAATGCGCTCATCATTTGGGACTTCTTAATCATAAGTCAGACACGCAACGGAAGGAATCTCTGGCTTTCTTAACTTCAGCAATCACCAGCAACCCTCCTACGGTCCCATTACCACAGCCTGCATCTGTCATCATTCCGACAGCTCAGCGGCTGATTTTGGATGGATCAAATAGTGTCCGACAACAACTGATGAAACTCCTCCAGAGTCTGCCACCAGCCGATGTTGCTAGCCACACGGATCAGCTGCTTCTCCACACAAGAGCTGCAATGACGCACTTGGCCACCGAAATCCGTAATTTCGGCCTTGAAGTGCTCGAATGGTTATTGGGAGTTGCTGGTGACGAAGTAGTCAGCTGTGCTGGAGGTTGGGTGAAGATGCTAAAATGCTTTCTCAGCTTGCTCGGTTGGCAAAGTGAAGCATCGAGCAAATGGTCAACCGGCAAGTCGTACGGGAAAGCTGATACGAAGATGCAAGTCAAGCAAATGAATGCATTGACTTCATTCCTCCGCGCCGGGCTTTCCCACGCGCAGATCACAGCTTCCATTGATATCAACGGCAACGATTTCCCGCTTTGGCACACGCAGCATCACGTCATTTCGGAACGATCGAATGTCTATGCTCACCTCAACTTGTTTGGCGCTGCGAGAGACGAGGAAGCCGAGATGTACGAGGACCGTGAAGACCGACAAAGACTGTTTCACGATCGAGCAGAAGCTGCCATCGTTGCAGGGCTGGAGCAAGCCACCAAAGCTGGTGGCGAGATAGGACGTGCAGCCGCACAGATTCGAAAGGTCGTCAAGGAAGGCATGGCAGACTTCTATCGAGAAGAATCGATGCCTTGATTGAAGATGTGTCTGCCTGATCGCTGCCAGACGTACGCTTAAGAACGACGCGGTTTCATCTAGGTCCGGGATTATTGAGTTTGCTGGATTATGGCAAATCCTAACAGCAGAGGACATCAAATAGCCGACAGGAGAGACATAAGGTGTGAGTCTCGAATCCACCGGACGGCACATCATGTAACGCATTGCCAGAAGGGACTGCGAATACTTTTCGGGGACGGAGGGTGATATTCTCGGCTGGAATGCTGACGATCGGAGCACCAAAGAGCTGTGAAAGTGCCCGTCACCCATACCGGTTCGTGAACTCAAACGGTACGGCAAGACACAAGAACTAATCTCTCCCTTCAATATTGGGGAAAGGGGCAGAAAAACACGAAATCTCGCGAACAAGCCTAAGCTATGGAAGTTGGCATCATCTAGGTATGGATACCAAAGGCGAGCAAAGCCAGAAGTTTGCAGTATGCATGAGCATGATATACATCCTGCCTCCCAGTAATATAAATATCAATCGATTTGTAGTTGGCTATAGTATACTGAGGTATTTGGGTGACGCTAGTCACCTAGTCTTGCCTCTACCTACCGAATTGATTTAACAGACATTTCAATTCAACAGCTAGAGAAGCGCTGGAAAGCCTCAAAGAGAAATACATTCACATGTACTACCGATGAGCGGCCCCGATAGTATTGAGATGAACGCCTAGACCCTGGAATTGACGTCACGGCGCTAATGGCCCTACTACGCTACGCGAAACGCGGGTGCTGACAAGGGTCTCGGCCATGCGTCGAAACATTGCTGAGACCACCGACAAACGCTGTGTGCCGGCCACATTGCACGACATTTCTGTACTATAACTGCCCACTTCTGCTCCTACCTATCCGCAGTAAACCCATCTTTCGCGTCTCCCAAAAAAGCGCTCAATTGCAATTCCAACCCCATCGCTGCTTTATCTCTACACACACCGCAAATATGTCTATGATATCGCAAACACTACAAGGCGCCGTCCTCAGCATAACCTCCAATGTCCTCGCACAAGCCATAACCTCCTACCAAGACAGCGTAAGTCCCCTTCATCATATTACAATTAACCCCCCCAAATCGCGAGATCTGTGAACCTGACACCTGTCCCCCGCAGACACCCTTCGCCCTAAACTACAACCAAGTCCTCCAATTCGCCCTCTTCAGCATCCTCAGCAACCCCCCCAACATAATCTGGCAAGGCTTCCTCGAAGACCAATTCCCCACAAACGTGGCCTCCGCCGCCTCCGCATCCGAAAAACCAACGTCCTCCAAACCCCCCACCAAAACGAGCCTCAGCAAAACAAACGTCCTCATCAAATTCATCCTCGACCAAACCATCGGCGCTGTTATGAACACGCTCATGTTCCTGGCGTACATGGGCTATGTGAATGCGCAGGGTAAACCGGGCGTGGACGCCATGCAGGTTGTGAAGGCGGATTGCATGAATAAGCTGTGGCCGATGATGAAGGATGGGTATAAGTTTTGGCCGGCGATTAGTCTGATTAGCTTTTTGTGGATACCCGTGGATAAGCGGATAGTTTTCGGTTGCTCGGTGGGTGTGGTGTGGGGGATTTATTTGAGTTTGGCCGTGGGCGCGTAAATAGGGTACGGGAGGGAATGTAAATGTTGGTGGGTTGGGAGATCGTGGATGTGGATATGGATGTGGATGTGCTTGTGGTTGGATACCCTTAGAATGGCATGTTTGGCACGTTGGGGTGTTGGGGTGGGGTATATGAGGGCATTATTACGGAGGCGGTCTCAACGGCTTGGACGATTATTACGGTCTTTTACGATTTTTATCCGCTTCCTTTGACTTCCTAGTATTGACGCTTCTTCTGCATGTGCTTGACTGACATGCAGAGCTCTACATCTCTCGATACCCATATAGACTTTGGCTGTATTCTATACTGCAATGCCACATCTATTACGAGAACACACAAGTAATATTGACATATGTCAGCCGGTTTTCACGACACGATCTCATCGCTCCGTACACACAAGAGAGAAATCAAGGTGCTATCTTAATACTTCATACCTCCTAAACGTGCGAAAGCAGAGCAGCCGTTGGGTCGCAACAAACTTGTTTGAACTTGTGTAGCGTTGGCTGACTAGGGGCAGTGACGAGTGGACGACACATACCTGGGTCATCGATCTGGGTCAGGGCTGGTACTAGATGCTCAACATGATTACCGGCAGTCGAGGGGGGGTATCAGAAGAAGGATGCTCTTAGCCATGGGGCGTTGGGTGGTAGGAAGTGGCGTTGAGGAAACGGACAATGGTGGAAGACAGCGCACAAAAGTTCCGGCAGCTGCAAGTCGACGCTGAGATGCCATACCGGTATTTTCAAAAAATATCTTCCTGTTACATGGCACGCCATGATCAATCTGCATCATCATCGTAAGTAAAATTACAATGACCCCACTCCCTACAAGTACTTTAAATGTCTTGAAAATTCGCGTCTAATGGAGCGTTCCATGGTAATTTCCTCGGTTGGGTAGGGTAGTTACGCTAGATACATATCACCACTTCCCTGAGTAAAACGCCATTTCCGCAAGGTAGAATTCTGGCGGTAGCGAATAATGTTAGAAAAGCATTGCTACTCTCTGTAGAAGCACTTCTTCACAACAATCACAACAACTTTCAAACATTTTACCCTGTCAAAAAGCCATCATCGTACAGCATGGCAGTCATCATGCGAAGACTTACTAAAGAGGAAGAGAAGAAAAAGCAGGACGAAAAAGACCGTGATTACTTCAAGTCACGTCGCGTCAGGGCTGAAGATGTCCAGATGCCATGGCTTGATGAGGTGTGTCGACGAACACAGATAAAGAACGGCATTGTCATTGTTGGTTTCATTCTCGGCGTTATGGCTTGCGGTCTCGTTGTCTGGCACAGCATGCGCGATGTCGGCTTCTATCACTATTGCGAGGCTTACCACGACAACTTTACATCATGGAATGACAGTGTATGGACGAAGGAAGTTGAGCTTGGTGGCTTTGGGTACGTTGCCGTGGAGAATGGGTGATGTTCATTCACTGACAATCCTCTAGCAACGGTCAGTTTGAGATGACTACCGCCACAGATGAGAACGTCTACCTCGAGAACGACGAGCTTGTCATCAAGCCTACCCTTCAAGACGAGAAGTTGATCATGAACAACACCACCATCATGGATCTTCGCCACATGGGCTGTACTGGTTCCCAGTGGTACGACTGTTACACCGGTACCAACACGACCAACGGCACTATCATCAACCCAGTCAAGTCTGGCCGCATCAACACCAAGCTCGGCGCCAATATCAGATACGGTCGCCTCGAAGTCGTCGCAAAACTTCCTCGCGGTGATTGGCTTTGGCCTGCTATCTGGATGTTGCCCAAGGATAATGTGTACGGCCCATGGCCTCGCTCAGGCGAGATTGACATTGCCGAATCACGAGGCAATGCTGTCGGCTACTCCAAAGGCGGTATCAATTACATATCCAGCTCGCTGCACTTTGGCCCCAATGGCAAGTACAACGGCTGGTGGCGCAACAACGTCAAGCGTCACGCTCTGCACACGACATTTGCAGCGGACTACAACACGTTCGGCATTGAGGTTCGTTTCAAATCTATCCCTCCTCCATAACATCATGCTAACCCAACCAACCCCCAGTGGTCCGAAAAGTACATCTTCACATACATGAACTCGCGCCTCCTACAAGTCATGTACACGAAATTCAAGCACCCCTTCTACGAAGTCGGACAGTTCCCGCTCTCGGACCCCAACGGCACCCGTCTCGACAACCCCTGGGCGGACAGAAAAGGCAACAGCGCGCCGTTTGACCAAGACTTTTACCTCATACTCAGTCTGGGCGTTGGCGCAACAAACGGCTGGTTTGTAGATGGCGAGGCTGGGAAGCCTTGGCTCGACAAGAATTACCGGGCCAAGATGGACTTTTGGGAGGCTAGGGAGAGCTGGCTGCCGACGTGGGAAGATGAGGGTAAGATGAGGATTAAGAGCATTACTATGTGGCAGCAGAAGGGGTATAATGGGTGTGGGACTGATGCGAAGAAAGTTTTGAGTGGTAGTAAGGGTCCGCTGTATTGAGTTGGTTGTTTTAGGGATGGTGGGGTAAGTAGATGTCCATTATTTGGGTTTACTGGACTTTGGTCTTATTAGATCGTATACATGCCGCCTCAGGTGTGCTCTAATGTAATCATGCCTCTGCATTATTCTTGTCTTCAACAGGGTCACTGACTTTCGTACTGTGAGGTACACGATGCTCTGATGATTTACCTAGACATCCGACATTAACACTAGCCTTTTCAACATAATTCAAGGCAATATTCTGCTAGTCTACACTCTTGAATAAAGAAAGAAACTTGACGGCCTTTCCGCAAAGGACATGTGAAGTCCCCACGTACAAGGCTAAAGTTCAATCAGGAAGGTGGGTTACATCTCGGCTTACCGCATTAGGCCGTCTTCACAACCAGCGCCATCCCACCTTTCAATGCAACTCCATGTCCGATACTCGCAGCACCGAACTTTTAAAAATCCGGCTTTATCCGAAAACTTCCCGTGCCTGTTAAAAAAAATAAGTCACTTAATTTACTATTCATACCATTCAGACGTTTCTCTCTTCCTCCAGAGAGGCGGGACACCCAAAACCCACCACCATTCACCACCAAACCCTACTCTCAAACAACCCCAACCCAACCCAAAACACCACCAAAATGCCACCTCCATACGCCCCCAAAATTGGCGATCCCATAACCACCCTCGACACCCCCAGCATGCTCGTCTCCCTCCCCCTCCTAGAAGCCAACCTCAAAACCCTGACCACGCTCCTCCTCCCCACAGGCGTGCACATCCGCCCACACCTCAAAACCTGCAAGTCGGCCATCCTCGCCCAGAAAATGGTAGCCGCAGGCTGCACCGGCGGCTGCGTGGCTAAGCTGTCCGAAGCCGAAGTCATGTGTAGCTTGGGCTTTACCGATGTGCTGATTACGTGTGTTGTTGTTGGTAAGGCCAAGGTGGAGCGGTTGGTGCAGTTGGTGAAAAGGTTTAGGGAAGTGAGGATTGTTGTTGATTGTGTCGAGGGGGCGGGGGCGATTGAGGAGGCGTTGGCGAAAGCGGAGGAGGAGGAAGGCGGGTTTGAAGGAAAGGTGTTGACGTTGGTGGATTTGGATGTTGGATTGCATCGGACGGGTGTGTGGGCTGGGGAGCCAGCGAAGAAACTAGCAGCGCACATACGGGATCATTGTCCGCATTTGAAACTCATGGGTATCCAGGGCTACGAGGGACATTTACAGCATCTTCACAGTTTGGAGGAGCGGAAGAGTAGATGTTTGGAGAGTATGAGAATACTCGTTGATACGGCCGAGGCGTTGAGGCAGGACGGTCACGATATCCAGGTTGTTACCACAGGCGGCACGGGAACGGCCGAGTTCTGCGCTGAGGTCCCCGGCGTCACGGAGGTGCAACCAGGTTCCTTCCTATTCATGGATTCAGATTACCGCAATGCGATTGGCGGCGCGAGGTATAAGCAAAGTTTAACCATCCTTTCTACCGTCATTTCCAAACAGGGGGATAACATCGTTACCATCGACGCGGGGTTGAAGTCGTTGACTACGGATTCGGGGCTTGCAGAGTGTAAAACTCCCGGGTATACGTATGGCGTGTTGGGTGATGAGCATGGGAGCTTGGAGTGGAAAGAGGGTAAGGCGGAGGCACTCAAGGTAGGGGATCGCGTGGAGATGGTGCCGAGCCATATTGATCCCACGGTTAATTTGCATGATGTGTATTATGCGCATCGGGACGGGGTGATTAAGGAGATTTGGCCCGTGGACGCGAGGGGGTGTGTACAGTAGATATGGTATTACGAGAGAGAAAACCGAGTGTGTGTATATTGCTAGTACGAAAAATACAAATGGTGTATTATACATGTTAATGGAAGAAGGGAAGAGTTGAAGCGACGACTAAAGTGCTGTAAATACGTGTGAAAAGAAAAAAAACGAAAGACTGAAAGTGCAGACTAAACTACTACAATCGCCCTCACTTATATACTGATACCCATCATCAACGTTCCGGTCCCTCCACATTCACCCCTAGATCTTCAAGCTATATCCAACAGATTCTCCCTCAAAGCCTTTCTGGGAATGTTGGCGAGCGGGTCCGTTCCGTCGAATGCCACAGCCTCCCGATCTATGCTGCTCATCTTGGTAATGTCGTAATGCTCACCACCCAGCTTGGGATGATGTTTCTTCTTATAAGCCGCAAACTTCTGCGCCCACTTCCAGGGATCGGTACCCTTGTTCTCCATGCTACTCGCATCTCTCTTTCTCTTAACTTTTGGTGTGAGGGGTGGAGAGACACACGTATTGGGGGCTGCCTCGGGTTTCTTGTTTTCCTTGTTCGCAACCTCGTCGTCGATGGTTACGGGGTTCTCTGCGGTACCTTTGGCGGGAGTCGTCTGAACTGTTGTGGCATTCTCGTCTTCCTCGTCAGTCTCTTCCTCGGACGCGCCTACTTCCTCTGGTTTCTCGATGCGCATCTTGGTAGCGAATATGCCTTTGTCCGGGTTCAGATTGCCCTTTTTGAAGTACTCTACAGCATCCTTGCGCCATGCAGTACATTCATCTTCGATGCCGTAAGCAAAGATATCGTGCGATAGTTCGAGGTAGTACGCGATGACAAGGGCCAGGTCGAGAAAGCGAGAATCTGGCTTGAGTTCGTCCGCTGCCTCGATGGCTGCAAGTGCGGTGAGGAGGGAACAGCCAAGCAAGGCGAAGATCTCGAATGTTGTTTCGCCATCCTCGCATTGCATAATGGCATCAAGGTGATCTTCTTCGTTGATCCACAAGCCCACTGCACTGACGACTACCCACATCCTCTCGATGCGGTTGACATCTTTCGATCGGAAGGCTTTATCGAATTCCTTCATCTGCATATCGTCAGCATTGCGCCTTGGATCCTTTTCACAACTCGACCTACTTACCATGTTCTCTGAAATCTCATGCATCCCCCATCCCCGCCAGTCATTGTATAGATTCATGCCAAATGCGTTTGGGTCGCAATAGCTTGATTTCCTTCTCAGCAGATCCGTCTTTAGCCACGCATCCCACATCATGACCCATTTGTGGTCCTTGTGCTCGCTGGGAGGCGCCTTGTAGATGCCATCCTTGACTTCCTGTTCAAAGATGGGCTTGTAGCACTTGTTGAAGACTTCCTCCTTGTCGAGATACGACGAAGCAAGCCACTCTGCGCCTTCTACGTCGAAATAAGGGCGATGGATGCAGATGTAGTCGTGTGGTGCTGGAGCAGCGGCTTCATTCGGCGAAGTCGTGTTTTTACCATCGTCGTCATTGCTTTTCTTATTTTTGCTCTTGTCGCTCTTGTGCCGCCGCACGGATTCAAACGCTGAGTCTGAGCTGTCGCTGTCGGAGTGGTCTATGAACGCGCCAGAATCGCGGACCGTTTTCTGACGCTTGGCCGGAAGCATGTCTTGCTAACTACTGATACGCGAAACGATGACTAGGTCGCGGGCAAAGGCGATCGATCTTGACCACGTAGTTGATGAACTTTTGATGAATCACGATGGGAATTTAGTGGTATGGCAATGTGGTATGCGATTTAAGGGCGATGCGATTTCCCCGGACTTTTGCTGAATAATGACATCAATGCGTCTCAACATCTCTCCGAGCCCCTGGCACTTGTGATCGCGGATCTCCCGCCGGTACACGCAAACGGCATGCTTAAGGTTTTCTTTAGTCTGCGCGATAGCTGATGGATGCAGTTCTATGGCTTCGGCACTTTGAGCCGCGCACTGAGTGGCTTCTTTTGGTTCTGTCACGCCACTGCCACGGTCGATGTTGGTGACAAGACGCAGCGTGGTTGTTAAGGGACTTCGGGAGACCTAGGTTACAAACGAATATTTGCGACTTTAAATGTTCGACCTCATATCTTTCTGCAGCCTTGCGAATTGTCGTGATGATACGGAATGCGGGCTATGACGGTGCATCAAATGTAGGAACAGGTATTTTGTTTGAGCGTGATGCAGGGGGAAGAAGCATATGTGGAATCTTCTAGCTTTAGTGACGTCGTGGCGCGATCTATCACAATTTCTGCATCACCATCTTCTCAGCTATGCTACATGGTCAGGAACCTAAACGCCTTTCACTATCACTGTAATCCTATGGGAATTATCAAATACCATCGCAAACCTTAAAGCTAGCTAGAGATATAAGATTCAAAGGTTAAAAACTGCAAGCTCTGTATGCTTCCACAAGTTCATAGATCGTCCAGCACAGCCATCACATGTAGCAAAAACAAAACTAGGTTGGGCCGCAGCTTCAGCAAAAAGTAATTGTCCCGTGCCAGACTCGAACTGGCGGCCTTGGGATTTCTGCTGCTGAGAGCAGTCATATATGAAGATATGAGACCCACGTGATAACCAACTACACCAACGAGACTTTTCAGACAGCTGCGAACAATGTTCGCGTTGATGTTGCTTCGGTGAGAAAAAGCCTAGTATTGGCGTTTATATCACTATACTATGCACGCAGTAATCGTACTTGCCGGCGTACCTGATTTTTCTGCCCCTCATTGGGGTGGGGGACAGTGGTAGTTAAGTGGGGCAACCACCCACGTCTTTCCATTATCGTGTAACCTGGCTCCCATTCATCCTCCATCCTCTTGACAAAACGACTATTTTAATTTCTGATCGACTCTACTGAAATCGCATGGATCCCACTTCGTTTTGGTGTAAGACAGGTATTTCTATCGCAATATATAACGCAACCTGGTTCGTTGGTAGCTCACGTTTTAATCATCCTCAACTTTTATTTCTGGTACATTGCATAGAAGCGGTACGCTCAGGTATGATATGGTAGAAAGAGCATGAAGTATTGGGTGTGGACAGAGAGATGGCTTGCTAATACGTACTTTGCCCATATATTGACTTATATGTCCCTTTTATGCCAGCCTACACGGATGATCAGGTTGAAGGACTACTGATTGCATTACGGTCTATTCAGACGGGTGCATTCATTGCCTTGTGATCAAGAACAAGCCAACATCATACTTCTGCAAGGCAGATACATAACCCCCCAAAAGTTCAAAGCAGAAAAGACTCTTTATGTGATACGTTAGGGTAAAGTTCTTCTACAAGAAATTACGGGCATACCAAAGTACGACGCTCGAGTTAGGATCAGAATTTCCTAGTCAAAGTACTAACGCGAACTCTTGTTCCTACAATTTACCAGGTCGTGCTAGCACATATAGAGAACGACGAAGAAAAGACTACTCCTGTGGCGCCACGCTATCTTCCCTGCAACCCCTCCGACCTCGGCCCGCCTCCGTATCGTGCTGCCCAAAATTTTGGCCGTTGCGTCACACGTCAAATAGTCACCACGCGTACTTCCATGCGATCTGGACTTTCACCGCTCGTACAGTTAGTGTCGTACCTTTTGTAATGGCTTCGCGAATTGCTTCCAAGCGCGTGTGCCTCGCATTGCGAGCACCGCGCGTCAACTACATCTCTGCGCGGTATGCGTCAGCAGCGTCAGCAGTCAAAGGCTCAAGCCTGCCTCAGGACATGCTGGACTCGATAGCTGTAGGTTGAGGTGTATTTCAATCATTTTTCACATACTAACGTTTGACAGCGCGATGCGTCATTACCAACACCCGACCCACCCGCAACCTCAAAGACCGCAGGCCTCATCAACCAGCAACTGCCCTACATGGTCCCGACCTATGTGCGCCCACCACCAATGTTCGAGAAGGGAGAGGGCTGTTGGATGTGGGATATCGAGAACAGGAAGTACCTAGACTTCACAGCTGGTATTGCTGTCAATGCGCTTGGGCACTGCGATGCTGGTGTAGCTCAGGTCATTGGAGAGCAGGTACGGTCTATTCTGGCTACATGCCATGCGTTCAACTGACAGATATCCAGGCTAAGCAACTGATGCACACGTCTAACCTCTACCACAACCCCCACACTGGCCTCTTATCCAAGCAGCTCATCCAGCTCACGCATGCGACCGGAGGATTTGCCAGCGCATCCCGCACTTTTATATGCAACAGTGGCTCTGAGGCCAATGAGGCCGCTATCAAGTTCGCGCGCAAAGTGGGCAAGTCAATTTCACCAGACAAAGACAAGCACGAGTTTGTCTCGTTCCACAACTCATTCCACGGCCGGACCATGGGAAGTTTGAGCGCAACACCAAACCCAAAATACCAGACACCATTCTCGCCAATGGTCCCTGGATTCAAGTACGGAACATTCAACGATGTAAACGTGATCAACGACTTGGTTACCGATGCGACGTGCGGTGTCATTATCGAGCCTATCCAAGGAGAGGGAGGAGTCAACGTCTCGACACCTGAATTTCTCCTTGCACTGCGAAAGCGCTGCACAGAAGTTGGTGCAGTTCTGATCTTCGATGAGATTCAGTGTGGTCTTGGCCGAACTGGCACTTTCTGGGCACACGCAGGATACCCCAAGGAGTGCCACCCTGATATCGTGACCACGGCAAAGGCTCTCGGCAACGGCTTCCCCATTGGAGCTACTATTGTTAACGACTTTGTATGTGACCATATCAAAACCGGTGACCATGGCACCACATTCGGCGGCAACCCACTCGGATCCCGTGTTGCTTCATACATCCTGTCCCGTCTGTCCTCTCCAGAGATCCTAGATTCGATACCTGCTAAAGAACAAGCTTTCCGCAAGCATTTTGACGCTCTGAGGGCACGCTTCTCAACTCAAATCAAGGAGGTTCGAGGCAAGGGCTTGATCCTAGGCCTTCAGCTTGACGTAGACCCTACGCCCATTGTCACAGCTGCCCGCGAGAGAGGTCTCTTGATCATCACTTGTGGTACAAACACTTTGAGGTTTGTTCCGCCGCTTGTCATCACCGAAGCTGAGATTGAGGAGGGTATGCGAATCCTGGGACAGGCGATGGAGAGCGTGTGGGTAGAAGGTGAGAAGGTGAAGGGCACCAAGGGTCAGCAAGAGATGAGATGAGCAAGGTCACTTTCAGCACGGCGTTCTGGCGTTCAAAAAAGTACACTACATCAAGGACTTCACCGATAGATGTTCTGCACAAATGCGCTTTTAGACATCATCGTTCTCACTTACTGAAGCAGTTAGCGCAAATCTCCGAGGCCGTGCGCTTAGTTCTTGGCAGTTGCCTCACCTGCATTTATGCTGAGCCTCATTTCCCAATTGAAAATTAAATCTTTGTCTCTGAGTTGTACAGCCTCTCTAACTCCGGCGTGAAATGTGTATGTGCAATGAGTGGACCAACTTTAGTTGAGACACCTGCCTCTTGGCTTGCCACAGGCAGCACGCATGCTCATCACACAGCACGAACAGATGCAGCACCCACCGAAAACTATCAACGACAAGATCCCATCGAAACGACATGTTTCTCTTCTCACTCTCGACCATCGGTTACATACATGGCGCCTAAGCCGGTGAATTCCGTATCGTCGCCAACTAATGCGACTCCTGGGGGTGATCTCGATAGGTACATAGCGCTTGGCTGTCTTCACATCAAACAGCCAGCCAATATCAGTCAGGAATCGCCGTCGCGTACGGAATGGATAGAAATTGTCCCTCATGAGCTACCAGATGAACTTAAAATCAGTATTGGCGAAGAAGCTGCACGGCTACTCGAGGCACGCTGGATACGGCTCTTCTTGCACCGACCACCATATACAAGCACGAATCTCCATAAGCTTGTTCGCGTATATGTACTTCCAGAAGACTGGGGCCGCCGCTCAATCGATCGTAATAGCAAGAGTTTGAAGGGATCCCTGCGACAGCTGCTCCAGAGCATTGATATCTCACCAAAGGCTTGGCATGGGGATTACAGAGCGGGTGACGTGTGTTGCTTCGACCCATGGGCAGAACCGGAGCTATCCTCGTTATATTACCTTTTTAATACTTTGCCATCGCCTGCGCCAGATCCGGGTTCGATCAAGAACCGTTATACCCGAGCCGCAGTACATGATCTACTCAAGTCTGCAACCGCCTCCGAATGGGAAGAGCATGGCGAACAAGCACTTGCAGGACTGAAGACGAGGCTATACGCTTATCAGGCACGTTCTGCGAGCCTCATGTTGCAGCGAGAGGCTGCGCCACAGCTGCAACTTGATCCGCGACTGGAGACCCGTACATCACCTACTGGACAGAGGTTTTATTTTGGTGCTCGAGATGGATCTTTTCTGCAGGAGCCTCGGTACTATGAGACAAATCGAGGTGGCATTTTAGCAGAGACCATGGGCCTGGGGAAGACAATCATTTGCCTGGCAGTCATACTAGCAAGTAAACACCATCTGCCAAAGATTCCGGCCGCATACCAGCCTCCATCTCCTATCCGCGATAGGGTCGGGTCGCTGGCAGATATGGCAGCCTCAATCATGGGGAGGTACTCTATACCAGCAAAGGCCTTTCTAGAAGAGTCTGAAGAAAATGGTGTTGGAGATCTAACAAACTTAAAAGACACTCTCGAGCGGAATATGCCATTCTACGAGATACCGCTTGATCTTCCCCGGATAAATAGAAATACCAGGATCCCACCACCACGTCAGCTGGTATTATCTTCTGCTACAATTATTGTGGTGCCACGGAACTTGTTGCATCAATGGCAGTCGGAGATACACAAGCACGTCCTTCAGGGTGGCCTCAAAGTTCTTGTGGTAGATTCCATACCTAAGCGTGGTAACAAAGCCAAGAATACCCAGGAGCTCGGCGACAACATGGAGTTCCAAAGTGAATTGCCAGCGCCCACCAAGCTTATGAAGTATGATGTAGTTCTATTCACTCGCAATCGTTTCGAGCAAGAAATCCAAGACGGAAAAGATGACCTTGGGCGACGAGTTGTTTCTGGGGTCGGTCGTAATTGTGAATGTCCTTATATTGGCTCTACCAGAATCCCTGACTGTAATTGCATCAACGCCGACTCAGTCTATGAGTCGCCATTGAAGAGGGTACACTGGCTACGGATCATCATCGATGAAGGCCATTCTTTCTCAAGCTCACTCTCCAATGCAGTACTATTGGCAAAGCAGATCCAAGCAGAGAGGCGATGGGTCGTATCAGGAAGTAAGTACCGCGAATTCTAGTTATTCATATCGACTGACGTTTGCCTCAGCGCCTGCGAAGAACTTGGTTGGTGTCGAAGTCGACATGTCTACAATGGATCTAGACGGCTGTGACCCCGCGTTACAACGCGAGCTGGCCATCGAGAAGAGGAAAACGTTTGGGTTGGATCCAGACAACATCAAGGCAGCCAAAGCATTGGGACAGTTGGCCTCAAATTTCCTGATGGTTCGACCTTGGTGTGATAGTTCCGAGGGAAAACTTGAATGGGACGACTACATCTACCGTCATGAGCACCATTATCGAAAGACCTACTCGGGTTTCTCGTCATGCTTTCTTCGGACACTACAGGGTTTAGTGGTCAAAACACGCGCGGAAGACGTTGAGAAGGACATCGTTCTACCTCCGATGCATCACCGCGTCGTATTCCTTCAGCCATGTTGGTTTGACAAAATGACAGCCAACCTCTTCATTCAGGTTCTGCGAGCGAATGCAATTACCAGCGAGCGAACAGACGTCGACTATCTATTTCATAAGAACAGTGTGAAGGATCGCCATCGTCTTATCATGAATTTACGGCAGTCGAACTTCACCTGGACGGGTTTTAGTCTTTCCGATGTGGTCTCGACGCTTGAAGCCAGTAGCAAGTATCTTGCGAAAAAAGACAAGACCTGCTCACACGAAGATGCCCAATCTCTCCTTGAAAGCAGTCAAGCCGTTTCCAAACTGGCGACTTCTAAATCGTGGACCGCGCTCAGCAAAGCACACGAAGTGGGTATGGCTGTCGAGAACTGGCCAGAAGATTCAAAAGAGGCTTTCGCACTTATACATCCAGCAGATCCAACGATGATTGGAGTTACACAAATGATTGAAGGGCAGCTGCATGTCGACAGCAACCTGCTCTCACAAGATCCTACCAATGGGCTTGAGCTTGTAGGACAGACTGTGAAAGCGAGAGATATGGGTGAGAAGGCAGTCGCTAGCTCGCCATTGCAGAAGACTGGAGTGCCATCGTCGTTAGTCGGAGATCAACAGCCATTGGCAGGTCGCCGAGCGCCAGCAATAGCAAGCAAAAGTTCTCCTAAAAACCCGTCAGCGGACAAGCTTTCAAAGAATACCGAGGATACCATAATGCTAGAGTCTCCAGTTCGTCCAAAGAAGCGCAAGCTCACTCTTGCAGAAGAGATTGCGAACTTGCCTGTGGATTCTAGCCTCTGCAACACACGGTTGGTGGGTACAACATCAGCCAAGCTCACATATCTCCTGGATAAGGTAATGCAACATCAAGCGACCGATAAGATCATCATCTTCTACGATGGCGACAATGCGGCTTTCTACATTGCTCAATGCCTCGAGCTAATGTACGTCAACCACCGCATCTACGCCAGAACATTGGAAAACACATTACGTTCCGAGTATGTGCGCTTGTTCAACGAACATCCGGACGTGCGGGTCCTGTTGATCGATGTCGCATGTGGTGCTCTAGGACTAAATCTAAACGCCGCAAGCGTTGTGCTCATCGTCAATCCAATCAACAGGCCGGGCCTAGAGGCTCAGGCTATCAAGCGTTCGCACAGGATCGGCCAGACCAAGGAGGTAATTGTTGAGACTTTGGTGCTCGAGAATACAATTGAGCATGCAATCTTCAACCGCGCAAAGAAGATGTCGCGTGCCGATCATCAGGAAGCGAAGGAGTTGGAGGATGACGCAGGTATCATTGAGATCATCCAGAATGCACAGATTCTGCCTGTGGATGACGAGGAAGCTGAGGGACAGGCTAGTTTCGCGCTGCTGAAAACGCCTCAGCAGGTTTTTGGTCGTCCAAATCGACACAAGTACCATCGCTATGGTGTTGCTGACGTAAAAGCAACGAACAAGCCACAGAAGAAAGCAAAGACTTCGAAAGGTGCGAAGGAAGCCAGGAAAGAAGGTGGAAATAATTCTGGCAACGCCGACTCTCTTCCAACTCTTCCTATGCGAGGGCTAGTCTATGGCGATACTGAGTCCGGAGCGAGGGAGCCCTTAGCCGACCCAGTCTCTAGTATCTTTGGAGGTGGCTGAGGTGTGGGAATTGCGGACGGGTGCTTGTATTAAACCATCCTTCCCGTACAAATGTCTTGCAATGCCACATCTGTATCATACCAGAAAAAAAAAGTAAACTCTACTGTATTTCACACAATAATCTAGGCCGACTTCCAACTCCGATAACTACTTACCCACCCCCTCTGCCTTCTAGCACAAACACGGCAAATGTATAGTCTGATAATTGCTACACGACCTCCCGCTCGGCACATCACTCCCCATCTGCAAGAACAAATCGTAATACCTAGCTGCTACATCCACCGATGCGCATACCAAGAAGTTCAGCTCTGCATACACCCACCCACACGCAATTAGCAGTCAATCCAACGCTCAAATATCAGAGGAGAAGGAAAAGAAAAAAACTCACGTCTCCCATAACTACTCCCCTGCACAGTAATAATCGTATCACCCTCCAACCCCCACGCCGTCGTCTGCGCAGTGGCGCCCCAAACCAGCGGCTTGTAACTCGTCGACGCCGTGCCGATGTTTAGGTATTTGCTTGTTTTCGCCGATTGGATGGTGCCGCCGATTGTGAAGGTGTCGGCGGCGCTTTCGGGGCCGAGCACGGGTGTGGATGCTGAGAGGGTTTAGTAGGTAAAAGGGGAGGCGGGATGTGGGTGTGGGAGGAAGGGGTTATTTGACGTACGTACCGTTCTTGGAGCTAGCTTGGAGATAGAGGTGATAGATTGGGTCGCGGACGCCGCGAATTTTGCCTACGGTTACTGCGGCGGCGGCGTTGTCGACGGGCGCGGCAAAGGCGCTGGGGAGGAGGAGGACAAGGAGGAAGAGGGGCAGGATAGGTGCGAGTAGGAATAACATTGCGACGGTGGTGAATTTGGAAAATGCGGGATGAGCTGGGTGGAGATGTAGTTGGTTTATTATAGTTTGGACCCCACAATTCCGGATTCCAGGGTTGTAATATCGCAGATAGATTGTGGTTGTGTCACGCGTGGGTGCTTGTATGGGCGGATATTAAGTATCCTTGTCGCGCCACCGCGTTGGAACTAGCTTCAAATGAAAGGTATATAGTTCCCTAGAACCGTTAATGTACCGTATCCGGTGTTAGCACTTTCGTACCGCGCACCGCATATAATCTTTTATCGTAGCCATGTTGTTAGTACCGGCACCCTTGCAGTTGGTAAAAAAGTTCCTTAGAAGAAAGCAGCTACATCGTTAACACACCAGTAAACAGCTTTTCGAGTACACAACAGAGATATTATCCGAAAGGAAAGGATAGAAAGCATCAGTTTAACACTACTCTTTTTTCCCACTAGCGCCGCGCCCATCTTTTACACTTGTGTCCTCACTTCTTCATCGCAAGTGCACTGTCAATTAGGATTAAACGTCGCCGCACTAGCTGTATTATGAATCTTACACCAATGTAGAACAAGAAAGCTTCTATTAGTGGAAAAGAAGACATAAAAAAGAAAATAGATGAATAATTCTTATTCGTCAAACTCGTCAAACTGTAGACATTGTCCTGCAGCATGTTCTTTGTCTCAAATCACAGTTCAAGGCTACACACTTGGATATGCACCGTATAAAATATCACGTCTCAGAAACCTGTTCTCCACCAAAAAAAATGCCATCCTCCCCCACCCATACTGGCAAACACCGTCAACCCAACAACGACGACATGGAAGGCATCTTACCCAACCTCCCTATCCTCCCCATGCCCTTCACCTCCCCACCATCCTCGACCCCCACTCCCATCTTTCCCTCCTCCACGCCCCGCGCATTCACCGCATCAACAAACGCCTCCCCCTTCCCCGACTTATGCGGCACAAGAAACGCATCAAACGTAACCTCTGGATTGCGTCGAAACCGCACCTCTTGCGCCAAGGGGCTGCGAACACGAGTCGAGGAATCAGACGATGTGCCTGAGACAGATGCTAGAGGGGAGATGTTGCGACTGGCGCGATGGGCGGAGCGGCGGGCGGGGCGGGTAGATCGGGGTTGTTGGTGGTGGGAGAAGTAGTCGCCGGTGCTTGTGGCGCGGACGTGGTGGGAAGAAGTAGTAGAGGTGGTGGTGGCGATGGTGAGGTTAGGGTAAGACTGACTAAGTGGGAGGGAGGGCCGCCGTGGTGAAAGTGAAAGTGAAGGCGGCGATGGTGTATCAGAAGTCATCTGCATTCGTCCAGCGTAGTCGTAGGTGTAGGTATAACCCGCACCCTCCTCCTTTCCCTTTCTCACATCATCAGCAAAAACCCCCACACGCCACATAAACGTTGTACCCACCTGGTCTTTAACTTCTTGGGCGAGCGCACGCCGACTATCCTGTCTATCACATTCGATCCCAGCAAGCGCGCGCACCTTGTCCATCTTGGGCATCACACCACCAGGGACGAGGTCCTTGCGGGCTTCATGGTGAGTGACCAGATCCTTAGGTGTCCATTCCTTGTGGTTGTGGTTTTTTTCGCCGTGGGCGAGCGCGAGTTTGTCGGATGAGCTGAGGGCGTGGGAGTAGTAGGTGGCTTTCTTTGTTGTTGCTTGCTCGAAGGAGAAGGCGGACATGGTGGATGGTCGGCGGTGGAGGTGGAGGTGGAGGTGGGATGGGCGTGTGTGTCGTGACTGCTGGATGGGGTTTGTGCGAGGGGGAGTGGAAGGTGCGAAGGTGGAGGCGAGAAAGTGGACGTCTGGCTGTTGGAATGGGGCTTGTAGTGTTGCAGTGAAGGTTGGACTACCCTGGAAAGCGTCCTCGTCGTCGTCTGAGTGCTCTGCATCAACTGGCATTTGCAATGTTGCAGCCAGTGAGAAGGAAGTGTCCGACAAGAAATCTGGAATCACAGACCCATACCCATTGTCAACTTCACCTTGAGTCCGATTTGCGCTGTCCAGTGACATGTTTGACAAGCAGTCGGTGACGTCTTCGTTGTAACTATCACGACGACTACTATGCGGGTTGCCCACTGACCATCCTCCAGAAGACGTCGTGAATTGCTGATAATGCATGATATTGCGCAATAGATCGGGTAGCTATGCGACAACTAATCCCAGACAGCTGATAGCCAACGAGATTGAGTGTGCGCTTGGTGGGTCAGTGGGAGCAAACGCCTTAAAGTGCGTAATTGGCACGCAAGGTGAATACACAGTCACCACACAATGTGCAGAGACCGTTCTGAAGCATCCAGCCATTCACCGTGAAACATGTCTTGCAAGTGAACATCAACAGTAAGACTTGAGTGACGAGATTGGCCAGCATCGTGATGAGTGAAAAGGCTGAAGCCGATTAATTGATATGATACTATTTACAAGGATTATGAAAACTCGTGCTTGAGTGTAATTAGACGGAAAGAGAAATGGCCATGTGCTCTTTGTGTTCTGTTCTCCATGTATGGGATATATATGTCCACGTGATGCTCTAGATCGACGGATGCTTCTATACTCATTGCATCTGATCTTGTCCCGTCTTGTTGCATCGCTCTATATCCCGATGACCGATGATACAAACTCGGATGTCGCGCTCTGCGGGGTGCGCTGAGACAATGCTACCGAAAGCGTGAAACTGGAGGTTCTGTTGCCACGCAACGCAATCTTGTTGTGATGGTGCCATGGTGATTTGCATCCAATCTTCCGGGCTCAAAGCCCGTGGCGAGACAAATGTCTGAAGCCCGAATATAACTCTCGAAGGAGTAAACTGATAGTAAAAACATTGGGAGAAAAGTTCCCGTAACGCGTGTGGCGCTTCAAGTGCAACTCCACTGGGCAAGACCCAGCAGTATAGCAATAGCAGCCATGTATGTCGAAGAAAGGGGAGTGTGTTGATTTCCTAATGACTTGTGAAGGTCGGCTGGAGTGGAGGAGCCGCCCGAACTGGGTGGGTTGTTCGGACTGCTCGGACCGCCTGAGAGAGAGCCAGAGGCCGTGGAGCCAGTGCTGGAGCCAGAGGAAGCGGTGTTGCCAGCAGCAGCTGGTCTGTGTATGTGTTAGTGTCTGTAGTATCAGGTATGTAAGCTAATCACCATACTTACTGCTTCATGTGCAATCCCATGTCGTTGATGACTTCGCACCGCTGCCACTCCTCCTTCGAAATGGTTTCCATGCCAACATCGTCGTTGTCGTTGAAAACCAACCTCTTCTCCTGAGTGAGATTGGAGTCTTGCCACATCGGACTGTTCAGTGTGGAGCCCTTGGCAAGGAGAAATGCAGCTGCGTGCTTGTTGGGGTCATAACTTCGAATAAAGGATGCCCAGTAAGCCTGAACAAAGACACCAGAAGCGGAGGTGGCATTGTTCCAGATCGGCAGTAGCTCCCCAACGTGCGAGGCGGTTCCGACGTTCCATCGATATTGCCATGTCGGGTTGGTGTCGTTCTTGGCGTATGTATCCGTGATGTTGAGCGTCGGGCACGTGTATCGGATGTGGCCGTAAATATTGGCCGTCACCGTTCTCCACCGAGCATCGGCAGTCGATGCCATGTTGGCATCCCAAGCTTGGCGGACCTGGTTGAAGTTGATGCTGGGAAACTGGTCGGTGAGGAACTCTTGAGACATTGACTGAGACATGATGGTTTTCGGGGTGAAGTTGATACCGTCATTCGTGGCGACGCCGAAGATGCATGGTACGTTGACATATCGCCCGTTCTTCAATTCGTTAAATGTGAAGTCCTGGATAAAGTCTTTGTCGAGGGTAGGGTTCCAGGCGTAAAGGGGTGGGTTCTTAGCGCCTGGAAACGGTTCCTTCATATTCCTGACCGCTTTTTGGAACTTAACAGCATCCATAGAAGCCATGCAGTGCATGTCCGCGCAGCCCGTTTGCTTCAGCAGCGCGTCGAATTGCCACTGACTGTTCTCGACGTCGCGGATAGGTGGAAAGGCAGGTGATTCGGCGGCCGCAGCATGGAAGAGACCATCGTTTCGGCCACCAAAGGCCGTCAGCTGGAGAACAACGGAGCCTCCACCCGCACTCGCACCTCCAATCGTTACGTGACCTGGGTCTCCACCAAATTGTTGAATGTGCTTTTGGACCCACTTGAGCGCCTGTCTTTGATCCTTCAAACCGTTGTTCAAGCTCAGGGTTGAGTTTTCAACAATCTCACGTCCGGCCAAGAAACCATAGGGTCCCACTCTGTAGTTGAAGTTGACGACGACCATATCTTCGTCACCTGCATCGATCAAGTCTGCGCCGTTGTAGTTTGCATTACCGTTGACGCTGAATCCACCACCTTGAATGAAGACGTAAACAGGCAGCTTAGTCTCGTTTGTAGCTTTTGAAGGGGCAAAGACGTTGATGAACAGACAATCTTCCGAATGCTCTCCCCCAAACTCAGCCTTCAGTTCAGTGCCTGTGCCGATGCAAACAGGTCCAAACTATGACTTGTTAGTGGTTGTTGCCTAGTTTATGAGGTTTGCTTATTACCTTGGTCGCGTCAGATACACCGGGTTGGTCGAGAGGGTCCTGGGGTGCGGTGAAGCGTAGACCTTTGTCGCGAGCGACATTGCGTGCGTACCGCATGCCAGCCCAGCGTATAACGCCATTGCCAATGTCGAGTCCGCGGTAGCGTGCATACCCTAAATCGACGGTGTCGCTAAGGGCGAGGGCAGACTGGCAGAAGACCACTGCGCAAAGCAGTAGGTGCAACATTGTCTGCTTTCCCGCGATAACTGGGGATGAAGAAAAGAGTTGTCGAGGAACTAAAGGAAAGGGTTCGGTGTCCGGTCGTGTTTTCCCTGTCCCAGTTGCGGAAACAATACAGGACTTGTTCCGATAGGAGCGGTGTTATAACGGAACAGGGCTATGCGCAGATCGATGACAAGGGGAAGTTGACAAAGAAGGGGATTAAAAAACAAAGGTGATCAGGAAGTCATATGCTTATTGAGTAAACGATAGCAAAGGAGCGAACTGTAGCCAAGAAGGATTAGCATTTGCAACGGCAATGGCAGTGTTTCTCTATCCGCCGGTGCATGATACATACTGTGAAGAAACAGGAGGGATTTGGCATCGTGCGACCAACGTCGACGTGAAGGATGAGTCAGGTACAGTACAGTTGTACGGCAAACAAGGATATAGAAAAAGGCAATGGCAGAGCGCCCGCGGGTTTAAGACGAGAGATTAAGACAGAAAACCTAGTGCGTGCGCCTTGCCAACGGTGGGTGTTGTGGCCTAGCTCGCTCTCGCAGCACAGCGAATCCAGGGGTGCTGTAGGCTGTGACATCCAGACCGTTCGCGTGCATGAGGGTTTGAATGGCCGGGGACTCCTGGGGCTCAGGCCTATCGCACGCGAACAATGGAGGTTAGTAGGAATTACCGACAGCTGGTAGCGCGCGTGCTGACGGTGTAATTACACCGAGTATCACTCCTGCCCCGGGCCCTGTTGGATCAATAGCATGATGATCAGATCCGCGGAGAGCGTGTTGACGGCAATGGCAGCGGCGATAGGGTTTTAGACATGTCGTCAGACCCCAGGGTGCAACGCGGGAAGCTACGTAACTTGAGCCAGACACACCGCATGGTTAACATGTTGTAAGATGTGCGATGAGATCAGATCTACCATTGCATCGACGGGCAAGGCTGGAGGTGGCAACGAGAGTGCCCAGCGTAAGGCGGGCTGATCTAAAAGCCAAGTGGGACCTGCAGCCGAGCGAGTCCAAGAATACGAAAGTCTGATCATCCCAGGGATGCAACTGCAAAATGCTAAAACGAGGTAACTGCTTATCCCTGCCCAGTGCCCACGGTGCCTGAAACCCCAGCCAGGGTGAAGCCAACGGCTCCTTGTGCAAGCACCTCTACCCTCGTGCGAGATAAACAAGACAAGAAAAGCGTCCAAGAACAAAACCGTCTTTGTCCACGGCACGCCTGAACCAAGCGACCAAAACACTCGGACCGTGACTCTGGGCGGCCGAAAGAAAAGCAAAGCCGGTGAGCTCGGTGTTGTAGTGTCAAGGCACCCGGCAGCAGCAGAGTATCGTGACCGCCGGGACCCGAGTCACGGACTTTGTTCTGTTGCCATTGTCCGTAGGTGCACCTATGTCGTTCCCAAGTCACACGTTCGCAAGCCCACACTAAAACGTGCGTTAGCCGACGCGCTGCAGAAATGGGTCTATTGCCAATCCTGACACGCGAGGCTGCGACAAGAACGCCCCTACGGCGTGCCTCCCAAAGGACTGCCTGAGGCGGTCGTTGGAAAGCTGTTTTACACTCCGAAACTTAATCGCCATGCGGCTCCATGGTTAGCCACGCCGCTCAGCTTGGCAAACCGCTCAAACACGGTAGATGGGAAAGAAGGCAAACCCCAAACAATGCGGCCTTCACGGAGCAAAATCCCGCATGTGTGCCCTCATCATCGTTGTGAGAAAATCTCACATGCTGTATGTAGCTCGTAGCTCGGTATTGCAGAGTATCCGAGGCATATAATTTTTCCCCCCAAATTTACACAAAAGAAAGCCACTCAGCCACAATCTGCTCAGGGCATCTAGACCCTGCGTCGACGGGCGCCCCCTTCTCCATAGTAAGCCGCCTAAAACCATCATGTTGGAACTCCGCACTTTATGGGCGGCCCCGAGTTGCTTGCATTGTGCTAGGAAAGGAAGAAATCGATAGCTTGGAGGGAGCAATACGAGGTTGAAGTGGGCGGGCATAAGGCGGTAAAAATTCCCTCACATCATCTTTGCCTGATGGAACATGGTATTACGTGCCGAAGCGTCGGGGCACACACACACCAACGGAGATGGGCTTCGTTTTCAGATATGGATTTGGACCTGTGAGATGCCACCAAACCCTAGCCACATGGCTCGACCCAAGTATATTTTTACGTATTCAATTCCCCTGACGTCGTCGTCGTCGACCAAGTATAGAATGGTGCAATGTTCAGGATACGAGAAGAAGAGTGGTATCGTGAAGTGCGGCAGACTTGCATAATTAACATGTGATAATACAGTACAGTACAGTACAGTACAGTACAAGCTTGTGGTTAGCCACCCACCACCCAAGATCAATTCATTCGGCCAAGACTACTCAATGCAGCATCATCGGTGACATGCACCCTTGGCAGTTGCATCTGCAGCATCGTGGAGGATCAGATCTCTTGGGTCTTCATAAAGTTTTGGCCCGGGGGTGTGGCGGGGTTAAGCCAACAAGTAAGTAAGCACTAAGAAGAAGGAAAGGCGACGGCGGACGATTCTGTGCATGTCATGTCATGGTCTGCCGCGAAGATAACCGTTGACCATTCTCACGCCATGTGGAAACAATCATGTCGGAATACCATACCAATACCACACCCCTTGTCTTTCGCTCGTGTCTTCCCATGACGCGCTCAAGCTTTTCTTTGCCCAACAAGCTTAACCTAACCCCTCAGCCACCATCGTCAGCGCAGCTCAGCCACCCCGTCTTACGGATGCGTCTGCACTCCCCCCTCTGGAAATTAACCATCCTAATCCTGCATCTGATCACCTCCGTGCTGTGTCTTGTCTTGTCTTACGGCTGCCCTTCCTAACCTCACACAACACACTCCACCACGCCGCGCCACCTCCCTCTTACAGTACATCCTTCAACCCCCTCCCCCCCTCCCTAACAACACCTTATCTTATTTTCAAAAATCAGTGACCCTCCCATTATAACTCCAATCCCCACCACCCCCCCACCTCAACGGTTCATTCTTCGGTCCCCCCACCTCGCCCGTCTTGGGATTGACATCGCCTTCGAACTCAGGTGGTGCACCCCTCCGCATATTAGGATGAAGGTCCTCTCCTTTTTTGATCTGTTTGCCGTTTTCGAACCGCACTTGTACCCCGTCTGCTGCTGAGTCGGGCGATTGATTGATGTGCATGCGTAGGTTTGGCTTTTCTGTTGGCTCTGTCGCTGGCGCTGCGTCTGCGTCTGTGGCTGTGGCTGTGTCTCTTGGTGTGCTAAACGCGCCGGTGCTTTGCCGCTGAAGTTTCTCAAAGATCTCTTGTTCTGATTTGGGGAGACGCGGTGGTGCTGGGCCGGAGCCGAACGGCGATTGTTGCAGTAGGCGTGGACAAGTGCTGAATGCACGACGACGGGAGAGGTGGCGCGGTAGGCGAGTGAGGGTGCGCAGTGTGGAAGCCATGGTTGTTGAAGAAGAAGAAGAAGAAGAAGAAGTAAAAGGTTTGTGGTTGTGTGTACTTTTCAAAGGTAAGTTATGCGTGTGTGAGGCTTGCGCTGCTGTCACTACTGATGTGATGCCGATGCTTGTCGAGAGTGGAAGGCAAAAACGGCTTTCAGCAATCGGGAACTGACCGGGTGAGCCGCGGCTTGCGGAACCAATCGGAGCCAGCAGTGGCAACGGAGGTCGCCCATGTGTAGAAATCCGTAAAATGCGTCCCGAACCTCTTTAATCCTCATCAGTACAGTAAACCATCTCCCGGGTTGTTATCGTGATGTTAAGCCCCGCCATACATGTTTACGTCTGAACTTTTGATATAAGCTAATCTCGTTCCCATGGGTTTGAAAACGCCCACGCCCACGAACCCTCTACATCCAAACGCCAGGCTATCGTACAAACAAATTGCCGCACACCTTACGAAATGTAACCGTCCGTCTCTCCAAGCGCCTGTGCACTCCTCCGCGCATCCAAGAACAAGTTCTGACACTCCTCTACATCATCGACTTCGATTTGCTTATTCTCGCGTCCGTTGACCTCAGCCAAGACACTGGCAGGTGCTAGCAACTGTAGCGCATAGCGCAGACTGATCTTCTCTCCCAGCGCGCTAACCTTGTCTTTGGCTGCAGGGGAAATGTGGAGTTTTTCCGTCGTGACGCGCGTGGTGATGATGGATTTGATTTCTGCAGGACCGTATGGGTGGGTTGGAATGATGAGGAGGCGCGCGAGCAAATCTGTCGGGATGCCGTGTGCAGAGGGAGGAAGGTTGGTGCCGCCGCGAATGTGCGTGTTGCCGCGATTCGAGGCGAGGATGACAAGGGGCGAAAGAGGCGATTCAAGAGCGCGGTTCAGGAATGTAAAGGCTTCAAGGTCGAGCATGTGCACCTGGCTATGTTAGTTGACTTGTTGCGCATTCGTGTTATAGCATCTTACCTCATCAATAAACAGCACACCAGGGACTAGGTCGGCGATTCCTTGGTCGATATACCTATTAACCACCTTGTTGATTTCCAACCGTAGTTTCTCCGTGATCTCAGTCTTCTTGGGCTTCATCAGCTGGCCCATCATGCTCATGATATCTTGACCGCCCTGGGGTCGCGCATTCGCAACATCCAAGTCGTGCAGCGTAACGTCTTGGACAATCTCCTTCTTCTTGTGCACGTCGCCCTTTGGTATGGGCACATACTCCTCAGCTTCGAGGTCGAACTCGGTTGCGTATGCGTCTGATCGGCCGACGCGCTTGACGGCGCCCGTGTTGGCTTCAATGTAGATGACATCGCCCAGGCGGACGCGTTCCTTTTGGATAGCCTCGTATATGGACGGGTCGAGGCGCAGCTTCTTTGTGCCCTTTGCAGATTTGAGCGTGATGAGGAGGTGGGAAATCGTGCGGCCATAGCCTCCAAGCGGGTTTTCAGCCTCTTCAGGCGTGAGCTCTGTCACCTCGCCTTCGTAGACCTCCTTTGTTTCCTTGACGCGTAGGCCTAGCTAGGAGTTAGTATATATTCACACATACAAGCAAGCATGACGTACCAATAGCTCTTCGAAAGTTCTCCATGAGTGCTTCAGTCTTCTTGACCTCTGCAGAGTAAATCTCACTTCCCACAATCGGGCAAAACGGCACCTTTGTGCCCAACTCCTGGCTCACGGCCAATGCCAATGCGGTTTTTCCTGTTCCCGGTCCTCCTGCGAGCAATACAGCTCGGCCTGACATCTTCTTCGCTTTGACGAGGTCGACGACTAGACCGCATGCCTGGGCTGGTTAGTACACATGCTGAAGACGGGTTGCTTGCGGTCGAAAAGTTACCTCTCGAGCTGCAGCTTGGCCAACAAAGCCACCTGCTGAGGGAGTGGCGCGTCCATCACTCGACAGACCCAAGCCTTTGATGTGGGAATGCGCCGCGGTTCGGGACGAGCGGTCTTGCGAGCTCTTTACGTCGCTGACCGGCACCGTAGTCATTTTGGCAGTCGCAAACACTCAATCCTATCTGGCGATAACAAGGCAATTCGGCACTGTTGGGTTTGCAGGGGAGTTTCTAACGTAGGATGGATGGCAGTTGGGGCGCGTCTTGTTTGGCGTGTCTTGAGGCTCCAAGTTTTGGCGAGGCATCGCAGTTCGCGAAAGCACAGCTTAGCGCGCCGGCCGCTCACCAGCACCTGGGCACAGTGCGGCCATCCTCAGTCGGTCGCCCGCCGCTGATTCCCCACCCCTCCGCCTCTGCCAGTGCAGCAGCGCATTTACCGACCCAGCTTAGTCTCTACGCTTGCCCATGATTTCGACGACACTATTACTATCGCAACTTGTTGCCCAGTATAGCCCGTTTTCCCGCTTTCTTTTTGGACCATCGCTCCTTCCTCGACGGCTTCGCTTTGATGCACCCGTCACACAATCCTGACCCCGTCGCACTCAGGGACGAAGCGTGGACGAGACTCACGGAGCGCAGCGTAGCGTACAATACACCCCTCTTTCCCATATCGTACGACTCACTGACAGTATCGTAGACAGTCTCACTGCGAAGCACGTCTCCGCACCGCCATCGTTCCTGCCATGCCCCCCTCGGTACTCCCTTGCCCGAACGACTGACGGCCGTCTGTCCCTATGCCCCGACGAAACACTACTACTCCACCCAACTGGTCCCGGATCCCTGGGTCCCTTGAAATTTCGAAACTACGGCGACAATGTTATGCCAAAAAACCCATTTCCATCGCAACTCCCCTCCACGTCTTTCAGCTTGCTTCCAAGGCCACCAGTCAGGTGGTCCACTTTCAGAGTCACATGGACATTCGAATACCCTGCCGGCCAAGACCTTACTCATCACTCGCAGTACAACATCACTCATACCAGCACACGCTCATGAGATTATTATCTGCATTTTATTCTGGCCACCAACTCGAGCAGCATATTCATACAGAGAAAGAGTACCCGCATATCCCCCATTTTCGCTAAACGCACCACGCCAAATACCGCTTACCGGGGGCTGTTAATGCCCTCAACCAGGAAGACCTGAAAGGACCAAAACTCATCACTCGTAATCCATTGTCGGCAATTCGCCCATGATCATGGTACCTCTAGGGTGACGTCTGTTACCAAGAGAATACTATACAGTCGAGTGGTCTTGTGTGAGTGTGCAGGTGGTAGTGACTTCTGGGGCCAAAGCAAGGGCATGCACTAACAGAACGCCTCAGATCTCAGTTGCCGCCGGTAACGATACCCGATCAGCACCGACTGCAGTGTGGAGAAGCTATAACGCCCAGTTCAATCATGTATCGAAGAGAAGGGATGTCATCGGACTTAAGTGGAAAAGAGCACTGCAAGCCAAAAGGGTCACGCGAGAATAGCAGTGGGCGCCGACGAGGGACGAGGAACATCACTCTTCCTCGCTCTCCGAGCCACTGGACTCATCATCGTCGCTGGATGCATCATGCACTGCACAGGTTAGTGAATGTTGGGACCGTACACGCACTGACGACTCACCAGGTGGAGATTGGCTTGAACCCGATGCACCGCCCTGGAACGACTGCAACTTCTCCTGGATCTTGCGCATGTTGTCTTCTTGCTCGCTCTTGCCCATGGGCTTGTTCTTCTTGGGCCGACTAGCTGTCTGCTTCGACACTTGTCGCGGTGGCTCAAAGTCCTCGTCGGCTACAGCGGCACCCTTAGGACCACGTAGAGACTTGATGAACCTCAACAACTCGCGGAGCGTATCATCATTGATGTCTTCCATGTCGAGCTCCATCTCGTCATCGTTCACGTTAGCGAGATGCGGACATCCGTTTCGGATAATCTGGACGGCCCGTCGCATATCAAGATCACCCAGCGTGCTTATGCCCTCTGAGATCTCTTGCTTCTGCGCGAAGCTCAAAGGAGCTGGAGCCTTGGCCTTCTTGACTGCAGAACTCTTCATCGGCTTGGCCGGAGGAGGTACCGCTAGAGGAAGGCTCTTCCTCTTCGCGGGTGGCGCAGCTCCCTTCTTCTTTTTGCCAGGCAACTTGGGCGAGGCACGCTTGCTGCCTGTCTGCTGTTGCAAGAGCTGCTGAGCCGTGGCATTCAGTTGAGCAATCTGCTGCTGGATGGCAAGGAACTGCGCCTGAGCAGGATCAATCTCCTCCTCATCGTCGTCCTCCTCGTCGTCCTCATCCGAGTAGAGATCGCTGGGTGAATGCTCGGGAGCTGGTGCATGCTGGGCAAGCCAGTCTGCCTTCTCCTTCCACAGACTCTCAAAGAGATCCTCGAGCTTGTGTCCCATCTGATTGACGGCATCGCCCTCAGGGTTGAACTTGTAGCAATTCTGGAACACAAGCTGGGCATCGGCGTAGAAGTCCTTGGCACTCTGGTACACACCGTTCTTGAGATTCTTCTCAATCGTGCCAAAGTCCATGGGCTTCTTGATGATCTTGAGATACGACGGAATGTTGAGTGCCACGGGATCTACGGGAGTAATGAAGGGATACGTGACAGCACTGTACTTGGGCTTCATGAGCTCCGTAAGCACAGACTCACAGAACTTGAGCTCTTGCTGGAACTTCTTCCTCCTCGGCTTAGCGTTTGTATATGGCAAGTCCTTTGACGGCCTATGAATCTCCCGCTTGGGCCGACCATCGGTAGTAGAAGAGTCACGGCGAATCAATGGTGTACCATCTTGTTGCAGAGGCCACGCAGCCTGGGGTGACGTCGCTGCAGGAGTAGCAACAGCCGGAGACTTGACGGTAGGTGGAGGAGCTACGCGTGATTCGCGTCGAGCCTTTTGTGCAGTGTTTACTGTCGGCTTCTTAGCCTTCGCTGGCTTTACCGGCTCTTCAGCTGCGGCGCCGCGAGGCATCTTGCCCATTCCCTTTAGGAAATACGCTCGCAGGTTGTACCCAGCTTGCGTGACGGGATGCTGCTTGTTGTTGAATAGCTCGCTGTTTGTAATCATCTGATCAAGATCTGCCATAAAGTCCCTTACGTATGTGTACTTTTTTTCCTTCAACTTGCTCTCCATAGTTGACAAGTCCATTGGATGCTTCACAATCTCCGGGTACTGCGGAATGCCGAGTGCTACAGGGTCAACAGGATCCTTGAAAGCCAAGGAAACCTTGATCTTCTTCGTGTTGCGTATGCGTTCCAACAAAAACTTGTTCTGCGCTTCAGTCATCGGCGTCGTAGGCCAGGCCTCCCAATCGACGGCCCTATGAACGCCTGATGCTTCGTGCGCTGAATCTGAGGCTGGGCCCGGCGTACCGCCGTTTCCATTCGGCTCGCCATGAGCAGGCGGCAGTTCTGGAAGCTTGAAGTTTGTTTGAGCACCGGCCTCTTCTTCTGTCTTTGTGCGCTTCGCTTCCGGGCCGTCCATGTCCTCATCGTCATCCTCGCGCGGTCGAACCTTGCCAGAAGAAGGAGCATCTTCCATCTCACGATCTACAATCGCCGGTGACTGCGTGGTAGAAGCGGAGGGTGCAGCAGCGGTGTCGACATTGGTCTGTATGGACAGATCGTTCATCGGCTTCGTTGGTGCTCCAGATGACTCTGTCGGCTTGGCTGCCTCGGATGCATCGGCTGTTGTGTCCATGGAGTCTGCGGGCGCATTCTCCTCTTTTGACACAATTTGTGTCTCGGGCACCTCCTGCGTACTAGCACTTGTTGCCTGGATCACCGCAGACAGCTCTTCAGCAGTCGGTGGCTCATCACGTACATCTGAGGTAGGCGCCTCCACAGCATTTGCCACGGTTGTACCGAGGTCCGAGTCGCCAAACAGAGAGTTGCTATCCTGATTGTTTTCAGGCAGAAACTGTGCGACTCCGTCGATACCGGCAGAAACGTTGGTCGTGGGTTCGATGGCAGGCTCTGCTGCAGGCGCCGACATGTCCATATCTGAGTGATTTCCGTTTGTCGTTGGTTTCGGTTGCGCAAGGGCGTCGTCAAAGTTGGTGTTTGCTTCTGGGTCGTCAAAGAGAACATCGTGAACGCTGGCTTGTATTAGTACCCACAGGCAGAAGGCGCTAGGTAAAAGAAGGCGCAAGCGCGTTCTAGCGTGCAAAGCGAGGTGAAGGGGCGACTCACCCGTTTGCTTCGGTGTCCACTGCCATTGCGTCTGCCGGCGCAAAAGCGCTCGCCTTGAGGTCCAGGGAGGATTTATCGACAGCAGGTGATGTCATTACTGCCATAGGGCCATGAAAGAAGACGGGTGGTTTGCGCGCGGCTGACTTTGGAAGTGCAGTGTTTTGGGGAGTTGCCAAGCTAGTGTTGTTAGCGACTGCCATTTTGGGCCTACGCGACTGCGCAAATGCTACGCGTACGGATGACAGACACGAGTAGGAGGGGCTTGTAGGGAAAGTGAGGTGAAGGTGGGGCCGGAGGAAGTGAGGCTAGCGTCGGGAGATTGACGCGAGGGATGGAAGAGGGGCAGCAGGAGAATATATGCTGCGGAGGCTGAAACGCACGTGACTACGTACCAGTGGCGGCGGCGGCGAGGTGCGCAGGAATTGGGCGGAAGATGATGAGTCAGACGGTATGGAGAAGACAAGGGCCGACGCGTTTGTTGTGGTTGATAGCCAAGCGCAAAGAGGAAAACCCAATAAAGGCGCCGTGTGCAGCTGTGCGCCCGTTGTCGAGACGTGCAACGACAACACAAACGTTGACGATAGTGGGTGTGCACGGATGGTGACGGCGGGCTGGGTGCTCGGACGGCCGGTGAGCGCTAGTGCGGTGCGGATGCAGGCAGACGGATGATGTGCGATGTTAATTATGTCCGACTTGTCGGTGCAGCGTAGGAGCGACAAGGCCAGATTAAAAGCGAGCAATGCAACCGACGTGTAATCAGGTTGCAAGACAGTTGTAAGGGTTGGGTGTGGCGGGGTGCGAGATGGGATTGGGTTGGGTGATCCGGAGCAGGCGCGTATTGATTGGAGGCAGATCAGGAAAATGGACTTCAAGAACGTCGAAGACAGACGCGAGAGGAGAGGCATTGGGGTTAAGTAGCCCGGCCCTTCCATCTCCGAGCCAAGCCTCGCAGTAGCCCCTGACCTGCCACTAACCTGGACGGGTACGTGTCCTTGCCGAACACTGAACCATCAGCCTCTTCTCTCCGCCGCCACACACAAGGGCTGCAAATTCGTGTGCAGCCAGCGATGGTGTGGTTGATGATGCGCAGACGTCAGCACTGCCTATTGTGCCCGTCTCTTTGATGGTGAGCGCAGTCGCCGTCGGCGCGTTGCAGCCAAGTTTGACAGCTTCACCGCGGTAGCACCCATCCCTGTCGATAAGGCCCGTGCATACAGGGGTGGCTAATTCGCTCTTTCCAAATTTTTTGCGACCACTTGCATCTTTGCGCATTGCTCCAGGCTGCAACCATCATCGCCTCGCCCGCCCGCCAGAAGCAGCCATATAGACAGTCGGCAGACGAACTTGCACAATGCCTGCTGCTGTACAAACCCCGCGCAATCGCGACCGCGCTCCGCCCGCGAAGAAACCCCGGCTTGCGCAATCGCCCACAACTGCCCGCCCGCACGGTCTCAAGGCGATGCTCAATGGTAGCTCTGCGAAGCCAGTAGCAACAACAAATGGCCGACAGAGAATGCGCGTGCAGAGCGAGTTGACGACGCCACTGCTGTTGTGGCAGGGCCCGGGCGATGTCGACGTCATCGAAATCAGCAGCGCCGAGGAAAGAAAGCGAGTACGACAGTGAAAAAGGACCAGGAACGAACCACCCCACACAGGCAGGTGCTGGAGCAGGGATGCACCCTGCTGCAAACGGAGCCGCAGACGACGACCAACGCCGGCAGAAGTCAGAGGACATTACCTTTGGCGACCGGTTACGCGCAGAAGGCCCTGAGCCCGTTCACGAGTCCCGCGTCATCAGCGTCGAGGATGCCTTCGATGCCAACCCCGAGCGCACAGTAGCTGCCCAGAAAAGCCGCCCACTAGCACCACCCAACGCGAATTCACTCGGCACTGTGTTAACCCAAGCCCTGCGCACAAACGACAAGGAGCTTCTGGACTCTTGTCTTCAGGTTGTAGATGTCGAGTCGGTATACGCTACCGTCGAGCGATTGCCCTCGCCGCTGGTTGGCACACTACTGCAAAGACTGGCTGAGCGGCTACACCGAAGCCCAGGCCGGGCGGGCATGTTGATGGCCTGGGTGCAATGGTCACTGTAAGTCTTCCCCCACCAGTTGCTTCTGAGATAAACACTAATTCTGTACATGTAGTGCTGCACATGGAGGCTATTTGGCGTCTCAGCCGCAAATCGTGAAGCAACTCACCGCACTCAACAAGGTCTTGAAAGAACGCTCGAGCGGTCTAATGCCTCTCATGTCACTCAAGGGTCGTCTGGACATGCTCCAAGCCCAGCTTGATCTGAGGAAACGAAACCAAGCCGCCAACGACGATGCCGACGAAGCACTGGTCTACGTCGAGGGCCAGGACGATTACGTCTCCGATGATGAGTCGGTCGATGGTACCACTGCACCCCAGAAGAGATTGCGTCAGGACGTGGATGAGGATGATGACAACTCGTCGGAAGACATGGGCTTGAACGTGGAGATGGATGATGTGTCAGACGAGGGCAGCGAAGGCTCTGATGAAGATTTGATCGACGACGAAGCAGAGGAGACTGACGATGATGAGGGCGAGGACATGTCAGACCCCATGAGCGAGGATCTTGACGCTGGAGCTTCCGAAAGCGAGGACGAATCGAAACCAGAGCGACGATCCACAGCAGCAAGGGCTGGACTTAAGAGCCGGCGTTAAGCCACGAATTGAACGTCCTCTATAAAACTTACCGCAGCTTACGGCCCAACTGCACGGCGCTTCGGTTACCTAAAATTCGTTTACGCACTTGGCGTTCCTATAAGGCGTTTTTGTTGGTCTAGATTATTCCACCGCGTCGTGTTTCTTTTGATGTCGTATATTTGCATAGCGTGGAATAGACGGCTTCACATGCAGGTTTCGCCTCGTTTGTCTGTCACCGAGACAGGTCATTTCACGCAAGTCAGTTCAAGACATGTTATTATGAAATGGATGAATATATTTCCTCGTCTCCTTGTCCGCAGTTGCTTGATCGAAACAATTCTAGCTTGCAGCCAATGTACAACTCCCTACACATCCTGACCCAAAACGTGGACATCAACCATCCAAGCAAGATGAAATCAGACGCTCCATGACATAGCAGCCACACACCTAAACGGGTCACGTCGCCCTACCAGATCACAGCCCAAACCGAACCGCACGTCCAGGCCACGATATTGGACCTCATTAGCGACTCTGTGTGGTCAGTCCTACCCAACTCTTCGCCGCACAACTTCAGGTCACACTTCTTAACTTCTACGTGTTTGTGGATTTGAGTTACTTCAAGGACCTGTCATATTGAATGAAACTGACACTACTAGTGTGCCTGTTCCGGCTGACTACAACTACAGCGTCGTTCAAGACCCACTCGAGTGAGACTCAGCTCGGTACGCACGTTGTTGTTCGGGATTCACCGGCAAGTCAAGCGCAGGTTACTGGGAGGGCTTGGGGTTTGGAGAGTCGTACTTCGAGTGAAACGCTGGGAAAGCGCAGCATGGTAGCTACAGTGGAAAACACTTTGGATAGCATGCTTACAACACGGCTGCTAGAAGTCCCCCCTCTGAAGACTACTCCTCTGTACGAGCTTTGGTGTGTTAGTAAATGCTACCTCTCCGATCAGAAGCTCATGAAAATCAGCACGCGACTGGGAAGCGCAGTCTGGAACTCGTCTCAATGGAAAATTCCCCACATCACATGCCGCATGGACGCTATTCGCACCGCGAAGCTAGTCGGGGACCCATTCCGAGAGGCAACCTCACCTGTTCCCAACCAACACATGAGGATGTCAATATTAGAGGACGGCCAGATTCGGATGTTCTTGCAGTGGAGCTGCGTCTTCACTCGGGTTCCATACATTCTCAGTAGGAGATTGTCCAAGGAACAGCAAATGCGAAAGACAAGGGCAAGCGCCCCGTGAGCCAGGACATCTGGGTTCGGGTGGCTCGCGATTGATAGTTCATGTACCTGCTCATGCGACACAACACGCTCTCATGTCCAACCTTTATTCTGCGCACGTCTGATATAAGTTCCTTGCCCTATACTTCTTTTTCGGTCATGCTCACTCACACCACCCAAACTAGAGGCAGAACCTTGTTGTCGTTAGTTCGGCCTAGTGCGCGGTCAAAATCTGGAACGATCCATCATCGTGCATTCTCCAGCCTGCCCACCTTGAGTACTTGAACATTACATTCACCCTGCGGTCACTTACATTGTGCGAGCGAAGTGGTTTTTGCCAACACACGACTCCACGATGCTCCGCTTGGCTGCAAAGACACACGCCGCTTTAGTCTTCCTTGCGTCTTTTTTCTGTTGAAACCAACTTTACTTACACCGCTCTACACAAGCCATGCTTGTTACCAACCCGTCGTCGTCACTCCCTCGGTCTTGCGAGTCCATTTACAGCTCCTCGCGACGAATCCACGAGATTGCGCAACTCGAGGCGTGCGAGATTCCACGCATTCCGCGCGTCGGGGATCTACGCGCTGCTTTTCGCTCTAGCGAGCAGTACAAGCCGACTAGCCCTGATTGGCCGCCGAAAGCTGTTCCCGACTGGGTTTCGAGCAGGCCTCTCCCGACGTCACTACCCTCACTACATGCATTGTCTCGCGCACCAGCAGGCTCGCATACCATTACCGTAGAGCAGAAAAGCCCACATCGTGGGTATGCATCTGTGCCACCGGTCAAAAAAGTCCTCACATCCTTTACAGAGATTTCCTCCCATGGCAAATCTCATCACACGGAAAATATATCGCTCGTGGAGCCCCTTCGGCTTCCTCGCCCGTGTAGCCGAGAATCTTGCTCCTATGTCTTGCGTGACATACGGTTAAACGCCGCGCTTACCAGAGTCATCCACAACGAACCCCTCTCTTCAGACGTAGTTTGGAACGATAAGCTCCAGCCGTTTGAGCTCAAGCACGATGAAGAAGAAGCTCGACATACCGCCATGCTCAACAACCTTCCGCTAGACGGCAGACAGGCCATCATCGACGGATTCCGCGAGTTTTACAACGACGAGTGGTTTGAAGAGTTTGCTGCTTCACAAGAGGGACAGGAAGTCACGAGTTTGTCGAGACGGTTATCAACGCTTAGCCGGTCGAGTAGCTCGCGTGTTAAAAGTAGTCTGGGGGGCTTGGTGCAGAGAGGGGCGGATGTGGTGAGGAGTGGGGGGGATATTGTGAGGAAGGTGAGGTCGAGGGCTAGGTCTGTTTCTACGCGGTTTAGTATAGACTGATACGTCTGGGGATTTACTGGGATGTTTTTGCATGGGTTACTGATGCCCTTTCGAGACGCAACGATAATAACTAAAGGCAAAAAGAAGACGTTACTTTTGGGGCTTATTTCGTACTACCCATCAGTAAATGCTCATTCTCGAGCACATGTTCAGATGGATATACTCTGAAACAAGTTCACCTGTTAAATTTTTACTTCATTTCTTTGTACATGAGCTTGCATGTTATTCACTGCGCCTCTTTTCCAGGCGCAGGTCTATTAAAACGTGACAAGGGACTCCAAAAGGTCCATATGTTATATGTACGCACCACTTATCAGCCTTTTTGTGTCTCGTACTCTCCTAGCTTTCTTTGATATAATATCGACTTCTTCTTTGTTTGTTATCCATAATCAGCTTAGGCAGCTTTCACCCGCTTTGTTCGTGTTGGAAGAAGGATGCGCAACAATGCTCTTGTTCCATCTAAAATCTGCTTTGTCGAACTGCAAATTGAAACGAACGCAAACAAGTATGAATGAACCGAGCTTTCATTATCCAGCAGCC